GAGTGTCGACGTATGCTCCGGCCCGAGCGCCTTCTCGCAGCCTTGTAGCGCTCGCTCGTACATCTCTTCCGCCTCCTTAAGCTTCCCTTGATTAGAGTAGAGGAGGCCGAGATTGTGAACTATATCGAGTGTCGACGTATGCTCCGGCCCGAGCGTCTTCTCATAGCCTTGTAGCGCTCGCTCGTATATCTCTTCCCCTGCTTTAAGTTGAACCTGCTTAGTCAATAGCTCAGCGATAAGAAAGGCTCTCGAGAGTCGATCATCAGCTAGATCTTCCATAACGTCACCACGACGGTCGTGAATGTATCCAAGCCGTAACGCATGTGTTGTCAAATCGGCCAGATGGAAATGTCCAAGAGAATCAAAGTCTTCTTGTTCGACCGATGCCCCCACACAGTCGAAAGCGTACCAATACTGCGTCTCGTCCACCACCTCGTTCAGTGTCGCTAACGTCCAATCGTGTACACAGGTATGCATACTCCATGAGGCCACCGACGTCTGCACCTCCAGAAAGCAGTAGTTCGTTAGCTTTCTCATCGTGCTTTCGAACTCGACATCGCTGGAAATCACGCCACGCAGCCACGGCGGTGACTCGTTAGAGAGCCCCGCGCGGAACAGCTCGTACCAGAACCGTCGATTACTAAAGTATGCTAGTAATCCTAACCACCTCGCCGCGTCCGCGTCCTCGCGTTGGAGTCTAGAATATGAGAGATCCCATGTGGTGTAGAGTGTGCGTTCCTGATACTCCTGGAGTAGAAGGGGCCGCTGTGGGTCGATATTCCAGTGCTGCTCGTACTCTTCGAGGTACCGTTCGAAAGTGAAGGTGCTGTAGCGAAGATATGCTCCGGCGGTGGCCAATGCGAGGGGGAGACCAGCGAGTCGTTCAACAAGCCGCCGTGCATGGCTATCTAAAGAGTGACAATAAGTAAGTCTCTCTTAGACATCATCGATAGACTTACCAGAGCTAGCATCTTTCCGTTGAGATCGACTTTCTAGAATTTCAACGCCTTCTTCAACTCTCCGGAGAGGCTGCAGCCGAAGCTCCGACCCCGCCACAAGATCCGGCCGCCGTGTCGTCACGATGATCGCGCCGTGAGAGACATATGGATAATATTGTTCAATATGATACTGACCGGGCTCATCGTAGTTGTCGAAAATGAGCAGCCATCGCGTGTTCTTCTTATCCGACAACCATCGCTGTATCTGGATCAGGCTCTGATCGTCCTGCAGTCCTTCCGTGTCCCGGACATCAAAGATAGCCGCGGCCACGAGCCGGAAACTGTCCTTGAGCGTGGCCTCCGACGCCGCATTGAGCCAGAAGATCGAGTCGTACTCCTGCTGGTGGCGCTTCGCGAACGCGATGGCTAACTGTGTCTTACCCATCCCACCCGTCCCTCCGACCACTAGCCGTCGCTGCTCCGGAGACGAGTCACCGGGTCGCAGAATCTCTCGCATTTTCGCAATCTCCGACTCCCGCCCGATGAAGAGTTCCTTGTCGATATGAGGTGCCTGACCGAGGCAGAGACTAACAGGCTGTCGGAAGCTCAAGTCCGCTTTCTGTCTGAAGACTATATCTGCAAAGACGATTAGCTTGATCTATTCACAAGAACTGAACATTCAACACGTGGAAAGAGGACATATGTTCTAGGAGATTGGCGATTAGAAAGGCCACGAATATTCAGTCGCGAACCTGACAAGTATATAGCTCGAGGCACGCACAGACACCGAAAGCGTCGCCGTCTACTCGCCTTTTACCCTCCCACTGTGCAATGAAGATGTCATCCTCGGGGCTAGTTCTTACCAATGTTCTGCGTTGTCACCGGCCCATTATTATTGATCTGTTGCCCGCCGCCGGTGTTATTCATCTGCGCCCCACCCTGGCTGTTGAACGTCATCCCCGAGCCCGCCTCGTCCGGCACTGACGACTGCACCAATTTCATTTCTTGGACGATCTTCTCCAGCTCCGCCATCTGCTCCGGTTTGGCGGACTTGACCGCATGATGGTTGACGACCAGTTGCACGTCCTCCGTGATCGACACCATCAGCTCTTCCACCTTGTTGCCCTGGCCCAGTCTCTTGATGACTTTAATGTACCGTTTCTCCCACCCATCGTTTCCTCCGGGCAGAACCTTTTCAAAGATTTCTCTCAACTTGCGCGCCTTTTCATCACATCCTTCTAGCGTCTTCTCCAACGCCTCGCGGACGTCCGCAGGCAAGGAATCTTGGATCGGTTGTAGGTGGCTCTTACAGGTCTCGAGGGTGTTGCGGATGATGGGGAGTCGGCGTCCCACGGCGTGGAACGTGTCTGACAGCTTTATGTCTTTCTGTACGCCGTCGTAGACCTTGACTGAGGCGTCAATGATACTGATGACGCCCGAAATCGCGCCGATCACTTCCAGCCCGGACATCTTAGGAGTACTCCGTACGCGTCAACGGGTCTAATAAAGCATATTCTCCGAAACCGCATAGAGAGCGCTCGACTGAGGATTTAGTTTCAAAACGACGATTGCGTAGCGATTTAGAAGCTATCGGGTAGAGGGTAAAAGCGACCATGGTCAAGCTGAGGGGTAGCTGAATAAGTCCGGTGACCACGTAGGCAGCCACCACAAGCAAATCGCTACGAGGCCGTGATCGTTATTTGCAGCTTCAGGCGCCAATGTTCAGATCACGTGTAAATACTCAATGTCAGTGATTTCGCTCCATGAGATTAGCTGCTAATACCGTACAGTACAGTACCGTATGAAGTAGAATGTTTCGTGATTTGTTACTGACTGACGAGTAACCGTCATTTTGATCCTCAATAAGATTGGTGTATTCTTCGGCAAAGCTTGATCGATCTAGCGAATGATGGATCTGCTAACGCTCCACTCCGAAGAAAAGAATCTTTTCGAATGTACGGAGTATTTGGGGAGGAACCCGGTTTTGCAAGTCCCTGTAGCCCATAGCTAGAGATTCCAAAGTCTCTTTGACCGGGGTTACACAGCTGTCTGCAGACTCCAAGTTCATAAGGGTGGTAACCTACATAGACTAGTCCTTATTTCCGTCTGCTAAGAACAACTTCAACGCCGTCTTGCCGGACCATCCAGCCTCCGCGCACTCTCCATTCTAAGTCGGGGCGCGCCAATGTGAACTAGCAGGGACGAGCAGACTGTCAGCCCAGAACAGAAGCTGGCAGATACTATATCATGGCAACCGCCTGAAGCGGACTTACCTCGTATCGACGAAGCAGCTGTGGGACCAGCTTGAAAGTCTCCAACAAGGCAATATTCTTGCCCAAGCACCCACGCGTTCCATAACCAAACTGTGAGCCTGGTCAGTATTTGGGCGTGTTCCAATCCCATGCATGACAGATTGGGGAGCTCCCTACTGCAAAGTTGGCTCTCTCCATAGCCGCAAGCCGTTCCTCCGATGCCTCGAGCCATCGCTCCGGCCTGAAACTGTCGCAGTCTTTGCCATAGACTTCTTTATTCCGTCTGTGGTTCGTGATTAGCCATTCCAAGGCCGTCCGGGCGGATCGAACGTGAAGCAGCGGAGGTTTGACTGACGCTGTGACCCATGGGTTCACTCCCACGATTGTTCCTTCCGGAAAGAAGTGGCCGTCTAGTATAGCGCCGCCCTTTGGGACGTATCGTTCGAGGACGAGACCGATCGGGGGATGCATACCTGCACAAACGCACGATGGTCAAAATCAGTTCTAAGGAAGGTGGGGAAGAAGTGCAACTTGCGTATTGCTTCCTTTACGCAGGCTTGTAGATAAGACAGCTTGCTCGCCTCGTGCCAAGTGACATATTCGCTGAGGCAGCCCTCTTTATCCGCAGAATCGATCTCCTCAACAGCCTTTTGCAACGTCGACGGGTTCTTAAGAAGGTAATAGAAAATCTACCCAATGAGAAGGTCAGTAATGCGAGAGCTATGCTGCGAAGAAGCTTGACAACAGGTCAGGCGCACTCACCGAAGTCAGCAGGAGCGCGGTAGTGTCAGCTCCGGCAGCAATGTTGTCAAAGTTGTAAAGCATGATCATTCTGTCCGTCACAATCTCCGGGTATTTGGCTTGTGCTTCGAAACATCTCTCGAGAAAGTCGCGTTCTGTCTGACTCCCATTTGCTCTACAGGCGGCCCTGTCTTTCATTCGATTTAATGTGAATGCTACTATAGGGTTTGTGGGTCCGTATCTCAGCATGAGAGGATTCTTCAACAGAAATCGGTCCACGATCGGGATCTGTGCGGCCTTGAGGTACAGAAATGGTCAGTCTGCCACAAGGGTCATGATGGGGGGCTTGAAACAGCTTACACACTGAAAGTACTTGGTAAAGCCTCGAATGCCAGCCATGATGGACTCCACGTCAGTTTCGGATTCGAGGAAGCCAATTTTCTTGCTGAACAAGACTTCGCCTCTATCAATCATCTCAGCAAAAGTGTTTTGTTTAACATAGGCATTGCTTACAGGACGTCAAATGCGTAGCGGTGAAGCCACACTTCCAAGTTTAGGGGCTTTTTGGAAGCAATAAGGTGGTCCAATTTTGAAATGAACAACGTCGTAGTTGAATTTACCGCAGGCTCAAAGTCAAGTGTTGTTGTCATACTGTATGCATTCACGATGGGCTTCCTGATCTGATCATGATAGGCTTCATCGCAGCTCTCAAATAGACTCGGTGTGCATCTGCCGTCGTACCACAGTTCGGCGACTGAATAGAACTTGGTCTTCTTGAAGTCCGACTTGATTCCATAGATGGTAGGCAAGAGGTTTGGGTCAGATATGGATACAACGCGAGGGCCAATCCTCACAAAATGTGAGTTGAACTTTCGGTGCAACTGAATCTGCGTCTCGGTTGGATTGGAGAGGAGCGTGTTGAGCACACGCCAAAGGTTCGTGAAGCCGGCGAAGAAAGGACCTGGAACTGAATTTAGATCACCTCCATATTTGTTGATCAAAAGCCTAGCGATGAGAAATGCAAGGAGCAGGACTGGCCACGATCGCTGGGCCAACCCCTGTATCTCCGCAGGGAACGCCATCGAGTCGGCGGGAAACTGTTTGATATGAGATGCGTTTCTTTCCTGGGCGGCGTAGCCAAGTGATCCGGTCACTGTATGCCTGGCATTCACAGATTGAAGTGCATAAGAGCTCTGCGAATGGCTTGAAGGTCTCGGATCACAGGATCGCGCAGGTCGTGGAGGCCCGTGCGCTTCAAACACCCAAGTGCTCCGATCAATATTCCTTTCACGAGAATTCAGAGAGAGGACGTAATAGAAGGAGAATGGCATGCGGCGTGTAGCAGTGGCTGGATATACCAGCTGCAACGGTTGTCACTCTCCTCAGATAGATAAAGCACCCTGTCAAACACAACGGTTGATACAAATGTGAGTGGCGCTGTGAAGGTCCAATATATCAAGCCATTGACACGTTTATCCAGGTAGAAAATTGTCACTTCAACAGCATTCACAACCTTTTCAGAAGCCTTACTGCCTCTTTCACGGTCAGAGCTTCGGCGTGAAATACCATGTCTGCAGGAGGCAGACATTGTGTGAGCGAGACTTCACACATCAAGTCAGTGTATCTGTCAGTGACTTCCACACACTGGGCCATAAAAAAAAACCCATGGTCCATTCACGCAGAGTCTCACATTGAGTGTGACTCGCGACATCTCGGACATATAATTTAGTGACGTGTCAGAGGGTCGTTCTTCGAACCTGCAAATAGAATATGTCCTGAAGATGGGATCCAGCAGGTCACTGAAGTCCCGCAGTCGTAAGGATGTGTTGCGTTCCCTGTCAAACCCTGCCTCGAGGATGGTACGCAGCAAACATCTCAATAAGCGAAGCTGAAAGGTGTTCATATACGAACTGAAGCCGCAGGCATTGATGCTGACCCAAAGTACTTTTGGCCATACTTGTAGTCTGATGGAAGCACTCTCGACTTGCCCCGGAGGCAATAACAGATGAATTTTTTTTTTCAGAATGTGATCGTTGGCTAGACAAGAGCAGAATGGCGTTGGCGGCTTGAGAATGGTGTCCTGCCATGTCTCTGTCGGGGTGAGACACCATCGTGACCCCTGCATTCACGACATCTCCGTGTATTAATCTCGGATTCGTGCTACACAAAGGTGCAGGTCATGCATACGAGTAAACTATTGCGTCTTGGTCAGCTCTCGCTTCACATGCACCGGACCAGAAAGAAAGAACGCTGGCAGAAAAATTGCTTCATGTCATTTTTACTGGCCCCTAAGAGATGGAACCGGTAGCGTTTGCCTTGCATATCAACTAGCGCCTTTATGGAGTATTCATTTCATGCATCGAACCATTGGTGCTCGGAAGCTCACAAGCCTCGGTGGCAGGCCGGGATTGTAGGAGCCACCGAATTGTTGACCACCCCTCCTGAGGTCAAGCTATCAATTCTAGTTCATCTGCTTGATCAGAGCGTTGATAGCCTCCTCCCGGTTACCGAGATCACCACCCTCGATGTAATGCTTGAATTTTCTGGCACGGAAACCACCGTTGGGGTTGGACAGCTTGAAGGGCCACAGGAAGTTGCTTGCTTGCTTGAAGTTTGGTCCAACGGTGAAAATCTCGTGGATCAAGTCTTCCATGCACACAATGCCGTACTTGCCCAGGTTGTCCTCGATCAGTTGGTTGTCGGTAAGAGCAATGCGTTGTTTGTTGATCTTGCCATATCCACGCTTGTAGATGAGCTCGCGAACAGTCTTGAGGTTGGGATAGCCATAGGCAATGTAAGGATTGACGATGGTAAGCATCTCTTGAGTAGCTTTGGTCAACTTGACGAAGACGCCGTTGTTGATCTGGAGGAGACGGAGGAGTTGGAGGATTTTGCGGGGCTTGGGAGCAATCTTGTTGATACTGATGACAATTAGCATTTGCTTTGCGAGGTCATCATCGAAAGACTCACCCCTTGATTCTGACGACGAAAACCAGCTTGGGTTGCTCATCAACGAAGAAGTTGCCCTGTTGCCTGCTCAAGCGAGCGAGTCTGATTTTCTCGCGCTCAGCATCACGGTACTCCTTGACGTATGTCTCAGCACGCTTGAAGATGACGCCGCGCTTCTCCTTGTTGGCCTGGTCATGAAATGTTAGCCGGCGTACGGGAAGCCCAAATGATAAAGATTGTGAAGGTGGCAAGAATGTTCAGCCCCGAAAGATGGTATAACAAAAGCGACAACATTGACCGGAGGTCTAGCCGCGCAGTGGTATTTATCATCACCACATTATTTTCCCAGGCAAACTTGGACGAAGTACTGACCTTCTTTCTCTTCTCGAGCGTCGCAGCACGCTGCTCTCTGGCCTTCTCCTGGCTCTTTCTCTTCTTCAACAAGGTCTCGGGCACGAGGACCTGGTCCTGCGTCGGCACAGATCTGTACGGGAGGAAATCGAATCAGTATAGTCCGCAGGTAAAATGATCGCCGAGTTGGAACTGCAGCTATGGCGCGGCATTCTCAAACTGGTGATTTGGTGTGAACTCGACGAAATAGATTTAATCAGTGAGAACAAGTTTGAATGGACGCAAGTAGTCACACATGGTCTTTTCAAATCTTGTAGGCCTCTCAACTGACAACGCCCCGATCAAAGATCAGGAAAGGTTTTGACTCCATAACAGATGCGAGATCTTGCGACCAGGCGAACATGTCATACGAGCCCAATATATTTCAAGGAAGAAGCGTTGGATCCTCTATCCTCAAGGCCCCGGCTTTTGTTTCCAAGTGGTGATTTCTCACAGGTCTTCGGAGTAGAGCCATTGGGATGATCGAGCTGGAACAGCGGTAGCGAAACCAGCGAAATGGGAGCGGACCATATCTGAAGACACCAACTGTCAGCAGGATAGTAAGGGATACTTACGACTTCACAATTGGCTTCGTCATCTTGTCTGGTGATGTTGTTGAACGCCGGCAAGGTTGAAGAACTGAGAAACGTCAAAAAGTTTCAAACTGCGGCTCGATCAAATTCGAGTTGTGGGCAGGTTAGCGTCTAAGCCCAAAGCGGAAAGGCTAACTTTGACGCTCTTGGCACATGTACCTCGACCTTTTCCCTTTTCTGTCTGACAGCAAGACGCCGTTGCATCGAAGTTGGTTATCAACTTATTATTCCACCCTCAAATATCAGAATGTCGACCAGGAGAGGTGTCGGCTTGGGCGCCTTCACGAACAGAAATGCCACCGCTCAATCCTACGCCGCGCACGGTTCAAATTTGAAATCCGCCAATGCAGCCTCGCTCCAGGCGCAACTGGAGGTCTTCCAGTCGCTCCTACATAACTTCGCACTCGAACATGCGGCGACCATCAAATCCAACCCGACATTCCGCGCCGAATTCGCGCGGATGTGCAATGCTATCGGCGTCGATCCGTTAGCAGGCTCCAACATCAAAGGTAAAAAAGCGGACTCGCTTTGGGCGAAAGTCCTGGGTCATGATGTAAACGACTTTTATTTCTCTGTCGCAGTGAGGGTTGTGGAGTTATGCCAGGCGACAAGGGCAGAAAATGGCGGGTTAATTGGACTGAAGGAGTGCTGTGAGAGCGTAGCCAGGGGCAAAGCCATTGGTGGTGGTCTGCAAGTGTCAGAGGATGACATTGAGAGGGCAGTTAAATCACTGGAACCCCTAGGATCCGGATTTGTTATTCTCACGATCGCGAACAAGCGATTTATTCGATCGGTGCCAAAGGAGTTCAACACAGATCAGTCCACCGTGTTGGAGGTTCTACAACTACTCGGCAGTGTCACAGTGTCTCTCCTTCGGCTGAACTTGGGATGGGAGCTGGCTCGTGCTGAGACCGTCATCCAAGATCTACTAGCTGATTCTTTGGTGTGGGTGGACTATCAGTGTCCAGAGCCGGAGTATTGGTCACCTCAAGGACTACTAGATGAGAGTGAATGACGGAGTTCAGGAAAAGGAGCAAGACAAATGCGTTGAGGTGGGTGATCAACTTGACGCTTTATTCATTGCGGCTAAAGCTTGGGTTGGCAGAGGGCTTCAGCCCTTCAACTCTTATATTCCTCTTTGAGCACCCAGCGCCCGCGTCCCCGGCTTCCCTTCTCCAGCCTGGCAATCAACTTCAAGGTCTCCTTGAACTCCAGGGTCGCCTGAGGAGTAGTGCAGAAGCGGTTGAAATGATCGATTAGCATCTGAGTGTACACGCTTCCGCCATGGGTTGTGAGGTAATCTCGGATGAGTTTGCCAAAGTCCTTGCCTTGAGGCAAGGTTGGGGTTGCATCTCTGGAAATCGAAGCAGTCGAGTCTGTTGATCTGGCAGGACTGGCTGTTCTTGGGGTACCGTCTCCGCTTGGTGCAAGCCCTCCCTGGCGCTGCTGCAGGTTTGCCAGAAGGCTAGACGACTGAACTCCACCGACTCTGTTTCGGGAATTGGAACTGAATGCCCTCTGTGCTGTTGTCTCTTGAGGACGGCCAGAGATACCAAACTGTCCAGTCCAGGTGGGCGTGCCGATCGGAACAGTACGGGCAACCTCGCCAGCACGTCGCAATTCTCTAGCCGCTTCAGCAGCCACCTTTCGTGCCTCCTGTTCAATCAATACCGGATCAGCTGCGACCTTCTTTCCAGCTTTTCCGTCGATAATTGCATCGTGCTCGACCGCGGAGTGAATGCCCGCGCGAGAAAAGATGCCTTCCATCATTTTGTCTTCGGAATTGTTGGCGCCATCCTTGTTCGCCTGCTCCTCTTCTTCGATCTCTCCGGCATATTGCTCCATGGACGATATACCCGGTAGAGCCCCGATCGTGGTTTCGCCCGCGACGCTTGTTGATTGTTTCTCGGCAATCATCCCGGCGGCCTCAGGAGCATTGGCTGGCTTAGAAGGATGCTTGACCTGCGCATCCTGAAACAGAATACTGGTCTCGGTCGGCTCGCCTTCATTCCCTAGACTGAAGAGATCGTGCAAATCACTCAGGTGGAATGTCTGCCGCTGTTTTGGATCCTTGAGGATCTTGTTCGTTAGGAATTGTTTGAATATCTGGCGATGATAGATCTTCTCTTCGATAGTACCAGCAGTCATCAGGCGGAAGATGGCCACTTCACGCTTCTGCCCCAACCGCCAGGCCCTTTCTCTGGCTTGCAAATCGGTCGAGGGGTTCCAATCAGGGTCGTAGATAATCACTCTGTCGGCACCCGTCAGATTTATCCCAAGCCCGCCAACCTTGGTTGTCAAGAGGAAGACATGCAAGTCCGGGTCGGTGTTGAACTCGTCAACCATGCTCTGTCGCAGTTGGATAGGAGTATTACCGTCCATACGCCTGTACTTGAAACCCGAAAGTGACCTGACATACTTCTCCAAGATATCAAGCATGATGCGATGCTGGGCGAATAGAAGTGTCTTGTGACCGGTTTCCCTCCAGAGTTCTAGAAGTGAACCAACAACTTGCATCTTGCCAGACTTTGATGGGTCGCCGTAGTTATATCCTGCTTTGATTGGCAGCCGTTTGTGATCCCTCAGATCTGGATGGTTGCAGATTTTGCGCAATATATCGACCCCATAGAGAACTTGACGTTTGCCATTCATGATTGCGTCCATCTCACCCGAGCCAATGAATCTCTTATACTCATCGCGCTGCAAGGGTGTCAACTTGCAAAACAAAACTTGCTCGCTTTTCTTGGGCAAATCCGAGGCAACATCGATCTTGAAGCGTTGCAGCAAGTATGGACTAATGGCGTCTTTGAGCGTTTCCGCACATTTGAAAGCTGTCTGGACCTGCAAGTTCGATGCGTTCGCGTATCCACCTTGTCGAATTGGTATCTCAAACTGATTGCGAAAGTTGACCAGCGTGCCCAATCGCATAGGGAACACAAAGTCAAAGAGAGACCATAGTTCAATAAGATTGTTCTGCATAGGCGTCCCAGAGAGAATGATTCGGTTCGGAGTGCGTAGCTCTTTGCAGTAGATGGTGATGGCGGTGTTTGGGTTTCGAATTTTGTGTCCTTCGTCAAGGATAGCATATTGCCAGTCGACTGGGATGAGCAGAGGCGCGTACGTTTGCAGACCAGAGTAAGTTGTCACGAGCACACCCCCTTCCTCTAGAATTGGCCGTAAAATCTTTCGAGCAGCTTTCTGAGCCGCGGTTAGCGGTTGCTGTCTCCGAGTTGGATCCCATTCAAGATCAAGCAGCCTATCTTCTTTGCTGGACTCATTTCGTAGGTTGACCATACCGCTGCCCGAGGAATGCAGGATGGTGACTCGAAAAGGCGGCCACCAGCGATGAAATTCGTTGACCCATTGTTTCATAACCGTAGCCGGACAGACTACAATGATGGGCTTATCCAGCTTCTTGCTGTAATGCAGACCGGCAAGGAAGGCTATGATCTGGATCGTCTTGCCCAAGCCCATCTCATCGCCGATAATTCCCCCAACTTGTTGAGTGTACAGCTCATAGAGCCATTGGACTCCAGTTTTTTGATAATCGAACAGGCTGGGGTAGATATCTCCCGGTAGCTTGTAGCCGTCATCGAAGAGAGTGTCCGGGATCTCAGGGTGCGGGAGATAAGCTTCTTCCTGCGCGATTGCCTCTGGGTTATCCTCCTCTGATCCGTCCTGTTCTTGTTGCTCCCCCGTCGTATGACGCGCTGCATGTTTTCGGGCTCGCCGTCTCCGTAAGGCCCATTTTTGCAACCTAGACTTGTAGACAGATTCGTTACCATCGTCAACACCACGGAAGTCCTCAATCTCATCTTCGACTTGAGCTACTGCCTTTCGACTCTTTCTCTGTCGTTTCCCTGACGTAACGGGCATTTCCTCATCAACTTCATCTTCCGAGTCTGAAAAGGGTTGCTCATCAATGTCATCTTCTTCATATGACGACGAGTCTTCGTCTTTTATAGGCAGTTTGTTCATGAGACGTCTCCGCTTTCGTGGTTGGTCGTCTTGAATCTCGTCTTCCGCACTCGAATCCATGAAACCAGTAGCAAAGCCAGGCTGTCTCAAGTTCCGGTGAGACATGGACTTTGTACCTTCTGCAAGAGGCTCGATATCAGGGAGTTCAGGTTCCTCCTCGGCGTCAAGGAGGGCTCCCTGTAAAGTCGTCGACGACTCTCCGTGCGATGTGAGGCCGAATTTGGAGAAAGGAGTGATTTTGCCAGTCCTGATTAGATAGTCACGCTGACTTTCGTTCGGCAAGGGTCCAGCGGCTGACGCATCGTGTTGTCCTGCCATCCCTGCGTTATTTTCTCGTTCCCTCATTCTCTCCTCGATCTCGGCAATATCATTGTCCAGGTCCTGGATTTGACCTTGCATACGATCAATATCGAGGCGCAAACGCGCTCGTTGAGTAGTTCCGATAGGTCGAAGCATGTCATCTCGTGTTTTCTTGATCTGGCTCTGTAGCTTCTCCTTTTGCGCCTTGGATTTCTCGAGTCGCTGCTGGTCCCGTTGATGGGCTTGCTCGAACAACAGCCGATCCGCCTCACGCCCAATATCTCGTTCAAGGTCATCCTGATCACGCACTTGGGCATCAAGGTTTCGAAGACGAAGGGCTTCGGCAGACTGGCCGGTCGGAAAATCGGCCATCTTATCGTCTTCAGTTGTCGAATGGCCGTTGCTGTGCCTCTTCGCTTCACCATCCATGATCACAAACGTCAAAGACCTGAGTAGTGAATTGCGTGTCAAATGAATGTCGTCATGACCAAGAGGAGAGAAATCCTTCTTGCCGTCTGGATTGTCTACGCTGAATGACTTTTGTGTCAAGACGCAAGCAGAGAGGGAGGTGAAAGGAAAGTAGAGTTTGGAGTGTTATATGTCTGTAAAAGGTGAGGCCGCCACTTTGATGCCGAAAAAGTGGCAATCTGAGATACGGATAGATGCGAAAGGGATGCGGTAAGTGCTCCGACAGAGAGAAGGTCGTCGTGCATAAATATTTGCTTTTGGGGAGAGAAGCAGGTGCAGTGCAATTTCTCTACAACGACTGAGACGTGTCAGAAGACAGAAGTCATCTTCATCATCAGAATGGGAAAGCCTTTCTCACTTGAAGCTCAGGCTGCCATCCGTCGTTGCACTTCACCAAGCCACTGCGCCACCGTAAATTTTAGAGGATTTGAAACCGTCGGCCTACCTGCCCAATTCTCCTGCTGCTATCGACACGCATTTCGGGAAGCCCCCAAGCAAGTTTCAGCTCTAGGCTGTGACAAGCCAACCCCCCCAATCATCAATAATGGGTGCCCAATAATGAGTGGTAATAGCCGCCTGCATCTCAGTCCTGGCTGCTGCACACCAGACCAGGCACTAAACTCGACAACCGACTCTGCTTCTCACAACGCCAAACATTCTCCAGACTTCCTCTTTACAACCCCATCCCATTCATAGTTGTGACACTAGATTGAGATACCTAGACAGCTTGTCTTGCCTCCAATTAGCCTGTTGTCGCCTCCATTGTTCTTCCACGGCATCTCTATCCTCATTATTGGGCCGACCTAATTCCTCGAGTCTTTGCCAGCTCACCACTTCCCAGTCCCTCCACCTCCACTCGAAAATCAGAGAAGAACGCCCTCACTCGTGAAGCGACCAATTCTCAACGCCATGGCCTTATGTTGAGCCTCTCGCCCTCCCTTACCATGTGTCGAATATCGCCCTGGGTCCACCGGTCTCTCTTGAGTGCGCTTACCATTGTCACTCCGCCACTCTGCCTACCCCTCTGAAGGCCCAACGTACCCTACCGATCTAGCTTCACCCTCACACTGCAAGAGGTCGCGTTTGCCTGGGTTTGGATAATTGCAGCAATCGTGCGTGCTTGATGTATGCGTCGACGGTGTGATTGCGGCAGGACAAGCAAGATAACTGCGGCCCAGCTTTCAGCCCCATCGCGGCTCGGAATTCTCTTAAATACGGACTGTCCTGATTACAGTTGACCGACAGACGATTGTGAAGTCTGAGCAGCCATGTCCACCAACACCACACCCCAGACTCAATCGCACCCGTACGATCACAACGGCGAGGTCGACGTGCCCATGGAAGATGCGGATCCTTATAACCGAACCAAATATCCTCCACGACCAACTCACCAACACCGCCTGTCTGCCCAGTATATCCCCGAGATCTCAACGGCTGCTCAGCGCTACTCCCCAATGAATGCTCAATCAACGGGTGCTGGGTACGTTGCCAGTCCCAAAACGCAGAATCCTTCCTCCTTCCCCTACCTCAACCAGGCCCCGACTACGCGACAGTCTCCCCCTCGCCAAGGTAGCTACAATACAGAGCGTTACACTGAACCTCCGACCCCAACGAGATACCCATCCGATTATGGCTCAGCCCTTCAAAGCTCCGCGCTGAGCCCCGATTCATACTATCCTACCTCTGCAAGCAACGCCCGACCTGCTCCTCTTTCAAGACAACAATCACAGCACCAAGGACTAGGACCGGTACCGAAGTTCAGAAAGGTCAAAACCATGCAAGATCTCAACCCCAAGGTCAACACTCAACCACCTTACCGCCGGGCAAATCCAGAGGGCGGGTTTATTAGCCCGTTGCAAGCGCTCACCACCTATCTCCCAGCCACGTACAGAATATGTAATCCTAGCTTCAAGTACGAGTCATCCCGAAATCCGAGGCGGGTTTTGACAAAACCGAGCAAAGGAACAAAGAATGATGGCTACGATAACGACGATAGCGACTACATTCTCTACGTCAACGACATTCTGGGGAGTGAAGAGGCGGGGCACAAGAATAGATACTTGATTCTAGATGTCCTCGGTCAGGGCACTTTTGGTCAAGTGGTCAAGTGTCAAAATTTGAGAACCCAAGAAGTCGTTGCGGTCAAGGTCATCAAAAACCGCACTGCCTACTTCAATCAGAGTATGATGGAAGTTTCAGTCCTCGATTTGCTAAACCAGAAACTCGATAAAAACGACGACCACCATCTTCTGCGGCTTAAAGACACGTTCATACATCGGCAACATCTGTGTCTCGTTTTCGAGCTTCTCAGTGTCAACCTATATGAGCTGATCAAACAGAACCAATTCCGAGGTCTCAGCACGACCCTGGTCCGTGTCTTTGCGCAACAGTTGCTAAACGGGTTGACGTTGTTGAACAAGGCGCGGCTGATCCACTGTGATCTGAAGCCGGAGAACATACTTTTGAAAAACCTTGAAAGCCCAATCATCAAAATTATCGACTTCGGGTCTGCTTGCGACGAAAGGCAGACCGTCTACACTTACATACAATCTCGATTTTACAGGTCCCCTGAGGTTTTACTGGGGCTTCCTTATTCGTCTGCCATTGATATGTGGTCTCTTGGATGCATTGTTGTGGAGTTATTTCTGGGTCTGCCGCTCTTTCCTGGTTCGTCCGAGTACAACCAAGTCTCCCGAATTGTCGAAATGCTGGGAATGCCGCCGACGTGGATGTTGGAGATGGGAAAGCAATCCGGTGAGTTCTTTGAAAAGACGACAGACGAATTCGGTCGTCGTACATATCGACTCAAAAGCATGGAGCAATATTCTCGTGAGCACAATGTCAAAGAACAGCCCAGCAAAAAGTACTTTCAAGCAACTACGCTCCCAGAGATCATTCGAAGCTATTCCATGCCCCGCAAGAACATGAAACAGGCCGAAGTGGAAAGAGGTAAGACCGCGAACAACTACCCCACGAACTCAATTGCTGACACAAGTAGAAATGAACAACCGCATCGCCTTCACGGACTTTGTTCGCGGCTTGCTCACCATCAACCCCCTAGAACGTTGGTCACCTCAGCAAGCGAAGCTACATCCTTTCATCACGCAGCAAAAGTTTACCCAACCATTTGTTCCCCCAATGAACCTGAAGTCCCCATCTAGCAAGACCCCAGCGCCTGGTGTGCAGCAACAACAACAAGCTGAAGCACTCAGCAAGCAACGTGCTGCGCAAGCCGCGCAGGCTCAGGCACAAGCAGTCCACGCACAAGCTCAGGTGCAATCAGTGGCTCAGAACGCCTATGCAATGCAGATGACTCCTTATCCACAATCTCAACCACCACCAATGTACAACAATATGTATCCGGCTCATCCACAAGGCGCGCCGCCCCCTTATCCGACTCACTCGTCAAACTATCCTGCACAAATGGGTATGATGCAACAAACACCGCAGATGAATCCGAGTCACTACAATCACCAGCAAAGTCTTTACGCGCAGGCCACGCAAAGGGCTGGCCGTCAACGTGCCTCCACCATGGATCAACAGCAGGCTGGTATCCCGGCGGCCATTCAACGTGTTGCTAGCCATCTCGATCCGAACCAACCAATTAGGCTTCAACCTAGTCCAGCTTATTATCCACCTCCCGCGGACGGATATGTCGATTCGCCATCCACCGCAAGAAGACGTGGCAGTCGGAATCAAAGAAATCGTGATTTTATCCGGACGCTGGAAGATGGTGCGATGGGTGACAGCTTCATGAACAAGGCGCAGTGGCACTGAGCTGCGTACCATGAGGACGCCCGGAGTCGTTATGATGTGGCTTGATCGCCGAATATCACCAACCCGCAAAATCACCTACGCGGATTGATGAGAGAATGCCATTGATGAACAAGCTGGAAGGCTTTTGCGGATGCAGGCAGGAATCAAAGTCCTGCGACAAAATGCTACTGGGAGCAACAAGCTCTGACGATCTGACTGTGAATGTGAGATTAAAACAGGCATTAGACTAAGGCGGGGGATCTGAGTTTCTCCCAGAAGCGACTTGCTGCCTCGTACACCCACGGGTTGTGATGAAGCAGGAACGGCAGACCGCTGTGGGCGAGCAATCTTCTCAGCGACACAAGCACTCGATCTTCAGCTCGTCAGAATACTTCTCAGGTTTGCAACGATGAATGAGCAATGACTTTGGGCGGCGAAGTGAGCACAGTGTTGACATGAGGGGTTCATGGCCAAGTCATTGAACGGAGAATGTTGCGGGTTCGGTACAGGACAAGACAGTCAAGTAGGGAATTTTGGGGTTGTATTTTGTCATCTACCCAATTATGCTACGTGGAATTCGACGCAGGTTGAGAAAGACTGGGGGTCCAGCGAGTCTTTGCGAGGTAGCAGTATTGCTCATGATCCCGAGCCAGGGAACTCGAATGCACGAAGTGTTCCGACGGAAACCCGTTAGATAACACGATCTGTACATCCCTCGTAGGATTTTCCTCATGTCATTCAGTTCGCTGCAAGGAACAGGGAGGGTTCAGCCTTCACAAAGACACGGGCCCGCAGTGACTCACAGATTTCACAAGCATCGAGTCGTTGTGACAATTGCTGTACTTGGTGACTCGAAGGGGAGTGAGAGGCAGTCGACGTCAGACATAATGCGATCCAAGTCACCGCTAGTGATACTAGTGCTATAAAGTTGCAGCAGCACCCGGTCATTTCAATTTGCTTGGCAGCCTTGGCACTCAACTAGAATTTTGAGAATCTTTGCCTCAACTGCGGATTAACATAGTCGACCCCGAAGCGTTTGACAACCACACCACTTCAGCCTTAGTTGCTGCGTCGACATACCCCATTTCACTGACACTTCGAGCCAACCGGTCAAAAATGTCGTCGCGGTTCTTTCATGGAGGAGACTCCGACAGCGAGAGCAGTTCTTCCGAGGAGGAAGAACTCTACGGTGATCGCGAGGACGAAGAGGAAGAAGAATCTGAAGAAGAGGAGGACGAGGAAGAGGAGTCAGAGGAAGAATCTAGCGAAGATGAAGGTCATGGCACGGGTGCGAGCCGTTTCTTGAAGCCCTCAGGACCTGGCGGCGACGAATCCGACGAGAGCGAAGACGAGGATCGTGAGCGAGTGGTCAAGAGTGCAAAGGACAAGAGATTTGAGGAATTGGAGAGCACGACCAAAAGCATTGAGAACGCTGAGAAGATCGGTGACTGGGCTGTCGTATCTTCAGGTTCGTATTTGTGTCCCGATCCGCTTGATGGAACAGTACTGATCTATACACCCAGAGTTCGACAAAATGAACAGACAGGTTGTCAAGGTCATCCAACAAGGCACCACGCCGAAACTCTACATCAAGATGATCGCCGATCTCGAAGACCTGATCAATGAGACGAACGAGAAACAGAAATCCGGTGCGAAGAAAATGAACCCCATCAATGCAAAGGGTTTCAATGCCATGAAACAAAAGATCCGGAAGAACAACAAAGAGTACATTACCGAAATTGAGAAATATCGAGCAAACAAGGAGGAGTTCATGGAGTCGGACGAGGAAGAGCCCTTGGAGGTGGAACAGAGGACTCGTAAGAACAAGGTCCAGAGACTCGACGCTATTGAGGCTGCCATAGATGAGGAAGGCTTTGCAACGGTCGGTAGAGGTGGCAAGGCTCTTGTCTACACACCGGAGAGCATCCTGAAACACCTTCGCACCATCGTCGAGTCAAGAGGAAAGAAAAACACGGACCGGTCTGAGCAAATCCGTATTATGGAGAGACTTTTGGACGTTGCCAGCACACCGTATCAACGGATACGGGTTCTTCTAACCCTGATCTCCACAAGGTTCGATGTCACCACCTCCTCAGTCCAGGCCTACATGTCGCAAGAGTCATGGCGATCCGCAGAACGCGAATTTTCAACTCTGCTGCAAACCCTGGAAGATGAGCCCCAGTACATGGTGACCGAGGCAGCCGAGGAATGGGAAGACGATGAGAAACAACCGAACCCTGCTGCGGGCGAGATCTTCAAGATTCCAGGCAGCGTCGTATCCCTTGTTGAGCGACTAGACGACGAATTGACACGCTCTCTCCAACAGACCGACCCTCACACAGCCGAATACATCGAGAGACTGAGCGATGAGCAGCTTTTGTATACTGACATTGTGCGTACGCTCATCTACATCGAAACCATCAACAAGAAATTGGAGAAGTCCGAAAACAAGCAAGACAACATCAACCGCACAACTATCCGACGGCTGGAACACATCTACTTCAAACCCACGCAGGTGGTTAAGATCCTGGAAGAGAAGACCTGGGCTGCCATTCCGTCTTCCCTGAACTCCGAACTGACCCCACGAGGAAAATTCACCGAAGTTGCTGCGCTTGTCCAGACGCTTTGCAACCATCTGTTCGAGTACAGCGAGGGCATCATTCGTGCACGTGCCATGCTCTGCGAGATCTACTTCCTGGCCCTACAGGATGACTACTACCGCGCTCGTGATCTTGCTCTGATGAGCCACTTGACCGAGAATATCTCCTCATTCGACGTCTCAACTCAGATACTCTTCAACCGAACTCTCGTGCAAATCGGTCTTTGCGCTTTTCGTGCAGGTCTGTGCTACGAAGCGCAAGGTGTCCTACAGGAGATCTGCGGTTCTGGACGGCAGAAGGAACTCCTCGCTCAAGGCGTCATCATGCAACGCTATTCGACTGTTACGCCGGAGCAAGAACGTCTTGAGCGGCAGCGTCAACTTCCATTCCACATGCATATCAACCTGGAGTTGCTTGAATGTGTCTATCTGACCTGCAGCATGTTATTGGAAATTCCGTTGCTGGCCCAAACTGGCTCATCACCAGACGTCCGCAAGCGCGTCATCTCCAAAACGTTCCGCCGCATGCTCGAATACACAGAGCGACAAGTGTTCCAGGGCCCACCGGAAAATACGCGAGACCATGTCATGCAAGCCGCCAAGGCTCTTGCTCAGGGGGACTGGAAGAAGTGTCAGGAACTGATCAGCAAAATTGCCATCTGGGATCTCCTTGGCCTCGAAAACAAAGAAAAGGTCAAGAAGATGCTGGCGGAACAAATCCAGGAAGAAGGCCTCCGGACGTATTTGTTCACATACGCTCCGTATTACGACACTCTGTCCATCACCACTCTTTCAGGCATGTTCGAACTCGACTCGAAGAAAATTGCGGCGGTGGTATCCAAGATGATTTCCCACGAAGAACTTGCCGCTGCACTCGACCAGGTCAACGATGCTATTGTCTTCCGGAAGGGCGTGGAGCTTTCGCGTCTGCAAAGCCAAGTCATCACACTGAGTGAAAAGGCGATGGGCATCCTGGAGTCGAATGAGAAGGTACTGGAGACGAGAACTGCGGGTATGGTCAACGCGTTCTCGGCCCAAGGACAGCGAGGCGCAGGCAGGGGGGGACGAACTGGGGGAAGGACCGGGTTGCCGGGTCTGCCGAGACAGGGACAGCAAGGAGCGAGGAGGCCTGGCGGGCAGCAATTCAGTGGAGGGGCGCTGGGAGGGGCGATCAAGGCTTGAGTATGACTTTTTGGCACCCGAGAGTCATCAATGCATGAAACTGCGCTGGATGTATGCATGGAGACGAGACGTGGTCATGCGAGATGATCTCATGGGTCTGATGATGATGTCTGGTTGTGCCCTCTTATCTATTTCCGGCTTGAAGGGCAATTCCAAATGAATAGACTGCCGATGATCCAAAAGGTCCAGGGCCACACGCCGGAGGGTTACGCATATGCAGCCTTGCTGCCGGGTAGGAACAATCTCTCCGCACATCTATGTACCTTGGGTTGGCGGATGGTGATGCTCTGTCGTTGACGTGGATTGGCATCGACGGTACCTTCGCGTCTGGAATGGGAGGATAAATACAGCAGATATGCCATGTTCAGCAGAATGCAGTTTCCTCTGTTCAGCCTCGCCACATTCCTCTGTCTCCGTATATTCTGCTCCATGTATGTCGAGCTACTTGCTCGATGTGGAAAGCCCTCTTGTGTTTCATGCCTCCGTGGGCTCCTCCCACCAGGACATTTGCGGAGAGTTCTACGGAACCTCCCATTTCTCCCCATTGATTTGAGTACGTCCCGGTCATCACCCCTTGCCAAGGCACGATTGCGTGTGGCCCTTCACCTAACGCAGGGGTAACTGCAGGAGTCGGTACGGGAAAAGGGATTATTGAGGACTGTCCGAAGTCAGATGATTCTAATATATACATTACGGCTCTATTTGTCATGACAAATTTACATGTGCTTATGTCGCTTTTGGTTTTGTCCCCAGCGCCTGCTTCAGCCTAGGATCCTCTCTCACGACGAGGAGTTCCCCCCTGCAGATTTTCAGCAGCGTGAAGGCGGCGTTGATGAAGAAGACCAGGATCAAGAAGATGAGCTGGATGACGGTGACGATTTTGAAGAAGGCCGAGTCCAGCTCGGTGCCCAGCAGCAGGGTCGCCGTCGTCAGCGTGCCCGTGGGGAAGATGATGGCGTTCCACGTCGGTGCCCAGGTCAAGTCCCGGTTGACGATGCGATGGAGCATGGCGACGAGCGCGAAGCCCAGCCACACCGCGCCGAGACCGGTCATCAACAGGGCCAGGAAGATGCAGGTTACCTGCAGCGAGCCCGCTGCCGATTCGGTCAGGAAAACCCCTCGGTCGTAGCCCCGAAACTGCCCGTGTGTACTGGCCGCCGACCCTAGGAGTTGCAAGGCCGCCGCCGACTGTCCCATGGGTCCCACGAGGATGAACAGAGTGGCTGTCATGGGCGGAGCTGGCCACCCCTTTGCCAGCAGCTGATGAAGCAGGTACGTGTATAGGATCAGGCCGAGGAAGATTCCCACTCCGACTGCACATAGCGACATGATGATGACCGGAACGGCGAGTCCCGGAGACACGTTGTGTGCAAAGGATGCGAAGACGCCGCCGACCGCTGCTAACGTGGCCACTCCCACGGCGGGGATGATGATGAGAGTCGGGAGCTGCCGGTCCAAGATGTTGTGCTGCTGGATCAGGTTGGAGAAGACGAAGAGCAACATGCCGAAACTCCACGTGGCCGCAATCCACCACATGACACAGGCAACGATGGTGAACGGATGGCCTCCCCAGGGGGCCTCGCTCACGGTGAGGGTGACGAAGGACACCAGCGTCATAAAGGCGATCGACCAGCACGGGAAGAGACACAGGTCCAACACATTGTCGACGAGTTCTCGGTACGCTGTTTTGCGGTACATGGCGAAGTGCAGGATGCAGATGACCGAGAAGACAACGTAGAGGACCAGGTCGATCGTAAACGCAATCGTCGAGAGCACATGAAGCCCCGGGAACTGATATGGGAGTTGGTGGAGGAGCGTCCCAATCACGCCGGCGTTCATGCACCATGTGAACCTACCATGTCTTTGTCAGAGGGATGGCTTTTGGGACAGAAACCATGCGGTGTAGCGCGTTGGACGTACCATATGGGACTGAAGTCCTGGACCATAGCCCGGAAAGCACTTCGAACCAGCGGCCCCTTGTAGATGGCATCGGCATTTTGTTCTTCCTCGTCGTCGTAGTTGGCATTGCTTTGAGGCTGGATGTCGTCCTCCATGACGCCCTTGAGCTCCATCTATCGCGTGCCACAGGTGTCTGTTCTTCTCTCGAGGCCGCCCAGGTATGGGATGTGCCCAACAACCGGCGTCATGGCCATAAGCTTTTTATCCTGAATGCCCTTCAAATCGGCCTGGAGACCCGGTTTAGTCATTTTGCTGCCGGGTACAACGCCGGCCGGGCACTCGCCGCCTAAGCAGACGGCGAGCCTTTAAAGGAGCAACATACTTGTCATGGTGATGATCCTTCCTTTGGGGATTTTCCCCTCAAGCAACTTGCATCCAGCCACAGCCCAATAGGCACAGTAGGCTTAGCTCAGGCCCGATGGCAACGCCGCCTGCGCCGCCAATGGCTGGTGAATGGCGGAAGGGATCGAAACAGCCAAGTTGCCCTTTTCGACTAGATGTTGGGGATCTCGGTGCCTCTCCAATGGGGAAATATTGCCAGTTCTTACTTACCTAGATACGTAAGTAATGACCTTATTGCGTGATAGTTAGTGAGAAGGGGGGAAAGCCACAGAAGTTACCGTCGACTAGGGGGGGGGGGGGGGTATAACTAACTGGGGGCAGCTAGAATCCGCCCTACGATTGTCATCCCTCAACAATGCCCAACACTCCAAGGACATCAATCACATCTCCTCGGGACACCCACAGACTCTTCTATGCTTTGTTACAAAACAACAATACCACCCACGCCACCAAGCAATTGCCAGGGGGCGCTTCTGAGCAGGTTTGCGTGTTGCCTCTGCTCGCCAAGTTGGCCGCCTCCACCGGCTTCTGACCCTGAGTGTTTCAGAGCTCTGGCACCCTGATACCGATGCTGCTTCTCCCTGTGTCTTGACCCCATGAGCCAAGGCCCTTCCAAGACTCACCGCTGTCCTGCTGGACCTGTGGTTTCAATCGTGGTGGGGATTTGGCAACAGTCGATCGCGGAACAAGACTTCTGTCGCTCCAACTTGCGACGGTGAGGGCCTCTTCGTCGTACGGGGCTGGATGGAGTCCTATGTATGTACCTGGGTCAAGTCTGCATCATCACTTCTGGGCGTACCTCCAGCCAAGTCGGTAAGCTACAAACAGGGGCATTTCATAGACGACTCGACTCCTCTCCTCCCTTTCTCGTTTTTCTTTTCTTCGTATATCGCTGGTCGAGCTCAATCCCTTGTCGTCTTGGGTTGTTACCTGTTTTGGTGCTTGTCGAAGCAGAGGCTGGTTCCTCTGACAAATTCATTTCGTGTTCGTGGGCTCCGTGCTTGCCATTGATGCTTGTCTTGTTATATCTTTCCTTAGCCACTCGACAGTTGGGAAGTCCTTGGAAGGCCGTTGTCGCCCAGAATGCCCGCCACCAATCTTAGGGGACGGTTTGACAGGTCCAAAATCGCTCCATTGAAGGCAGGACGCAGCGAAAGCTCACATGGCGTCGAGGAACCAGAATTGGTACAGAGGCAGGGTAAGATGCTGTCACCCAGACCGAAGTCGGCCATTGCTATCCGTCCCACAACGCCATGACTCCTTTCTCCCTCGAGGCTAACGGCCATGCCAGTCCTACCTGAGAACGACTTCCTTCCTCGGGATCAGACGTCTAGTGATGATGACAGTCAAGACGAGGACGAGGGCGAAGATGCCGATGATTCAACGGGCGAAGACGACGACAGCGACCATCCAAACCCGTCTCAACCGGCGACAGCCACGGCATCCCAAGGTCAGGCATCTCTCACTGCGCCGTCAAAGACGACCAACCACCCATCCACAGCCCATTCAACCATAGGCAGTTCCGCCACGCCGGCCTCGACAGACATAGGCACGAACGGCCCTCAAGGGTTTCTTCCCACCACTTCGGCGTTCCCCAGCTCCTTTACCACAAGCTCAACTTCAGTCGTGCCCCCGCCAAATAGCAGCACCGGGCTGGCCGCACCAGTATCAACCAGCCCAGTCGCCACCAGCGAGTCCGTCAGCGCTTCGGACCACCCTCTATCGAAAGTGGCAATTATAGTTCCATCACTGCTGGGAGCCGTGGCCGCCATTGTGGCCGCCTACCTTCTCTTTCGCTACTGCAACCCGCTCAAGGCCAGATGGGCGGTCTACCGAGCACGAAAAGGCAACAGGCTGCCGGGAGAGGAAGAAGATGGGACGGCACCGAAAGCGACGCCGCAAATGACCGAGGCGTATGCCACGCGGACAGAAATCGCACGTCCTCCATCCCTGCACATTAGTCCCCCGGCCACGACCAGACGCGCTCCTCCACCGCCGCTGGTCCGCAATGGTTCGATGAACAACCTGGGCCACATCGCGGTTGCTAACCAACATGCTCGGTCTCAGAGCAATCCACAAACCCTGCCTGACAATACGCCACGCCCGCCGTCGTACGCCTCGGGCGGCTACGGGGCTCGTGCTCTTCAACTGCAGGCGGAGGAGGAAGAGGAGGAGGAGGAGGAGGAGGAGGACGCGGGGCTTCCAAACCCAGATCCCCCGTTCAGACACCCCAACGGCCTGGCGAACAATCCCCCGACTCCCGTCGCGCGCAACCACCCTCCGACGCCTCGCCAGCGACACGAAGCAGTGAGCGACGTGCCCAGCATGCCGTCCCCCAGCAGCGTAGCCGCCGGCGGCCTGGACCTGGAGTTCCCCCTGCCACCGTCGACGCCGTCCGGGGCGGCGCACTTCTCGACAACATCTCCTCCGCCGGGATCCACCTTCAGCTCCCCCCACCGACTGCACAAGTCCATCACACCTTCCGAGAGCATATCCAACGTGCCCGACTCGCCGTTCCCCTTCTCGCCCGCGCTCATGCCCCCGATGCCGCTCCTGAATTCGCGCTGGAGCCACAATTCGTCGAGCGTCAATGGGCGAACGGCCCTGGGGGAGGAGAGGAGAACTGCGCAGCGCCACAGCGCAGACCCGGGACTGGTGGACGCAGCGTTCCCGGCACCGCGTTCCCCATCTCCCAAGAATTCGAGTTTGTCGCTAGCGTCCCCCCCATCTTAGGGTCGACGGCGTTGGGGTTGGGGTCGGGGAGCATCCAGTGTATGCGCTTGAGGCCCACCGGCGTGGCTTCGTCAAGCACCCTGGCTGGCTCCGGTAGAGAACACTATTACGGACTTCAGAAGCTGTCTGTTTTTGGGAAGCAGACCCGGGAGATGTTGGGGGGGGAGGGGGGGATAGAATCGAGCTGAGACAGTATACGGCGAGACGAAAACGGGCCTGCTTGATGAGCTAGCTGTCCCGTCATGTAAAAAAGATTATATGTACATCCAAGGGAAATCCGACCTCGTCATGAAATCCGAGTGGACCAGACAGAAGCCTTTGTAGAAAAAATGGAAGAAAATAGATTTCACGAACCACCAGAATGACGTTTATCTGGCCGACTTGCACGCCACGAGACCACCCACGACCAGGGCCTCCTTGCGCGCATAAACCTCCCCATTATTACTTTGTCTAGCTATGTAGATACGTACAAGTTGGTCCAGTAGGTACGAGTATGCACGATGCCCGAGGCGAACCGAACTCAGGGCTAGGACAGCGGACTCCGTCTGGGCGTGGGCCACCTACATAGCGAGGCTCGGGAGCTATTGATTAGCGAGCCTACAAGTACATACGCGTAAAGTAATCGGCCCCAGGATGGCTACTACCGTTGTGTCGTTAGGCGAGTTCCCCCCTAACAGTGTGACCAACTACCTACCTAAGCTAGCTAACCCGTGCCTTTTGAGGGCTAGAGATACATGTGAGATGACTAGGGTGGGTACATATTACATCCTTGTAGGACACAGCCAGGATCTGCCGGGGACGTACACGGTGACGAGCGAGAATGCGGGCCATAGTACTGGACAGCAGAAGGGGCTGAAGCCTGAAGCCCAGCCGTTGCAAAGAGGAGGCCATAGATTCGGTGGAACAGATCGAAGAAGGTGCTCAAAGCACGCAGAGTGCAATCGTGATAATTATCAACTTCGCACACCTCCTTGCGAAAGAAGAAGAAGGATCTCTCTCTGGTCATTTTAATATCCCTGCTGATTTGTCCCTGTTTTGCCTTCAAAAATGGGGATGCCAGTGCCACAAAGGGGGCTCTGGAATGACATCGAGCACCGAGCTCGGCAACCAAGCAGATAGACCAACTATTTTGACACCATTCTTCCAACAAGCACCTGTGCCGCTGTTAGAAAGGGAGAATCGGCGGATTCCACGCACACTGCTCACTTTGGGCAAATATACTGCCATAGCAAACCTTCAACTCGCCATCTTCCCCCCCACTCACTGTCAGCTGGCAAACCAGAGAAAAGGGCTACTCCTGAATGGCGGCGATACGACTATGGCTGTCGGTTTCTTACGGCAGTTGCAGCACTGGCTCTGGCAGCACTTTTTCCTTTTCTTCAGCTCGTCGTCCAACAGCTGCGCGTCCTCGTTATAAGTCGCCGCCTGTCCTCTTTCGTACGACGCCTTGTAATGTTCAGTGAGCGCTTCTTGGAACTTTTGCTTCGACTTGATCCTGTTCTCCAAGGACTCCTGCCTCAAGAGACTACAAGCTGGCGTGTGGAAGAATCTGGGAGGGAGGACTGCTGACGATGCTGCTATCGCGGCATCGATGTCGTTGGCGGTTCGGGCGCATCTGTCTGATTCTTGCTCGTGCTTATAAACCTCGACCATATCTTTCCACGCTTCATCGCTCTTCTTGTTGGATTTAGTCCTTAGGAGCTTTGAAAGGTCATTCACGGCCTGAGGTGGCAGGTTCATTCCCGGTGGGTGATGGGAAGGGGCACCATTCGAAGGTGTGATCCAAAGGTTGGGCATCTGAGGTTGCTGTTGCTGTGTAGTTGTCACTGACAGATATATGTCGTTGTCGTTTCGCAGCGTAAATGAGACGCTACTAGGGTTTATGGGTCGTGGTATCCTGTTTTCTACTTTTCGACACCTTAAATATCGGCGGAATCATGATGAACGACCCGGCTCTGACCACTTGGGTATGTTCAGCCTTGAATTCACAGAAAGACGGGGAGCTCGTGACCCAATCAGGAGACGTTCGTATTTCCGATGATCAGACACAAGTCGACCGAGGCTGGACCTCGCCTGGAGGCTTTCACAGCCGGGGACGAAAAATGCATTCGTGTTGTTGCTGATAGAACACCGTAATAATCCTTCCTATCGTCTGAGCTCTGCATGGACATATCATTCCTTGAGGGAAAAGGGAACCTTCATTTCCCATAGGTCAATATGGCACCCCGGGGAAAAGGCAACTGACACTAAGGTGTCTTAACCATGAAGCCAAGGTGCCGGTGCCTATTTCCAGACGCGGGCAACGTGTGACACCAATTCTCCCCAGTATGCACATCATACCTGGTCACAAGACAATCTTATCGTACCCCAAGACTGTGCATCCGTGCAAGGTGGAGCGAGAGTATCAGCAGAAACGTTGGAGGATAGCGAGAGAGGACTCGATCTCATCAATACCGATGGAGCTCCGGACAGCTATGCTTGGAAGCGTTAATTGAGGCGAGTCGATCCATGAAGCTAGGTGAGGAATGGGAAGGAGGCGAGACACCGAACACTCTCGCCGAGGATTGCCCTCTCACGGTCTTCGTTGCCCCGCCGCACATCAGCGAATGAATTAGGACGACAGGCAAATCCTGAGCCAGAACTGTCATCGCTGGCGGTGAACCCCGACTAGGATACGGGGAGCATCACCAGGACTCTGAAGAGGCTGGCGTGATGCTTGGCGCCTCTGTTGGGATTTGAGGAGTTACGAGAAATGAAGATTGAGGAAGGACGAAGGTTCAAAACGAGTTTAGGCGAGAGCCGGAAGTCCCGATCCGGCAGGCCGTGATTGCCGGTGATTGGCCCCTGACTCTATTAGGCTAGTCACATTCGGAGCCTTCATCTCTCCATCTTCCCATATCGCAAAGGTCACGGCACATTCTCATTGTCAAAGACTTGACTGGAAGTTTCCGACAACAAATCGTCTACTGTGAACACAATATCCGGCCACTCGATACGAGCCAAGTATGCTGAACGGGTGACCTCGATTCGAGGATCGAGGCGACCCGCTTGCAAGCAAACCAGGATGGTGGAACGGCTGACCTACAAGTATACCGACTCCAGGTACAGTGTTCTGCAGAATAATTCTCATCCCTGCTTCCAGCAAAGTTGACAAAGTAGAAAAGAATGAGTGCGGGTAACTGTCGTTAGATAAAAGAATTCAGTAGGTTGTATCCGAGTCGTCATAAAGCAGCCAGACAAGCCATCCAGCCCGCCAGAGAAGTCATTTATTCTGTACGTGAAACCGTGTATTTGCGCCTCATTTCTTGGTCCAGCGATCGTGCTTGATTCATTCGCATTCATTCACAAGACACCGTCAGATGAGAAGCACCCCGAGTGCGTGCCAAAATCTGATACAAATCACATCATTGCCACCCCGGCAATCTTTGCCAAAGCCTCGGTCCCCTGATCCATGGCATACAAGCCCAGGTCCGGATCACCGCTTTTTAACTTCACACGCCCATCCTTCAATCCCTTCGCCTTTGGACCCAACAGCGACATCAACATTGACGTTCTCCATGCCTTTGACGCCCTTCAGGAATTCCGAATTCGACATTCCACCCGCATTTGCACGGGCTTCGGGCGGTAATTCGAGCATCGGGGTCAAAAAATCACTGATCCGCTTGGCCTCTTCCACCGAGAAATGATATTTCTCCCGCAGCACGTCCGGTAGGGCCCAATGCCGTAGTCGATGGATGTTGCGCAGCTCGCCTTTACGGTTGAAGATCTCTTGTGACCATTTCCCCGACAGGCACAAGGATTTCGGAAACGGGCCGAGCAGTTCGATTATCTGCGCGATGTGATCGTCGTCTTTGCCATATTTGGTGCCAGATTGCGGATCGAAGAGGTAGTCGCCGGTTATCAGTTCAAATACCTGGAGACTGTTAGTGTGCGAAACGAAATCCCACTGATTGCAGCGTACCATGCATGCCATGCTCCACACATCCGTACTTGCACCCCATTTGGCGCCCAGTATCACCTCGGGCGACCGATATTGCCGAGTCTGAATATCGTTTGTGAAATGATGGCCCACCCAGCAAGCATTTCCCAAGTCTGCGATCTTGACAGAAATAATCTCACCTAGAGGTTCGTCCTCGTTCTTGGCCGCCTTCAACACTTTGTCGACATCCGACGACTTCTTATTGTCGAGCGAAACCCCAGCCAAGTCCTTTTCCAGAGGATCCGTCGTCCCTTCTCTCCCCTTCTCACCGACAGGCTGTTCCTCGTTCGCCTTGTTCTCTTTCGCTTTCAGCTTCAGTTGCTCAATCATTGAGAGACCATCTGCTGACTTGTTTGTGACCGAGTCATTAATGACTTGGTTCAGACTGCTAGGCGGATGATGGTGGGCCCCCAGTTTATCCAGATTCGTGAAGCTGGCGTTAAGCGGACTGGGGAGAGGTTGACTTCCGGTGATCAGAGTCCGTCTTCGTCTCCTTCCGTTTCTGTTGTCGTCTTTTGTCGATTCTTTCTCGTCTTTCACAAATGCTTTGACAATTTGTTCGACGTCGCCAATCTCAATCAGGACATTTTCAGGCTTCAAATCAGTGTGAATGATTCCACATTCACGGTGTAGGTAATCCAGCCCCAGCAGGACTTGTTTAGTGATCTGTTTGACCAAAGGCATCGGAATCCCCCGGTGGTTCCATCTCTTGATGAGGCCCAGCAGATTTTCTCCCAAGACCTCAAAGACCATACAAACATGGACACCATTGGGACCCTTGTGCTCGAAGGAGTCGAGGAGGCTGACGACATATCTCCGACCAGGATGATTTGGGTTTGCTTGAACGACCTTGTTTAATAATTTGATCTCGTCGATAGCGGTTTCTGTGTAGTGCGCCGCGGATCTAACTACCTTGAGGGCGACATGTTTGCCCGTCGTCGTATCTCTTGAAAGCCAGACCGTGGAGAAATGACCCCAACCCAACTTCCGCACCACCACGTATTTGCCATTGTTGTATGTTTCGCCAACATGGACGGGATGATACCCGCCCTTGCAGTAATCTTCGGAGTCTTCTTCGTCCGCAGTGGTCTCGGCGGGGTCGTCTTCGGAGGTGGAAGATGAAGGGGATCTGTCAATATGTGAGTTATTTGCAGGGACCTTCGCGTGAGGCAGAGGCGAATCCATGGCGCTGAGGAAGGACGATCAGTTTGAAGGCAGATTTAGTCGAAAAAGAGGACAAGGCATTGCATCTGCGATCAATCACGATATCATGTGCAAGGAGATGACAAAGCGCGTGAACGAGGAATTGCAGGTGACAAGGTGAGGAGTGACTGGAGCAAGTGACTTACTCTGGGTCTGCGGGAGTGGGGCTATCGTGAAGACTCGACGCAGTCGCGTTCTCGCTTGTGATGATGGGCTTGAGGTTGTCGCCTTTCCGCCGTTTCTTTTGACCATTTCCGTTTGCTGCCAGCGCGGCGGTCGTCGCAACCTTCTTGGCCTGGCTGATGGCGGCTTTCTTGAGGTCGGTGCCATTCATCATGGCGAAGACGGCAGCGTTTGCGGCCAACAGGTTATTGGAGTATTGAGAGCCTGGTCCCCTTGCAGGGCCAGCTTCCGATAATGGAGGAATTGTGGAAGATATTTCGAGGTTGCAGTCGAGATTAGAAGGGGATGGCCTTTTGGGCGCAGTTGGGCCACGAGGGTTAAGCCCGAGCTGGCCTGGTGTGTGATCGTGACAGGATCTGCGAGCGTCAGAGGATTGACGCAGCGGCAGTGGCAGTGGCAGTGGCAGTGGCAGTGGTTACGGCGGCGTGCAGTGACCAGCCGTCGTTCCCAGATGGCAGTGGATCTCAGGCTATTCAGGGCCCGGGGTCGAATCTTCGCTTCGGGGGGTCGGACCACGCCCTGTCATGTAAGAAAGAATGCTGACGGCGCAGGCGGGATGATGTTATGTCGAATCTGTGTGTTTTGTCTTCTTTCAGGCTTGTCACGTTTCCTGCAGACTCAAAAGTGCGCGGCTACGGCGGCCTCACTCTTTGATCGAGTCGAGCAGAGGCACCGATGAGCCAAGTGTGCGCTGAAAGCTGCGTGCTGCGGGTTGGCGGATGTGATTCGCGGATTGAACGGCAGGGCACCCAACCACGCGCCGGCGGTTATTCGATAAAGGACATTGAAAGCGAGGGCGAGGGCGTCGGTTTAGGGTCGAGGAACATGGACGGGCGATTGATTTCTGCGATTTCAGCCAGCTGCCCAAAGAATATCGAAGCTTGAAGGTTGGTGTCGAAAAGAATCCAAGAATGAGCGAACGCTGGAGAACGAGACCCGTTGGGTTTTGATCGAATCGAGTCGGAGGGCAAGGAGCGAATTAGGAGCTGGGCAGACACTGCTGCAATGAGCCGGAGACGGCGGCGGTGGTGATATCGAATTCGAGGTTCGTGGGACCTGCCAATGACGATTGATCCCGTCACCTGTAGAGCAGGAGAGTTATGTGATAATCACAGGGACGTAGCAGCAGTGGTGGGGTCTCCTCGGGAGGTTTGTTTGGCGTGGATTTGTTGCGTTTGATATCGATATCGATCGAGGGCGAGGGCGGGCGACGATAGAGGCGGGAGGTGAGGACAGTGTTGTGCTGCTCAAACGAAGTCTTTTGTAGATTTCTATGCTATTCATGCCATGACTAAGGAGTAGGATTCGAGTGGACGTTTCCCTTCCATTGATTCCGAGCTCAGCCATGAGTAATGAACTGGCTATTCGTTTCAACAATGAGCTGCGTTCCTGGGCAAGCCACCTGCGCCATTGGAAAACTCAACCACCCGCGCAGAGATGCTCTACCCGTTCTTCCACAACTCGAGACATTGGGACACGACGGCCCCAAGAGATCTAGTGAAGAGCGTCTCGAGGTCCTCACACTGGACATCCCTTAAATAAGCCTTGGAGAAGGTTTGAATTTTTGAAGATGCAGAACATGGACTCATGAGCCACTGTGCGCGACAGCCGCCGCTCTCCATGAGACTGCCCCAGAGACAAGCGACAAGCTCGTGCTCTTCTCTGAGAGTTTACCACCTTTCGACTCTGCCACCTCCAAGATGGGCCTCTTCTCGCCTCCGGATTCACCTTACGCACCTCCCTCTCTCATCTACCAGCTCATATATCACCCTCTGACCACCTGTTTTACCTTCTTCCACCACATCTTCCTCTACCTCCGCGGTCCACCCTACATCACACCCAAAAACAAAATCCCCATCCGCGTCGTCTGCCTCTCCGACACCCACAGCCAAATCCCACGCACGGCAATCCCCAAGGGCGACCTCCTCATTCACTCCGGTGACCTTACAAACAACGGTTCGCGCTCCTCCATCCAGCAAACTATAGACTGGCTAAAAACACTCCAAAAGCCCTGGCACGGCTCCTCCGATGGGTTCCGCCATATCGTAGTGGTGGCGGGGAACCACGACAGCTATTTCGACGAGCGCAGCCGTGGTGTAGGGGACAAGGGCCGTGCCCACCGTCAGCTAGACTGGGGGAAAATCCACTACCTGCAGCACTCGTCAATCACACTGCGTTTTCCCGGCGACCGCGCGTTGAATGTCTACGGAGCTCCGCAGATACCTCAGTGCGGGGGTAAAGAGTTTGCATTTCAATATACCAGAGGTCAAGATGCTTGGAGCGGTACCATCCCTGAAGACGTGGATGTCCTGGTCACGCACAACCCGCCGAAGTGGCATCTTGACCTACCCACCAGTGGAGGCATGGGCGATGAGTTCGAGCTAAAGGAAGTTTGGCGTGTCAAACCTACACTGCATGCTTTTGGGCATATCCATTCTGGCCACGGCGTTGATCCCGTCTGGTGGGACGACAGCCAGCGTGCATTTGAAGAGTTCCTGGCCGCGGCGTATAATAAGCCCGCCGACACACCTGCGAGTCACCGCGTACCCTTCGCCGAGCTGCTGGATATACCGTTGTGGGTTAAAGGCATCCAATGCACGATCGCAGATGTGAGAGGTCTACTGTGGACAAGGCTGTGGGGAGGCGCCCGACAGGGAGGCTACATGGTCAACGGCGCTCTGGCGCATCAGACGACAACTCGGTTGTTGAACAAACCCCGAGTTGTGAGTCTTTAGACCTAATACTGCATCAAGAGACTTGGGAGGTTATGCGCACCCTGAACGAAGAAACGGTCGATAAATTGTACGAGTCCCACGCCCATCTCAAGCCATTTGCCTCGAACCAGAGAGCCGGGGAATAAATCCAGATGATGTACAGGCACATTCACGGTGTTCCAGAGACAGACGAAAAAGGAGAAATGGAGAAAAGCAAAAGCGATAGATATCTTTGTACGCAGGACTATAGTTTATCATTAATTCGTATTTTTCTCCCCTATGGCTTTCTGACAAGTTTCCAAGGACGCGCACCAGTTCCAAACTCCCGACATTTTGGGGGCCATGCTTTGCCCGAATTTCCTCCCTCCCAAGCAATCGTATAGAAGGGCATATCCAATTGACTCTCTCAGCAATAAAGAGATGTTCGACCATGCTTTGCGCCTTCTTCAGTATTTTTCTCCAAGCTCGGACAAGATTCAAGCACCGCTTCCTAAATGAGTTCACATGGACCGGCTCTTTTGGGACGTCTTCCATCAATCATCCACCCATCATGATCCTCTGCGTTCTTCAGTCGTTATCGTCGTCGTCGTCGACGCCGCCGCCGCCGCTATATCCCTTCTCGAAAGACGCTTTTCCTCGTGCTGATCGGACTCGAGCTCCCGTCTCCGCTGCCCTGGGTGTCCAAACTCTGATTCCCCTTCGTATGTCCCTTTGCCCCCATGCCATCGGATTCCGGCCTGGGGCTCACGCTCCTCAGCCTCGGCGTCGCCTCATGCTGATCGCCAAACGGATTGTCTCTTGAGGAACTGGCCGGCCGGCCGCGTCCGCTCACATCGACGTCGGAATACCCTGCGCTTCCGCTGGCACCTAAGTAGTCTCCTCCAGAGCCTCCGCGAGCGCCGCCGCCGTAGGGTTCATTCTGCAATCCTGGTGTCGGCGCTAAACCGAGCTCCTGTTCTTCGTAGCCAGAGTAGCCCGCTCCTGGCCCGTAGGGGTCTTCGTTCCCCACGCGGGTGTCCCATGCATCGTCCTCCATCCCTCTGCCTCCCCGGCCCCTGGCACCACCGGACACTAGTCCATCCGCACCACTTCCGGCCTCCTCGTAAGCCCCTCTGGCCGTACGTCTCCTGGTCAGCTTGGCAAATTGATCTCTGGCCCACTCCAAAGGCCCCGCATGCCGAGGGGCAGGGTAGTTTGAGGAAGCTTGAGGCTTAAGGAACGGGATATAAGTTTTCCATGACTTGAGGGAGGGGGCCGGGAGCCCTTGTTTGCGGGCGCTGTATTGTGTGTAGACCACCCATCCGACGATCGCGAAGATGAGAAGGAGGAAGAGGAGGAAGAAGAAGAGACCTGGATGAGGAGTTTCTGTTAGCGAGGATGCCGGGACTGCTGAAACAGATGCGACGTACCCCAACCATGCATGGTTGCGAGAACGGCTTATCGTTCTGCTTCCGAGTTTCTTGCGTTGTTTGTGTGACGAACGCACTCGTCGACTCCGGCCGCGCCTCTGTTCGAAATGCAGATGTACCAGCGTTTGATCAGAACGCTGACTTGTCGTCTCACTAAAAGGTTCAGCTGGAGATTTCAGGCGGGCATTGCTGCTGTTTCCTACAGCGACGCTGTAATTCTGACTGGACCGTCAAGAGAATAGATTGGGGAAAAGCGGTCTCAACTATAGTGCGATTGATGACAGTCTGTGGCCAGACTGGATATTTGAGGGCCGGCTGATGAAGGAAGCCTGCTTTGACTGCTGCCGATGCGAAGCCAGACCAACGTCAATTGGAACATCAGCGCACCAAGCGGATACTCGGCTGCTGCGTCCCAAAGAGGTAAAGCGCGCAATGAGCTGATTCTTCACATGCTATCACGTGTTTCCGACCTCCCCCGCCCCCTTTCTACACACTTTTTGACAGGTGAGTAGTGGCTGTGGCGCAGTTCTATTCTATCGCTCTCAAAGGATATCGTACAGGAAAATGCTCTGGAAGTGTTCTAGTCTGGGTTATTAGACAACTCTACACGTCGCGTACAGTCCCTCGAGCTGTAAGCACATCCGAGCTGTCCCCCTGACCGAATGCCAGCTAGACAAGCACGCTCTGCACGTATGCCTTGCACCTCCTGCCCTTAGCACACCAGTTCGACGACTCTTCGCGCGTCCATGCCTGTAGCGGGAATCCGTGTAACTTCGACCCAGCCGCCTTGGGTTGCTGCGACGATCTTCCCGTCCACGCAAACCATCCTCCACTGTTCGTCTGGTTCATCGAACTCAATCCTCAAGGCCTCGATATCTTCGTACGTCACCTTCGGGTCGGTGACGTGCTTTCCAGACTGATAGGCTAGATGCAGTATTCGCATGATTTCTGAAGCCGGTTCAGCGCCAATAGCGACAAGTCGGAGGCTACCATCGAGAGGTCTCGTAGCTGGTGAAATTTGGAAATGCTCCTCCAGGTTGGATACCATAGTGGCGAGCACGTAAGAGTGTTGCGGTCCAGGCAGGTCTCTCCACTCGCCGTCTGATTTCCGCCATTTGACTTTACCGCTGTACTGGTGAACCTCTTTCAATAGCTGCTCTGCAGCCATTTGGAACCTCGCGAGGCCATGCTTGCGATATTCCGTCGTGTCGCTCATTGCCACCAGACTTGCGTGCAGCCCCCAGCTCGCAACCACGGCGCCGTACATGATCGGCCCATCCTCATCCTCATCACCTATAGCTTCCCGGTCTTGACCTTCGTTGACGACCAGCTCCGCACCGCGGCTGAAACAAACCTTGAAGGACGGCAGCGATTTTGGTCTTCCTTCCATCATAGTCTTGAGAGGGTCTTGAGCAACACCCGAGCTCCATGCCAAAGCATTCGCTGTTCCCATGGGTATCAGAACAATGGCGGGTTTAAGGAATATCGAAGGAGCTCGAACGTCATCATTCCGCCGGTTCAACAGAGTTGTGAACGTGTTGACGATATCAACAATGCCGCCGTCTCCTGACAGCAAGATGATTGTTTGCTTGACGCCTTGTCGCGCGTTCACGATGAAAAGTTTCTCGGTCAACTCGATGATTGTCTTGGTAGACTTGGTTTCGTGTGTGAAGTAGACAATGCTGTGGCTGTCGAGCAACGGCTTGATAGATTCTTCATAGTATTCTTTTGCTTTGTGACGACCAGACAGAATTGAGATGACCACATGTATCTCACGGTCGGGGAGCAGATGGCCCGGCAGTGATTGCTGAGCCGGCAACGACATCTTGCGCACCCTTAGACTCTCTTGTCAAGGTAGATACGGTAATCCGGTCAACGGTGTTGGGTTCCTCTGCCGGCCTTTGGCGATCAATTCATATTTCCCGGGAGATTATGGCCAATCAATGACTTGACGGCGTATGAGGTGAATAGGTATGCTTCCGTGCTACGTAACTAGCGTGGGTATAGCTGTCGGCAGAACCGTTCATATGCTGGCTCGTGGAGCCGTCCAAGTCATCAGTAAGCCCTATAAAATAAGGTGAGGTGCCTAAGACCACTTTCCATAAACCGGAATCCTTGCGGAAAGCATCAACCGTGGAGCATGACAATACGCTGTAGGTGAGTAAGCGGCGTAGCAATGTTTGGGGTCCAAGTTTGTCCGAAGCGGCTGGGGGAAAAGAAGTACGGATGACCGTGTCCCAGGAGCAGAACTTCGCCGACGGACAATGCTCAGTGCTATGGATGGATATGCAGGTTCACTTTGAAAGATGATGGGTCTGACTAGAGTGCGTCTTGCAAGGGAGGTTGAAGTGGCCAAAGAAAAACACGACCCAGTTAGTGTCGCTAGATAGATAGCGAGATATTACGAAGTACACTCGACACACTAAAGTGGTTCTGGAAGGTAGAGCGAGCAGAGTTAGGCGGTGCCTGGGGATAAGCATTAACCCTGCCGTCCAGCGAGGCTTTATTTGTCATTGTTCGAGATAGCGAGCATGGATTCCACCTCTTCTCGGTCCGCGATGGACCTATAGCTTTGTTTCTTCGCTTCTTTCTTCTCTCCTATCCCAAAGCGGCCCCGGCGACTAAACTCCCCCGACATCGTCTTCCTTAATGGCCCCTGAACGACGACAATTTTCGACCTATTCGATCCACTGTCCAAGTCGGGCATTATGTTGTTTCTGGATGCGTCAGACGTGGATTTCTCACGTCGGATTGTTCCGTTCCCTGGCAAATCTGTCGCGGTTCCTCGGGACCAGCTATATCGGCCAGAGTCCCGGTAAAACGTGCCTCAACTGATCTCACGGCCGTACAATTGTGGCAGATCCTACAAAGCTGGATGGTATTGCTTGCGTAGTCGATAAGAGCCCCGCGTAAGTGGCCAACAAGGACGGAAATACTACTTTCCGCCTGTGGAAAGACAGGAGAAAATTTCCCAATTGGAGTCTCATTAAATCCGCAGGAATACTTCCCCTGCCGTCTAGAGAATATGGGGATATCCTATTTTGACCCCATAACACCTGAGTGGCTACTTTGGTTTGATAGAACTCCCCAGTGCTCAAGGGTTCAACATTGGCAGCAAGCTACCCGTCTCCCATTACCCCGTACAGTCAGACCAATGGGCACCTTGCTTCTTCGGACGCGCGGTCCCTCGGCAGGAGATGGTTCCGCTCAATAACGATGAGGCTGACCTACCACTCACCAGCAAATCATGTTGCCTCCACCGACACCGGGTCGTGGGTTTCTGGCCCAGCGGCTTGCCTGAGGAATACGAGAGCATCTTGGCCAGGCAATACAAGGGCTGATTCGATCCTCCACCAATAAGATCTTCTGGGAAACAAGATACTTTGAGCCCTCAAGGGCGGGGTGCATCAGCTTCCCCGCCACCCAACATCTATTCTGAGACAGACTTTCGCCCGGTGCTCTCAATACTTGTGGAGGACTTGTGTGTGTTGAGTGCGTCGCCGCTTTACTTGGGGCACAGCGAACGTCGTAGGGCGTCGGTGGTGGTGTTTTCAGTGGCGCTCACTTTCCGTATCTAGTTGCATGTCCTCGCCTTATGAAGGCATCCATGCACCGTGAAACAGCTGAGCTGATATGGGAGGGAAATCGGAACCGACCAGGACTGGCAGGTGATGAAGGAATCTAGACCAGGGCAACGGCCCAAGCCTCTGTCCGCATGATGTTACTGGCTGACTTTCTTTTTAGAGAAGTATCTCCAGCACTCTTACCCTAGCCCTTGGTGGTAGGTTGGATACGAGCACAGACCTCTTTTGGCATCTTACAGGCCGAGAACCCAGCTTCCCTTCGCAGACCGGCTGGCGCCGAGGATGGTGCACCCTGGGTAGCACATATTGTAACCCTTGTCCTTGATGTGGCACTATTGTGGGTTACGGGATATCTGCTTGCTCTTATGTAAGAGGCAGGAAGCAAATATATAACCATTGCTCCTGCCCTCCCCTCGAAGCAAAACTTTCCTTAGCCTCAGACTGCTAGCATTCCCCGGCATATCAGCCAGCCCGACTACCAGTTCTAGATTACATCGCGTTACCATCTGGAAAGATGGCGACTGCTAATGGAGCCAATGGCACGCAAAAGTCGGCCCTCGTCCCGGTCGATGAGTTTGTTGGGCGAGACTACGACTATCTCATCTGTGGTGGCGGTACAGCTGGTCTAGCTGTTGCTGCCCGTTTGACAGAGAATCCAGACGTCACCGTCGGTGTTATCGAAGCAGGCAAGAGTCGACTTGGTGACCCGCTGGTTGATATCCCAGCAATGTTTACGCAGATGCTGGGCAATAAGGAGTACGATTGGGCTTGGGAAACCATTCCTCAGGTAGAGACTCACCGCCCTTGCCCTTTGCCATGAACTAACTCTTGTGCAGCCGGGAAACAAGAACAAAGTCCACCAAGTAGCCCGGGGTAAAGCGCTGGGCGGCTCGAGCGCAATCAATTACATGATGTGAGTTCCACCACTCCGACAGTGACCAGCCTCGTGGCCTAACGTCAACAAAGGTATGTACGCGGATCAGACCAAGACTACGACGACTGGGCCGAACTAGCGAACGACCCCTCGTGGTCCTCTGCCAACATGAAGCAATACATGCGAAAGCACCAGACACTAGAGCCTGTCGACGAACGAATCGCCGACCGCTCTACCATGCCATTCGTTGGAGAGAATCACGGCACAAGCGGTCCCGTGCGGACTGGCTTCAACGACTTCAGACTCCCCCTCGAGGACGATGTGATCAAAGCTGCCGACCATGCTACTGGATTTGACAAAAAGCCAATCGACCCATGGAGTGGAGACCATATTGGATTCTATAACACTCTGGGTGCCGTGGTGCGCACGGGCCCCGACAAAGGCAAGCGTAGTTACGCTGCTCGAGGATACTTCCAGCCCAACGAACACCGCCCGAATCTCAAAGTCATAACCGAGACGGTGGTCGCTCGAGTCGTCCTCGAAAACAAGAAAGCCACAGGTGTGGAGTTCATCCACAATGGCCAGAAGCATACCGTCAAGGCCAAACGAGAGGTGATTGTCTGTGGCGGAACCATCAACTCTCCCCAGATCCTTGAGATGTCTGGCATTGGCAACCCTGAGATTCTCAGAGCCGCTGGCGTTGAATGCTTGGTCGATCTCCCATCCGTGGGAGAGAACTATCAAGATCATGCCGCTACAGCTGCAGTCTATCAACTTGCGGATGGCCAGATGTCCGCCGACTCGATCTACAAGCCCGAAGTCATGGCGGCCGCGCAGAAGGCCCTGGTAGAAGAACAAGGCGGACCCTTGACCGCGATCCAATCCGTTCAAGGCTTCTTCCCCTGCACCATGTTCCTGGAGGACGGCGAGCTGGACCAGACCATCAAGTCGATTGAGAGCGCCAAAGCGAAGACGCCGTTCCAGAGGAAGCAATGGGACCAGGTCATCTCCCACCTCAAGAGCAACAAGTCGGCGAATCTGCAGCTCGTCTTCATCGCCGCGACGGGAAATCTGCATGAAGGGCCCGGCGACCAGAGCAAGCTGTTCCCTCCCCCGGCCGAGGGGGCCAAAGACGGCGTCACCTTGGCCGTGTGCCTGCAATATCCCGTCTCCAGGGGCCATATCCACATCAAATCCGCCGATCCGACCGTGGCCCCCGAAGTCCACCCCAACTACCTGGGCCAGGAAGCTGACGTGGCCGTACTGGCCGCGGGCCTGAAATTCGTCGAGAAGACGGCCTCGTCCCCGTCCCTCAAGGACAAGCTCTCGCACCGCATCGGGCCTGAGCCGGACAAGTTCCCCCTCGACTCTGTCCAGTCCCGTCGCGCGGCTGTCAGGGAGCACGTCCTGGGCGAGTACCACAGCTGCGGCTCGTGCGCGATGGGCGACACGGTCGACTCGCGCCTCAGGGTCAAGGGCGTGCAGAACCTGCGTGTCGCCGACGCCAGCGTCTTCCCCAACAACGTCAGCGGCAATATCCTGAGCAGCGTGTATATGATCGCCGAGAAGGCGGCGGATATGATCAAGGAGGACTGGGACTATGCCGCGTTGAACAAGTTCTCCAAGTGAAAAAAAAAGGCGTGTTTTTCCGCGAAGTACCTATCATAAAACATACAAAAACAAAGGGGAAAGATGAGCGGAGTATTGGGTCTCGCATAGAATGAGCCTTGACCCATCATCTCTGTCCATGTTCACGTCCATATCTGTGTGGAAACTGTGTAGCAGGGAATCTTCGCCCAGTAGCTCTCCTGCAGAACGAACTAGATATATGTGCGTGATTATTACGACGCAACATTCCTTTTGCGAATAGCTGGTATACAAAAGTCCCTTCCAATCCCAATCGGTGTGGCAGCAATGCACAATGCACATGCCCATCCTGCGTTTGAGATGATCTATAGTGAGCGAGAGGAAGTAAAGCATGATATTGCCAGTCTTGTGGATGATCGATTCCCACGCTCACGATGCCCCCGCCTCTATGCTTCTTCGCCACTCCTGCAGTAGGTACCACATGGCTCTTGATCGCGGCTTTTCTGTTATTCAATCAGCCGTGCCAAAGGTCGGATCCTCCGGAGCACTCAGCGGAATCCCGATTCGGTTATGCTTTCGAACCTCCATATCATTGCACACTAAATGAAGCATGCTGGAGCCTGCAGCGAGTCCTCAAGACACGGGGATGTTGATATTTTCGGGCTCCGCCCCTGAAGCAGGAAACCCAGGTGATCTCTCTCCCAACATCAAGTCCACCTTGCGCACGCGTGCTCCACGGCATAATCACGATACCTGGCCAGCAAGTCCGTCGTCTCGACTGTGCCCTGCGTTCCAAATGTGAAGTGCGCGGCCAGAGCGTCCATGTTTACAGCAACTTGCCGTTGGAGTTTCTTGGGCAAGTTGAGCGTGAGCCACTGTTCGTCAACATCGTCCATCGGTAGATTGTCCAAGACGTCGTCTGCCCAGACAGCAATCAAGTTGATACTCAGTCGTTGATCCATGGGCAGCCAGACTTTGTCGTTGCTTCCTTGACCGGCGCTGCTACCCATCCTATACGTATCGAGACGGTCGTTGGCGAGGTTTTCGAGAAAAGAATAGTGTTCCTGGGCGGCGATTGCCCAAGACTTTAGGCCTGTGCCCCAGGTCTTATACTCTATATCTGCGACGGGGGTACGGAATATGTCTGATTCGTTCGGGAGTCGCAGCCAGCGGTGTCCAGTATAGGGCGGCCCCTGAAATGGCCCGAAGAAATAATCATCCGGACCTGTCCAGTTGGGATATGACCAGTATGTCCACGGCTTGCGCGATGGTTGACGGAGACTGAATATGTTCGGTTCATAGTCGGTCAGTTCAGGCATGTAGGGATGGAGAGCGCCCATATGGTAATGAACCCAGCCCATGAGAGGAGAGTTGACAATGTTGGCGCTCACAAGCAGGAACTCGGGGTGTGCAAGCTTCATGCTTACAATGCGAGGTATCGTGTCGTCGGCGAACCATACCACGTCATCGTCGATCTTGACATACAGGTTTCCCGGCTCCAACTGAGACCAAGCCTGTCCATAGCCAACAAATCCGACACCTTCGACGTCGACCTTCTTGTACCGCTGTGACGAGGAGAGTATCTCGTCGAGATACGCTAGATCGTTGTGATTGTCGGTATTCTTCACCCAGTGGATCTCGTCAAGCCACCCACCATTGTCAACCAAGTTGCGCTCGAGGAAGCATCGCAACATCTCCACGCGACTTCTCCTACCAAAGAAGACTATGCCAATGATCTTGAGTCCATTCGGCTTGTCGTACCCCGTCACCCCGAGAGTGTCGGAAAGGCCAGGGACGGACCTTTGGACAGGAAAAACAAGCCTCCCATAAGCTTTGTGACGCTGCAGTCGGTAGTGGGCGGCTGTCACAATAAATATGGCGAAGCAAAGAGCGAACGCTATTATGCGGCGTCTTTGTGTGTTGCTCATGCCGAAGCGAAGTGAGAATGCCATTGGGCCTGAATGACTAGCTGTCCTTCTCGGATTGGCGCAGCAAGTTAATGAGGTGGTAGCGAAGGGAGATTCTTCGACATTCTCATTGCTGGCACGAATCCATCACGGAGCTATGAGCCTGCGGCTATGGCTCGTTCATCATCATCTTGTCAGAGTACTTGGAACTATGTTCCGCTCACGGTCACACTAAGAAGTGAAGAAGGCCGACATCTTATCTGTAGCGAGAAATGCTTGCGCTACTGACGTTCAAGAAGGAGGAAACCTTGGGAGATGGCTAGAAGAATCAGTCGTCATCGTCGCTTGCAGCAAGCAGGAGAAGAGGGGTGCATATCAGATGGGCTGGCGACGATAAAGGCTGAGGTTGCTGCTTATCGCGGCCATGGCCTCCAATTACAGACGTAGCTGTAGATTGGCATTGGCAGGTTGGGTGAAGATGTGCGACGGGAGTTGTCTGGGCAGAGAACTGCGATATTGGCTCCATGGGAAATGCAGGAGGAGCAGATGCAGAATTGCGATCTACTGACGTCATTCCCGCTGCCCGCGGCTCGTCTAGGCTGTTCGCAGCGGGCAAATAACTTGGCATGTTTGTGCTGTTTGAGCCGAGGATATATGTGCCCTCCAATGGCTCCTCCATCAATTCCAACCTCAACTACTGTCAGATTCTCTATAATCTCCGTCACCCATTCTCAACTCGTCTGCAAGCAAACACACACCGGTTCTTGCCTGTAATCTCAGAGGACAATGGCTTCGTGGCTGAAGCCTACGCTTGTTGCTTGGCCATTGATCTTTCTTTGTACCGACGTTTTTGCATGATGCCCCTTCATTCCTGGGTCAGTTTCAGCCTCCAGAGGCAGATCATCGCATATGGAGACCCATGTCTACACTTAGCCTTGAGATTAGACGGCATCAGAACATCTCCCGCATGGCCAACTCGTTGGAGGTCGCCGTGGATCTCCCCCTTTCAAAATGGTCTGCGTGTCGGAAATTGACGAGGCTCGTGGTGTTTTCCTCCGGGCTCTTCTTTGTTTGTACTACCATGCAATCTAGAAACGGCTTCTACGGTCCAGTTTGCAAGGGTTCTTTATGCGGTTTCCATTTTCGGCACAAAGACATCTTCTTCCCATTCCTGCAAGCGCCTTAAGACGTTCAGAAATCTTCCCAAGTGTTTCTCTTTTCTCTTCCCCTACCGAGCTGGAGCCTGAGACATTCGGTTCTACACCTGTTCTTGACAGTTGTTGCCGCCTGAGACACTCTCATACCATTCCTTGAGCTCAAGTGACTTAGCAGTGCACAGAGACGAATCATGCGCTCATACATCCCCTTCGTTATCAGCGCCTGTTTGGCTGTGGCAGTTCGAGGCTCCGCCAACTCCGCTGGAGATCATCCTATCCTTCCTCGTCATGTCACCTGTATGCCCTCAGACGCTGGCGGGTGCGCTAGCTGTGGCGCCAGTTACGTTCAATGTGGTGCTGATACTTGCTACAACCCATCTGCTGGAGAAGTCTGTTGTTCGAGCACATGTGAGTCCATGATCTGCTGCATGAGGTAACGCATCTGCTAATGAAAGATAGACTCTTGTCCCGCAAACACCAACTGCTCTTTGGCGGGCACGGGATGTGTTTCCAAGCACAGCCCCCACCCTGATGCAGACTGCGACGATGACGATAAAGACTACGGTACAAGCATAAACATTGTGTCAACTTCGTCTCCCACACCTGATACGACTCCCGCAAGTTCTTCTGTGTCTACTACAATCGACTCAACGTCGACCACCAGCTACACCACCACCATCACCTCGACAACCACAAGTACCGTCACCGTGAGCATGACGTCTTCTTCCGCTGATGCTTGCTCGCTCAGTGCCGCGACAACCGGTCTTCCCATGACCACGTCGATGGTGTCGTTTGGCAACTCTACCACGGTGGCTTTGAATACGACCACCTCGACCCTGTCGGTAACAAACGTGACCACAACCAGTCCTGCCTCCATCTCCATCCCAATCAACGCGACAGTGCCCACGAAGAGCATTGTCCCACCCATCAATGGATACACAGGCGCTGCCACGGATCTGCAGGGTCAATCTTCGACATCTCTGTTCGCTCTTGGTTCCTTGGTGTTTATGGCTGCACTATTGATTTAGACAAAGGAGGACTCCTTGTGGTTGGTTAGAGGGCGTCGGTCTTTCTAGGGATAGATTAACATAGAGATAATGGAATTTGGTTGTTGTGAGCACCTATCTCCCTCCCGTCGACAAGTCTCTCTGCCAAAACCCACGCCATGCCACTTGCTGGTGGGCGCTTCCTGAATCTGGCACTGCACGTTGGGCGCTTAATCATCGGTCAGATGCTGACAAGGCCATTGGTGCTGAGGACCAGGATTGCTCTGCTCGATACGGAGCAGCATGGAGCAATGGGAGCAATGGGAGCAATGGCGGCACTGGCGGGGCAGCAGTTGCTCAGCTCATCCTCATCCAGCCACTGCAGCACACTTGCATCATAGTTGGGCCTCGAAACATTTTGCTCGCAGCTGCCCCTCCATCAAAACATCCCCATGGTACAAAAATTCTATTCCACGTCTCTTCAGCTATCCAACATCTCCATCACTGCCACCATACAGCCAGGCCATTGATTTCTCTTTGGCCGCTTTCATTTCTGTCCTCAATTTCTCTCCCATCTGAGTAAGTCTTTCGAGAGCGTGCCTTTCCCTACCCCCTACCTGCTGTTCCCGGCTGCAGTTTCATCTCTGCATCAGAACAAAGCTATTACCGCCGCGCTCCTCGACGCTTTTAAACCACGCTTTCATCTTGCTAACCCTCACAGAATCCTCCTCCACAGCAAGCCTCGAGTCCCTCACTTCCTATACTGCCAAAATGCCTGGCTTCGCGCAAGCTACCGACCTCTCCGCATGGCAAGCCCTGGTTGACCACCACAATGCGGTGGGTCGCAATATCGTCCTGAAGGAATACTTTGAAAAGGATCCTCAACGATTCGAGAAGTTCAAGCGAGTCTTCAAGAACTCTGCAGACAACTCTGAGATCCTCTTCGACTTCTCCAAGAACTTCCTGACTGAAGAGACTCTTGACCTCCTCGTGAACCTCGCGAAGGAGGCCAAGCTCGAAGAACTGCGAGATGAGATGTTTGCTGGCGAGAAGATCAACTTCACCGAGAAGCGAGCTGTCTACCATGTTGCTCTTCGAAATGTCACCAACCAGCCGATGGCCGTGGACGGGAAGAGCGTTGTCGAGGAGACCAATTCAGTTTTGGACCACATGAAGGAGTTCTCTGAGCAAATCCGCAGCGGTTCGTGGACTGGTTACACCGGAAAGAAACTCACCACCATCATCAATATTGGTATTGGTGGCTCAGACCTGTAAGTCTTGCCTCCTCCTTTGGTGGCACTGGTTCGCGAGATTGACGTTTACCCAGCGGCCCCGTCATGGTCTCAGAGGCCCTGAAACCGTATGGTGACAGGAACATGAAACTCCACTTCGTTTCCAACATTGATGGCACCCACATCGCCGAAGCTCTCAAGGACTCGGACCCCGAGACCACCCTCTTCCTCATCGCCTCCAAGACCTTCACGACCGCGGAGACCACTACCAATGCCAACACGGCCAAGAAATGGTTTTTGCAAAGTGCAAAGGAGTCAGACATCGCAAAGCATTTCGTGGCCCTGTCCACCAATGCTGAAGAGGTCAGCAAGTTCGGCATTGATACCAAGAACATGTTTGGTTTTGAAAGCTGGGTTGGCGGTAGATACTCTGTTTGGTCTGCTATCGGTTTGTCAGTTTGCATCTACATTGGCTACGACAACTTCCACCAATTCCTCGCTGGCGCCCATGCCATGGATCAGCATTTCAAGACTGCACCTCTGCACCAAAATATCCCTGTCATTGCAGGTCTGCTGAGTGTGTGGTACTCAGACTTCTTCGGCTCCCAAACTCATCTGGTCGCACCTTTTGACCAGTACATGCATCGCTTCCCGGCCTATTTGCAGCAATTGACCATGGAATCAAACGGCAAGGCGGTCACTCGAAGTGGCGACTATGTTAAGTACACAACCGGATCCATCTTCTTCGGTGAACCAGCCACCAATGCACAGCACTCTTTCTTCCAGCTTTTGCACCAGGGCACCAAGCTTATCCCTACTGATTTCATCATTGCCGCGCGCTCCCACAACCCGGTGGAAGGTGGTCTTCATCAGAGAATGCTGGCGTCTAACTTCCTCGCCCAGGCCGAGGCATTGATGATTGGCAAGACGCCGGATCAAGTCAAGGCCGAAGGCGCTCCGGACGACTTGGTATCGCACAAGACCTTCCTCGGGAACCGACCCACCACCAATATCCTTGCTGAGATGATCACGCCCGGTACACTTGGCGCGCTGATTGCTTATTATGAGCACATGGTTTTCACAGAAGGCGCTATCTGGAATATCAATAGCTTCGACCAGTGGGGTGTTGAGTTGGGCAAGGTCCTGGCAAAGAGGATTCAAAAGGAACTTGAGACGGAAGGCGCTGGAGCTGACCACGACTCGTCAACGGCTGGTTTGCTTGCTGCTTTCAAGGCTAAGAATGGTCTGAAATGAAGGCCACAATGAACCATCATGGGTAGGACGCGGCTGACGGATTGCGGGAAGAAAGATCAAAGTCATAACACTTTCCTGGTTCCATGTCGGAACACTATCGAAGTGAAAGGGTAATGGCCGTCGTTCACTGACAACAATTGACACTGCCGACCAAGGACACGATTTGCCGTAACATTACGAGGCTGTATGACACACGATATGAGAAAAGCATTCAAGTACAGTTGACGACATGGGCCACCGTTTCAATCGGAAACCCTGTCTGGCTTCCTCATGATAGACGCATTTGATAACTTACTTCAGCCTCTTGTGTTCCTTGACTAACCCACAAGGTCAGGCCCGGCCGAGAAGGAGCTGTCAGTCTTAATAGCCTCAGTGTCTCAGACCCTAGGCTGGAAGCAGGTATAGCTCTGGCTGTATTTTGCTTTGTTTCATTCCGGTGCAAGTTGCAGTGCTTTGAGCCAACTCTCGTATACGCCTGACGATGCTTCACATGCCGAACAAGAAGAGTGTTATAGTGACATCCCGCTGACTCCGTAAGTATCTGCCCGCTTGGAGATGCGACAGGAGTGCTGCGACGGGAGATGCTTCCTAAACAGCCACCAAGCAGTGTAACAATGAACCAGGTCCTGATTCGTCTTGCGATTGACTTGAACAGCAATAGCCGCCGAGACTTGAGCACGCCTCCTGCAAGAAACAACATCGGCGGTGCAACCTATGGGAAGAGGGGGGATGCTGGTGTCACCTATCACCTTCACTGTTCGCTCATCCCACTTCACCGTCGTCGACATGAGGAGTGTTCGGCTGGGAATTGCCCTGTCACTTACTAGACCGATGCCTTGTTATACCTTCACCCTTCGCCAACCGGAGTCTTCCACCACCAGCTTCGCCAGAATCTTCCGTTCAACTGGTCACAACAGAGGCCGGCTTCAAATGCTGAGGTATTTATCTTTCCGCCTTTCCCCTCCATGTCACGGCCTCATCACTCACGGAACCAGGTGCATCCCTCAGCTCCCATCCCCATGGCTAAGCCGACACGCCGTCCATGGCCCTCGAACGGGACCACTGAGCCTTACACTCCTCAAATCCCATGGTCTAGCATCGTAGCCTCAATGACCTGTCTGGAGAAACTCCGGCTGCTGTGCCACAGCGAGGCGGAGCTGAAAAAGGCGGGTTATGTGATGAAGCCTCTCGATGCAGCGCAGATCGGATCCAAGGCAAGATGCATTCGGTGTGGGAGTAAGTTTGATGGCGCGTGTCTTTTGGGGAGCGCCTGGCACCCGGCTGACATGGAATAGAACGACCAGATCAGCGAGTGCGTCGAAGGACGAACGCTACCAACGCCATCAACAAAAACAAGAAGGGGCCGACAGATTTGACCAGTGTCAACACCAACGAGGCAAACGGGGCAATCGGTGAGGAGGCTTCGAGCGCATCCACTTCGGTTCCCGGGAGGAAAGCGCGTTGCTCGTATCACACAGGAAGGGTCAGAGACAAGGTAGCGAGACACATGGTCGCGAGCCATCATCCATCCCATCAGTGATTTTGACCAGTATATATAGGCTTTCACATGCTGCGGCCGACACGTCTCGACGGAGGGGTGCGTTGAAGCCAACCAACACACCATGCCTCAACCAGATGATCCCGTGCTTCACGAGTACTGGCGATACCATCCCACGCCCCCAGTTTCTGCGCAACTCGACCCAGATGCCGGCAGAAATCCTGTCTCTCCTCCTCCTCCTCCTCCTCCTCCCCGTGCGCCTCGAAGACAGGGCCACAAAAGGGGGGGTCGACAACAGGGGCAGCCTCCTCTGGTGGCCGACCCTTGGACGGGAAGTCACGCCCACCACCATCACCACCACCACCACCACCAAGGACAATACCCGAATCCTCCGCGCTTCCACGCCATCGCGCTCGACTGCGAAATGGGCGTCGCCGCGACGGGGGACTCGGAGCTGATCCGCCTGACGGCCGTGGACTTCTTCAGCGGCGCCGTGCTGATCGACAACCTCGTCGCGCCCTCGGTGCCCATGACGCACTACAACACGCAGTACTCGGGGGTGACGGCGCGCGACATGCGCGAGGCCGTGGCCGCGGGCACGGCCATCCTCGGGCGCGACCGCGCGCGGGAGGCGCTCTTCCGCCTCGTCGGGCCCGACACCGTGGTCGTCGCGCACGGCGGCAACAACGACCTCTACGCCCTGCGCTGGATCCACCCGCTCATCGTCGACACGTTCCTCCTCGAGGGGTACACGGGCGTCAAGCCCGAGGGCGGCCGCAGCCTGCAGAACCTGTGCAAGATCAAGCTGGGCATCGCCGTGCAGGTCAAGGGTCGTCGCACCCACGGGGCAGCCGGGGTCCAGAGCCAGAGGCAGAGCCAGAGCCCGAGCCCGCGCCAGCGACGCGGCCACGATAGCTACGAAGACGCCATGGCCACGAGAGAGCTGCTCGTGCACTGGGTCAATCTCATCCCCGATGCTTGAGCTTTGGATGCGCCTTGGAAAACCTACCTAACTTGGTACCTTTGTTCATCTTGGCCCCCGCGAGGAGATCGCGGCGTGAATCGATGGATTCGATAAACAACAAACTGTCTACGCACCAGGTGCGGCGATGATGTGACGAGGTGATTCGAGCTCAAGGTGAAGGGGAGGCATTGGCTAGACGCATCTGCCATCCTGGATTTTCCTCACCAGAGACAAGATTTCAGATTTACGAGTTGCATACAGAACCAGTCCTGACCCAGCCTACGACCAGGTATATGTTATTGAGAATGCTCTGATGCATAACCCACGTTTCCACTAAGCCCTCGATGCTGTCGATGTTGATCCAACAATCAAATCTGGTGCGATTTCTCTAGGTCTACCGTCTATTCTCATGTTCTTGGTCTCTTGGGGTCGTGACATCAACTGACCGGGATAATGCCACACCCATCTGTGCCTGTCCATCATGGGAGTTCCTGTTAGTGACCCTGATGAAGGCGGAGTTGTACCGTGTTCCAATGTCTCTGGCCGTCGCTGTTGAAGTTGGCTGTCCTGTAGTCCGCAATGTCTAAGTCGCTCGCTCAAACGCCTCTTCCTCCTTCCCAGGAAGTGCATCTGCATCAGTCTTGTCCTCCGACGTCAAGAATTGTACCGGGACTGTTTGTCGCTCTCCGGGCTTGGACTGCAAAGATAGTTCTTTCCCCTGTGCGTTCGCATTTTCCAATATCTCCCCATCCTCGCCGTCCATGTCTTTCGCCGAAGCACCGTCATCTCCTTCTTTCCGTCCATGCTTCTCCTTCGCCTCTTCGCTCTGCAATAGACTGGCCCGCCGTTGTGCCTCCTCTTCATGCTTCTCACTCACATTGACTGCTAAAAAGCTCTTGGGTAGTTGCACTGTATTGAACTTCGCTTTCAAGGTGGAAATCACCTCTTTCCAATCCTGGTGATTCGTCAGTGACCGCCGCGGAGCGCTTCCAATCGCATGCTTAGAATCCAAGGAAACGTCCAGGGGATCGATTGTGTGGCAACCAGGGGAGATGGAGATGCGGATCGAGTACGTCGACTCCGCGGTCTCCGCGTCTTTGGCTTCATATAGTTCAAAGCAGATTTGGGAGAGGTAGTCAAGTTCCGGGATTGTGGAGCGTTTGATTTTGGTGTGAATGCCGCCTTCCATGATGCAGTTGAGTAGAGTGTATATATGTGATTCCTTGGTGAAATAGATGAATGACTTCGCATCGCCAGAAGCCTGTAGTTCTTCTAGATCATCGACGATCTCGCGAAGTAAGGGCAGTGATGTCAAGAGGCCGATCTCGAGTTTCTCCTCATCGCTGATACCGTATTCCTGCGGGCCAATGTAATCGAACAAGATCTTGCTGTATCGGTACAGCTCTCTCAGCCGCCCGAGCTTTTGATCTTGCTTCAGCCGGCCATCGCCAGACCCACTGAACAACTTGAAATATGAGGCACCTTGCTCCCACGACATCAGAGGAGGAGCTGGTAGGGGTTGTCGGAGGACTGACTGTCTCCTCAATCCAATCTTCTGGACAAGGCTATGTCTGCCCTCAGATGTCCCGCCAGTAAACGAGACAGCGCTCTCGTGGCGGGTGCCATTGGTTGGTGGTGGAATCTCATCTGGTCTCTCAGTCTCAGAAGATGCATTCGACGACAAGCCCTCGTCTTTGGCCATTTCATCCAACAGTGATTGGCTGGGAGTGAATACCCACTCGAGAAATTGCTTGTTATGGAGGGCGTCGTATTTCATCGTGTCGTACAGCTCGGAGATCTTACTTGGATCTGCCTTTTCGGTGTCGCAAAATTCCGAGAATAGCTTCTCCCACCTTTCTCTGAAAAGTTCAGCGTCTTCGCCGGTGCACCATCGGGACTGAATAGAGGCGACGCTGATGGTTTCTTTGTTCTGCCCATTTCCGTCTTTGCCATCTCCAGAACCGCTGAGTGCACTGAGGGAAGCCACAGCGCCGGTCGAAAGCTTTTTGAAGTTGTATCGCATGACCCGTCGATGAAACTTGAGCAGGTCGACCACAGTTTGCATGACCATATATGGCTCTGCGACGTCTTTTGGCCAAGCAAACGAGTCCGGGACAGTTCCTTCGCGAAGGAGATGCTTAAGCTTCTTCTTGACCTTGTCCATGACATCCTTGGCTGCATTGGAATCGTCCAGGAGATCTTTTCTGACCTGAATGAAATCTTCAGGCAGATCCTGCCGATCGAGGAAAGCCGCAGCCCATATTTGTGCACTTGTCTTGACACGCTTCTCAGAGCTCGTGAAGATCCGGACATCGTCGAGCACTTCCTTGTTTAGTAATTTGAAGTCGTCCCTCATATTGGTACCGAGATCCTGTGCCTGGTATCTAGCCGAATGCGTAGGTTCCCCTCCCCATTTCATGACCAATTGTAGCTTGTCCAGAACGAGATCATTTTCCGCGGCCGAGAAACGCGAGAACGTGGCACCGGATATGGAATCGCTCCTTGTCTGTACTCGGCGCATTTCCTTGGTGCTAGACACAGACCCCTTCCTCTCGTCGTTGCCGACCGCTTCGAGCAGTTGCTGGTCAGATTCTATGGTCGAAAGAGCGTCTGTACTGGTCAACGCATCCGACGTTGGAGGCATCTCTTCCGGCTTCCTCTTGCGAAACATTGGCTTGATTTGAACCTTGGTACCCGGCTGATGTATTTTCTTCGACAATGCGTTCTGCAAGTTGCGTAGCTTGTCTGGATCCTCAAGCTTGTCTCTCAGCGCAACCTTGATGGCCGCCTGCACGCTTGCCAATGCTGCCTCGCCTTTCAGAAGCACCTCTTCGTGATGGCCCTTGAGCAGATCGGCAAACACTTGCGAGTGAGCTGTGAATTTGAGCTTTTGCTTTGGAGTGCGGTCGGCATGCCTGATGACCGAGACAACGCCTTTGAGCTTCCATGAATGCTTAGAACTTGGCATAGGAGCTGCCGGCCCTTCTTCCTTAGCAGGCGCCGCAGCACCCGTCGCAACATCGGCAGCATCTGGGGGCGCAAGAAGGGGAGACGGAAGAGTGCTGTCTTTCTCAGCTACGGTCGGAGCAATTAAGGCGTGAGTGCTCTTTTCTATGCTTGGCGGTGAACTCATCGGCGTGGTCAGGGAGGAAGTCTTGGGAGAGCCAGCAAGGCTGGGATGATGGTGTCTCGAGGAATGCGGCAGATGTTGAGACAATTTCGACATGCTCGGGGACTTGAGGATTGTCTTGAGGGCCGACCGAGCTGAATGGCTTGTACCTTGGCGACTCGGAGGACCATCACCTCCGTTCTCGCCCTGCACCTCTTCCCCAAAGGCATTTTCCCGCTTCCACTTCTCAGCGAGGAAGATATTTCTCAGTATTTTTGCGCAGTCGTTGTAATAGTCCTCGTTGTCTTTGACAAAGCTCCACCCGTTGACATCGATGATGTAGCTCGCTGCGCCTGTCCGTAGCAGGTCAAACCCGCAGATGCGCTGCCCAAAAGCCCGCGACACCTTGGCAGCCATCTCCTTCTCTGCCTCGCTAAGCTTGGTGACATATCTCAGCTCTTTGCCGTGTGTATTGCGTCGGACCAAACCATCTACGACTGGCGACTTTCTCGTCTCAGCATGGCAATAATGCGGGCCAACAGTGTAGGCTTTGACGTCCTCCGCATTCTCGGTCTTCAAGAATTGCTCGTAGATATAACTGCTGTTCGGTTCTGTGATGCACCTTGGAACAGACAGGTCAGGATCATACTCGGAAGATTTATTGCCGATCTTGCGGAAGAGTCGTCGAGCGCCACCGCCTTGGCTCTTGGGGAAATAGATGATGACATTGTGGTCTTCTCCATTGACAGGCTTCTCGACAAAGGGTTTCTTGAATGGTTTCCCATCAACAACCAGAGTGTCTCCGTCATCCATCAGCTCAACGGATTTTGTAGTTGGGGTGCCGCCTCCGGTACCATCCTCTGGACCTTCCAGAACCACACCGGACATAGTTTTCACATGCTGGGCAAGCTCCGACGACTCCAGTCTTGGGCCACCATCGCGATTGACTTCTATCCTCTTGGGAGTAGGGATCTGCATTTGGTCCAGGATTTTGAGACACAAACGTCTGTCCCATAGGACCTTTTGCATGGCCAAGTCATTTACAACAAACGGTTTCCGCAGCTTGACATATGCAATGGCCTTGTCGAGAGGAAAACCATCCGAGAAAAATGAGATGAGATAGTCGCTTTGATGGGTTAGAAGGATTGTATCCAGATACAGGGATTCGGGGACTCATTATTTCCACTTACCATATGGGCCAGTTCTCGACGTCTACCGAAGTTAGCCATAGGTGAAAGGGGACAAAGAAGAGGGGAGGCTCACCTTCATCGAGAATGGCTTTATCGCCAAAAACAATGACCTCGAATTCTCCTTCTCCCTGAAGGCGGGTCAAGATCTGGCGACTTGGTCGACTTCGGGCCTTGACATCAAGAGCACAAACGCCAATCCTGCCCACAGGTGTTTTATTCTCCGAGTTAATGCTCTCATTCTTGGAAGATCCAGTGGTACTCAAGCGGCGACCGGAAGATGAACGAGGCTGAGATATTCGAGGCGGGCGCGCAGGGAATGCAGTCTCTGCACCATCCGACTTTCCAGTGATTCCCGAGGATTGGGCGGCAGTAGCAGAAGGCAAAGACATGTCGCTTTTAGGAGCATATGTGGTGGGAGATGAAACTTGAGATGACAAATTTGACACTAGATCCGAATGATTAGGAATGCTTGGATTGAAGGCAGGAGGCGAAAGCACAGGCAGACCTGGAGCAATGGAAGTAGATATGGTTGTCACCACCGTGGGATCGTGGGCTGTTGTTGTTGAGTTCTGGGCTGTAGGGGAGCTGCTGTAAGGTGATCTATCCACCTCGATGCTTTTGATAGAAGATGGCGGGCTCCTGGCGCCTTCCTCGGACTTCCTCACAGAGCGGATTGAAGAAAACGAGGCCGATAGACGTCTATCCGCGCTAGGCTTGGTGTTCGGAGGTGGCATACTTATGCTCGAGCGGCCGGCGGAGGCCCTGGTCGTTTCAGCATGGGCGCCTTTGCGGACATCGGGATTCTTGTGAGCTGCCAACAAGGAGTGGGTTGAAGGGGTCCGGCCAGTTAGCTTCTGGGGAGGACGAGTGGTAGATGTAGTCGACGAACTGGTCGAGTAGACGGCAGTGAGAGCGGCGTTATCGTCAGTGTCGTTTTCCGAGGTGTTGGTGGGTGTTCGACGGAGGGGAGAATAAATCTCCATGGTCGATGATGGGATGATCGATGATGTAGGAGGCGAGCAAAATAGCCGAGACCTTCTTACTGTAGATGGAATGGGAAAAATGCCCCCGACTTATCCGAGCTGAAGCTGTGGGGAAGGATGGCTTGAGACTTTCTACGGTCCTTTGATCAGAAACCGAGTTCGTTCTCTAAGAGTGGAGTGGGAAAGAATGACGATATAAGAAGAGATGACGGGCCCGGGACACAGAAGGGGTTCTAGATGAATACATGTCTTGAAGAGATGGGCAAGGAGAAGAAGTCGATCTCGCCCGTCGTTGGGTAAAATAAGATCTCGCGCACTTGTGGCATCATGCTACAAGGTACAAAGGCAGGAAAGGGCGAGCTGATTCGTATAATTGATGATGGTGGTTGGACGGAGGCCACAGGAGAGGCAAAATTTGCTGTGCGAGAGGATGAGTAAGTGGGGGTTGGTTGGCCATCCGAGGCCCTTTAGTGGTGCCAGAGCCTGGAGCAAGCAGGGGAGGGATCCAGCTGGGCACCGCTAGGTGCACCTAAATCCCAACCCACCGCCCGGAAGTGGGAGGGAGCTCAACCATCCAGGCGGGAGTGGGCACATGGCATTCACCACCCACGCACCGCGTTCCCAAGGCCCACGTCAGTGGCACTTTCTGCCGGGCGGTGAGAGCCACGCGAAAAAAAATATTGAGAATTGACCGTCAACATCCTGACATATGTACCGAGTTGTGTATGGCCGCCTTGTCATAGTCCGTGCTACAAGCAACACGCACCTGCAGGCGAGGCAGGTCGAAAGCCACTCGCGCTCTCTTCATGGACGAAGGAATCGAGCAGCCCCTCGCAAAAAGGCAGCGGAGGGAGCTGTTCACCACCAAAGAAAAGTCTCGCACCAGCTCCAGACTGTTTGCGCCCTTCAGAGTATGCCCGACCTCCAGCCTTCTACCTAACCCTCTTGACTTAATCCAACTTACTCACTCTTCTTACAGACTCTAGGATTGGTATCGCCAACCACTGTTCCCTTCACCTCTGTTCCACTGGGCAAAACAACCTTCCAGATCACCACCTCCATCGGCGAGACGTTGCACACTTATGACCTACGACGAGGCCTCAATCTCGTGTTTCTCACTCGCCCTCAGTGTCCTGGCACGATAACGGCTACCTATGCCTACCGAGATCGAGTCTTTGTGGCCTGGGGGGGATCACAGGCCAACGAGCCCCGAGGGGTCTGGATTTTCAAGAGAGGACAGCTGATTGCAGAATTGGACATCGATGACACCTACGTGCAAGAGATCCGTCAACTCCTCGTTTTCGGCTCGTGGATTGTGGGTTGTGGGCCCCAAAGCATCGAAGTCTGGAAGACCGATTCGCGCGAACACTACACCTCCATCCTTTCCTCCTCTTCCTCAACCGACACCCGATCCAGTGGATCGTTTACGGGCCAAGTCTGTACTTTGCCAACATTGTTGAACAAGGTCTTCGTGGGCACGAAATATGGGTCGGTGGAGATCTACAACATCAGCACAGGAAAGCTGGTTCACACCATCCTCCCCCCCTCCGCACGCTCCGGTGCTGTTACGGCAATTGCCCCAGCTCCTGCAGTCTGCTTGTTAGCCGTTGCGTATGCTGACGGCTCCCTCAATATCACCGATGTCGAAGCCGACGAACAAGTGTTGGAACTGCGCCTAGGAAGCAAGAAGCCGATAACTTCAATTACGTTCCGGACGGACGGTATGGGCGCGGGCGATGATGGCCGGAAGGAAGGCATCATGGCTACATCTAGCATTGAAAGCGGCGACATCACTCTGTGGGATCTCAATCGCGGCGGAAAGGTCGTTGGTGTGGTGCGAGGAGCCCATGAAACTTCCAGTCTAGGCCGAGGCACTGGGGTGAACAAAGTCGAATTCCTCGCAGGACAACCAGTCCTGGTCTCGTCCGGGTCGGACAACGCTCTCAAGTCATGGGTCTTTGACCAGAATCCTTTTTCTCCCATTCCACGACTCCTCCACTCCAGGAGCGGGCATGCTGCGTCTATCACCAAACTCATATTCCTACCGGCGGCTTCAGATGGATCTGACGCTGCTGGGAAATGGCTCATGTCCGCCGCTCAGGACCGGAGTTTGTGGGGATTCAGTCTGCGCAAAGACGGTCAAAGTACAGAGCTCAGTCAAGGCGCTGTCAAGCACAAAGCCCGAAAATCAGGTCTCCTTACCGACGATGCCTCCGCCGTGGAGGACTTCAAAGCGCCACAGATTATTGACATGGCGTGTTCTCTGAATCGAGACGGTGGAATGGGCTCGGTTAGTGGTCCCATTTGGTCCAATACAAAAAATGTCAACGCAGAAGAAATTAGTACCACCGGCTGGGAAAGTGTCATTACGGCACATGCTGATGACAAATTCGCAAGAACATGGTCATGGGGTAGAAAGAAAGCAGGGAGATGGGCTCTGGAAACGGGAGACCACAAGCCCGTAACCAGCGTTGCCATCACTACTTGCGGGACATTTGCAATCGTTGGATCCGCTGGGGGCAGCCTCGATATGTTCAACCTGCAGTCTGGCGCTCATCGCCAGCGGTATCCGCCTCGGCTGACACCTGCACAGTTGAAACAGTTGAAGCTACAACAAGCCGACCCAAATCCAGTTCTCACTGCTCCTCGTGGCCATCGGGACGCGATCACGGGTATTGTGGTCGACAATCTGAACCAGACGATGGTTACTACCAGCTTGGATGGGTCAATCATCCTTTGGGATTTTTCGTCCGGAAAAATACTCGAGCGCAAAACACTTGATTCTGCGGTGCCAACTGCAATCCGATACAATCCCGTCTCCGGCCTTCTGGCGCTATCCTGTGACGACCTATGTATACGCATCGTTGACATCGAAACACACAAAGTTGTGCGTGAGCTATGGGGATGCATTGGTCAAATATATGACTACTGCTTCTCACACGACGGGCGGTGGATTACAGCTTGTTCAATGGACTCAGTTATTCGTGTCTTTGATCTTGCTACAGGTCACTTGATCGACGCATTCAGGACAGCTGCAACATGTACCAATATGGCATTTTCCAGCACCGGTGAGTTTCTGGCCACTACGCATGCCGGAAGCCCGGGAATATTCGTGTGGACGAACAAGACTCTCTTCAGTCACGTATCCACTAGGCAGATTGATCATGTTCATGGAGTCATTGACCTGAGCCAGACGGCTGCCGCGTTCAATGCTGCCACTCAACTTGCCATCGAAGATGCAGCTTCGGAGGAGGAAACCATCGTCGACGGGTTTGACGATTCGTCGACATTGGAGCAACTAGACAAGCGCCTGCTGACATTGTCGCTCCAGCCTCAATCGCGATGGCAAACGCTGCTAAACCTCGACAGCATTCGCTCGAGAAACAAACCTATCCAGCCGCCAGAGAAGCCCAAAGCGGCGCCCTTTTTCTTAGGATCGACCAGCCTCACCAACGGCAGCAAGACAGACAACGACACGTCCCTTGTCCCGGCCAAGGTCATCGAAGATTCTGAACGCTCACGCATCTCACGCCTGGCGTCTACAAGCCAGGCACTCTCCTACCATCCTCCACAACTCTCTTCCCTTCTCGAAGCCTTCTCTTCGTCGCCTTCACGAGATCCTTCTCCTTTGACAGACCACCTCTCCTCTCTGACCCCCTCGGCCGCCGACTTGGAAATCCGCTCCCTCGCACTCTCCGAAATGCCTCTCTTCATCGACTTCCTCACCCACCAGCTCCGCCAGAGAACATCCTTTGAACTGGTGAACACGTGGATGAGCGTGTTTTTGAGAGTGCACGGCGATTTTGTCAACGAGGTGGACGACGTCAGGGAGAAGGTGGTGGAGTGGAGAAAGGCCATGGTCGAAGAGGAGACGAGGCTAAGTGAGTTAGTCGGGTATACGAGAGGCGTTGTCGAGTTCTTAAGGAGTGCGAGATAAAATGAAGAGCATGTGTACGTTTTTCAGTGAGAGATAGTACGTACACGATTGACGATGTACATGATGATCAACAATCAGAAAACATCGGCCATGAGATGGCCAGGCTCATCCCTCCCTCTCTTTGTCTATTCTCTATTACGTAGTCCATTAAAATGTCTTTTCTTGAGATTATTGATGTACATACAGTTCGCTCCTACAGTACCCGATCCTCCTCACCAGTATCATACGCTCATATAGTTTGAGCTCATTGGCCAGCATGCATATAGGCGAGAGTGGCAGTGACAATGCCGGCGGCGGCGGCGGCGCCAGCGGCGGTGGCGACTCCACGCCTGCTTCTACGCAGCTCCCGGATGACCTCCATCTCGCACCCCTTGATTGAACCAGCGATCTGGACCACGGGAAGCGGGAGAGCGCTCATCGTCTTTCCCCTCCCCTCTCTCGCACTGTGCCATTGAGTGCGCTCCCCTCTACCTCGCTCGATAAAGAATACGCGCTGGAACGAAACAGTATCAGTGCCTGACGCTCGTGGGTGGACATCCGCTTGAAACGCAGCGTCTGCGACGAGAAGATGAGATGTGTGTCGCGCGAGCCTGTCTCTCTCGGGTGTTGCGACACGCCCAGGGTGTCGGATGAGGCTAGTCGAGGCCCCGGACAAAGAGCCCTTCTTGACTGTCATTAATTCTCGGCGACGCGTGTGTTTTGCTCGCAGGCGACGAGGACAGGGGACCTGCCCAAAGCTCATGAACGCACTGGGTCAGCTCCCTCCTCTTTGTCTATCTCATTTGCCGATCGCGGTTTCTTGGATGGTGTTCGTCAGGAGGCTCGCTGAAGCCGATATCGCATTCTGTATTGGCGGATTTCTTGCTCGATCATTCGCAAGGCCACGGGCCAAATTGCGAGCACCTCAAGTGCAGGGTCCCCACCAGGACCTGTCTCGTGGTATATTCTGCCCAAGCATTACCCTCCCCATTCGGGCAAGCATAATCGGGAGGGAGATCAAGCTTGCTAAGGACGCAATCTCTTCGATGGCGAGCGAATTGGCTGGACCACTCGAATAAGTTGGCTCATAGGTTGCTGGCCCTTGTCGAATATGTCTCGGAGCTCGGATTTGTCACTGTGCTTGTCCCCTGTGACGGAACCCGTTTGAACCTGTGTCACGAAACCGCGTGTGTCAGAATGACAAATGCCCTTGCAATGGGGTGCGGAGATTGAGGGTCTCTGTTTGTTCGCGGAGAACGGCAGAGCAAAAGAGAGACCGGACTCACCAGACGGGATCACAAAACAGGAAGATTGTCTGCAAGCGTTTGATCTGCCCTTTGACCCACTCCAACTGGCCTTTCCGCAGTATGATCGGGTCGGCGTCATCCTCGGGCTCTGCAAACCGGTATATCTCGAGCAAATGAGGGAATACCATCCAACCCCCGGATGCCGCGGCCCTCATCCGGAAATCACTACCCTCTAGGTCCGGAATGCTTCTCGGCTCCCCCGTGAGAGGGTCTCGAATGATTTTATAAGGGAACGCGATCCCGGAGCTGTGGATCGGATTCGTCGGCACGACCGTGTCCCCGAGGTGGATGGGGATGGTTTCTAGTATAAGATCGACGAGGGTCTGGATGGTCGAGTTCGCCTTCGCCAGGATGGCGCGGTATCTCGAGTCCGTGAGCAGGGTGGGTTCGTCGGCCAGAGACTGCCGGACCATCTGAAGCGTGTAGATGCGACGACTTGCGTACAGATTGAATATCTCCACGAACGTCAGATCCGCCCAGACGGCGCATTTGTTGCCGTAGAAGCCTGCATCGAGGATTGAAGGGGCGACGTCCTCACGAGCCACGAATTGCGGCAACCAGTCGGGATTTGGGATATTGCGTTTCCAAGCCATGAGCACGTCATCAATCCGGATGGCGTCGGCAATAATCTCTTCAAAGGCTTTGCGGCGTTGTCCAGAGACTGGTGTTGAGTAGTTGCCCTGCCGTCTCAGAGCCCAGAGACGGGCTTGCGTATTGGCAATCTGGGTCCCCAACACATCAAGTTGTGAAGCAACGCGGCCTGTGATTGAAGGGTGCTCAAACAGTTGTGCCGATTCCGCGGGCATAATGGTGCGTTGGGATAATGCATAGTTGATAAGAGCGTGCCTGGTTGCGTTAGTGAGGCCCTGCCCTACGTCGGTCGCATAGTTCGCTTGGCCTCTATGCCTGAGCAAGGCTACGGCTCCATTTTTGTGTTTGCCATAGGTCAGAGGCCCGGGTGTGTAGTGCAGAACCAATGCGTCGTAAAGATCAAAGATCAGGATCGTCATGAGGAGCTCATCCATGTTGGTCTGCGCCGCATCGCCGATTGCCTTTCTCGTTGCCTCGAGGGCTTTTGTGAAGAGCTGTCGTGCGGGCCGTGCGTCGCAGCCTCTGAAGTTCCACATCATAGCGACATTAACGGTCACTGCTGCCGTTGCAAGTCTCAAGGGGGAATTCTCAGAAGACTTCAGGTACATTGGTTGCCAGAGAAGTGCAAAAGAATTGTGAAGCTGAGGGTCGTAGATGGTTCCGGTGTAATAGCGAAAGAAGAAATTGATGGAGGCGTTCTGAGGGTCCGGCTTAATCGACTCAGGTATTATGAGACGGGTATCGCCGAGACCGGGATCGCTGAACTCAGAGGGTCGTAGCCGCTCGAGGTGCTGAGGGGTGTCTTGGTCTTCAGGGTTCTCTTCCGTTGCTGCTGAATATATGACCCACTGAAGGGGGCCCTGGGGCATCACTATCGATGATCTAGTTGTTGTGTTGGTGGACGTCGTTGTCAAGTCCAGAGAGCCTTCACTGCTGGGAGTGCTGGTGCAGGACTCTGCCTCCCTTGCAGCATTCTGCTTTTCCAGCCTCCGGATAACAACCTTGTTTTGACTCCGGTGTGCCCCGTCAAAGACATCTGCATAGCCAGGACAAGTCTGGCGCCGTCTAGTGCAGTTATTGCACGCTGGTTTGCCTTGATCACACTGCGTCATGAGTATTCCAGATCGGTCAGGGCAACGATAGGGGTAGGAGAGCGCGGCCGACTTACCTTTACCCGGCGGGTTCGACAGGCCTTGCAGCCACTGCTAGGGCCGTGATAGACCATTGTCAACAAGATAGTGGAGTGCAGTAGATCAACATCTAGCGGAGGCGGGTAGTCGAGCCAGGCCCTATCGCAAGCATGTCCTGCTATTTCTCCAATATATAAACATGGTGCTCGTTAGGCAACAAAATTCTGGCGATTAGCGAGCCAATTGCTCCTGGCGGCGCCAGCCACAACGACGTCGTTTTCAACTTCAGACAGACGAAACCCCTAAGCCAATAGTAGACGTGGCTGGCTCTGCAGAGAAACTTTATCTTTGTCGGCTTCGCGTATTAGAACGTATTGCTTTGGGAGGGAGACGGGCCTGATCTGCTTGGCGTGGAACGCCGGATGTGGATGGAATCAATGGCTGGCAATTTCTCACGCGCTGGTGAGGAGGCTGTGGACGTTCAATGAGCGATGCGAAATACGAAGGATGATTGCAGTTTAGCTCTGCTGAGTGTGCGCAAGTCCACCACCGCAGAGGAGGTCGCAAGGCGCGACTCTTTCAGGTTAGTTTGGCTGATGAGAAGAACCTGCGCCACGATTTGGCGCGAATATCAGTCCGAAAAAGATCACACATGTACACCGCACCTCCGCGCTGAGGTGGGAACGATGACGAGGTTGACAGATAAATCAAAGACTGCGTGACGGGAAGGAAGCGAGATGCTCAGGGCCATGGATGACTTGATGTCAGCGTACAGAGGACGACATGGAAGGAATTCCTTTACGGAGTACGGACGAGGTACGGAGGATGGGGGTTAAATGTCTGGATGCAATAACAATATTCCGGATTCCGGATACTTGTCCTCCACTAGTCTGAATGTGGAATGGTCTTGTAGCCCTCAACCAGCCGCCGCTAGGTAGGTATACAGAGTATACGATCATTTTGTTTGCTAAAGAGGGCTTTCATATCAATCTGTCCTGCGGTATAGAGCTGAAAATTCTGAAATCAACGACGGCGATTGGGTTGTGGAGCCTTACTGCAATATCTCTTCGCCAGTTGATCTCGAGGAGTGCGTGCACCCAGTTAGACCGCTCGGCCGAATCTACGAGGTTCCCTGACGCCGGTCTGAAAGAAATATATAGCCGAGAGGTAGGTATAGCCGCGCCGCAAGGAGCCAGGTTCAGTTGAAGGCGAGCTTAAAGCAGTCCCAGAGCCCTCACTCTCTGGAATCAAACGGCAAATGGCGAATGGCTTTTTTGTACTCAAGTAATCTAGGTAGTCAAGGCACATATTGTATATTACAAGGCATCGATCAGCCGCACAAATAAAGGTAATATTGACATGAAAGGGTGACTATTTCTCGACTGTCTGATTGAGTCGTTCCACGAAGAATCCAGGTATCTCTTACAACAGCACAGAAAGAAGCGCTAGGGATACCATGAATAGGCACCAACGTACTCCTTGATCGAAAGATGCAGCCGCCCCGCCAGTGGACTGAGTCTGTGTAGCGGCTCCTTGCGTTGCCGATGAAGTAGCTGAAGCTGAAGATGAAGCCGAAGACGAAGCCGAAGTCGAGGAGTTACTCGTCGCGGCGGAATCCTGAGCGATTGGCCCTATTACGGAGAGACCCTGAGAGCCCGATGACGGATTTGAAGCAGCCGATTGCCCTCCATTCGTTGTCACATACAGCTTGTCCTTGTCTGATGGAGTTCTGCCCCAAGCCACAGCAGTTGGTCCGAGAAGCGAGCTGGCGTTGCTGTTCGCCGTACCGGCAATCACCTCCACTGTCCCGTTGCCAGCAACCCTGCTCAAAGAGTTGACCTGCTGGCAGATATAGGCTGTTCCAGAGTCATCCAAGATGAGATCGTCGGGTTTGGCGATCTGCGCGATGGTTTCGGGCGTCCCCGCAGCAGTCCCATTCGCAGAGATTGCTAGGCGGTAATACAGGTTGGAACCCGTGTTTGTATAGTAGAGAGACCCATTTTGATACTTCAACCCATTGATTCCTGCTGCTTTAGAGGGGCTGGGATCCATCGACGCATCTTTGATAGCTACCACAACGTCTCCTGTTGCTACATCGACCTTCCAGATCAGACCAGCGTAGGAATCGGCCGCCAGGACAAATCCGTCTTGCCCATCAACATGTGTGAGGCCATTGAGGACAGTGGCATTCGCGAGTATGGCAATCTCGCGTGGAGTTGGAAGGCTGGTTACCTTGCCGGTGGGAAGTTGGCGAAAGCCGCTCATATCGACTTCAAAAAGCGTGAATGATTGCGGAACGGGTTGTCTCGTCTGAATCGAGAAGTTGCCTGTCGTCACATAGAATACATCAGGCTGAAGCTCAGTGATGCCATAAGAGCCAGAGACGCCCGGAAACTGTGTGATAAGAGTTGCATTGAGCGATGATTGGGGATCGATTTCCCATAGTGTCGCCGCGGGGGCCGAAGTTGTCACGAGGATTTTGCCGTTGCCTCGCACAGCTAGATTCTCGACAAGAAAGTTATCCAAGGCTGCAATTTTCTGGACCGTATATTCATTGGGTGCTGTAGTCTGGGCAGCGGCGATTAGTGCAAAGGTGCATAGAGAACACAAAAGACAGAACATCTTGACCAGAAGCAAGACAACAATAAAGGAGAGGCGAAAGCAGAGAGTGGCTGAGGAAGGTATAACATCTTGGGGAATGAGGGTACCCTTAAATCATTTCCAATTAGGCGTTGTTTCTCCTCAGGAGTCTGCAGCCTTGAGCCCAGTCAAGTTCTCCAGACATTCTCGAAGTGCACGACGTTATGAATGATAAAGCTCCTTGCCAATTCCGTCGAGGGCGAAACAACCGTCTCCGCCATGTGGAGAACCATAGCTTGGCACTTCGTACACTAAACTCAGAAAGGTAAGATGCGCCGCTGTCTTTCCGACCTCAAGTTCAAAGCTCCGCCTTTGAAATTGACACAGAGCACTTGGTACACCTCGATGATGGCTTCGTCAAAGCCAGATGGGAGGCAGAGTCCATGTTATTGCAGGGCTTTTCCCGCTACCGGTAGAAAGATCTCTCTTTCCGCCCTCTAGTGAGGCTGAAGTTTAGAGCACCAGGGGCAAGCGATTTGGAACGCCTAACGGGGGCTTGGCTGCGGTCGATGTATCTATCTGCTGCGGTCCTCGTTCACTAAACCCTCACGGTCAATTCTGACACCACCTTCATTGAGATCCTACTACTCTCCACGGGATGGTTGGCTCCAGGAACTACCATACCAAGACTCGTAATGGGTGCAGGAACTGCAAAAAGAGGCGCGTCAGGGTATGCTACGATCTGGTTCTTCGTCCACAATCGGCGCGGTGAGCAATTGTGGGCCTGGGGCCTTCCTGGCTGTGTCTTTGACTTGATTTGTCTCTGAGTGATACTGATTGATCTGTGACCCAATGATAGTGTAACTTGCAGGCGCCACGATGCGGACACTGCGAGAGGCGCGGCGAGGAATGCGACTACCAGTACTACCCGAACAGCCCGCTGCCCGCCTCACAGACGCCAGAGCCTAGCAGAAGTCAATCAGATGCTGTAGCACGCTGGCCAAACCCCCTTCCTCCCCTAAGTCAAAGTGTGGAACCTGTTCAGTTGCTGTCGAACTTTGTTACAACGACCGCCACAAGCTTGGCTTGGTTCAATGATTCCCAATGGGCATGGGAGATCGAGGTCCCACGACATGCAGAGGGCAACGCTTTCCTACGCCACGCGATCCTGGCAACGTCGGCGCTGCATATCTGTTTCCTGCAGCCACCTAACCCAAGTGAATACCACCTGGCGGCCTATCAAAACTGTCGAGAGGCAACTCTTCTATTCCGATCCACTGTGACTACTATCACCAGGGAGAACTGTGTCGCAGTCCTAGCATTCTCCTTACTGATATCCGTGTTTCAGCTTGGGACTATGATCCACCAACCTGCCGATAGGACGCCAGAAGAGGCCTCTGCTCAGTTCATTCACGCGCTGTCAGCCCTACGTGGCGCGTGGTCCTTGGTTGGGCAGCTCCATTCTCACCTGGCGCAATCCCCGGTCAGTCGCCTTTTCGTCCAACGCCGACAATTCAAATTTGAGCCACTGGACAGGAACCACCAGCAAGCTTTGGAACGCCTAGAGTCCCTGAACCGTCTCTCGGACGATCCTCCCGAGATGCGAACTTTACGTGCCGAGGCCATCCGCTTCCTTCGCAGCTGGTTCTCGCTCACGTCTGGACATCCCTCTACATGGCTACATCTGGTGTACTGGCCAGCCTCGCTTCCGGAAGGCTATATCTCGCTTCTGAAGCAGAATGACCCCATCTCTCTGGTAGTTTTCTGCCACTGGTCCGTGGGGCTCGGCCGGGGGTCCGAAAAATGGTTTCTGGCTGGGTGGGCGCAGCAGACTCTTGACCTCGCCAAGCGATTGCTGGGGCCGGAATGGCATGCCGCGCTTGAATGGCCGACAGAGATGAAGTAGAGCATGGGACGCTTAGGGTGAAAGCTGTCGAGTGGCCCATCGAATGGCTGACGGGATCTGCATCTAAGGTTGTTTTCGAGGTCGCTAGCCAATCTCGAGTCAAATGTTCCGAGCCGAATGGTTCACCCCTTTTGACTTAGCGTACGAAGTTGGTGCCCACAAGACCGCTTGAGTGGACATGTGATTACGAGTACGTTGATCTCTATCTTGCACCTCCTGTTTTGTTACACAACTTTTGATGCTTGTGGATCGAGCTTTTATAATGATATACATTCCATAGAACACATGTGTTGCGAGGACATTGGAGGATGACTTCCGCTGGGTTTCCAGTCTCTATTGCACCTGCGATCGAGGCTTAACTCTTGCCCTCTGGCTAAGACCATCACATCGCCCAGTGGCCTTTTTTCTTTTGGAGCCTATCGCAAGAAGTTCGACCACTGGGGAAACTAGTGTCTTGTCCAACTACGACGAGAAGCTTCTTTCCTTGTCAACTGGACTATTCACGGGCACCGAGTATCCCATCGCCGATATAATTTTGTTGGCCATGCCCTCTGGGTGTCTTTGAGCTTCTGAACGACACTCACTCGGCCGATGTCTTGCCCAGCTCCGCCCACTGCTCGTCCGATTTCTTTTGAGCGTCGAGAAGTTGGGGCGCCATTCCGACGGCGTCGGGGCCGACAGGCATGCGAACGGGAGGATCTGTTGATTCGTAGAGCGTGTCGATGATGGGGCCGAATTTCTCGGGCAGCGACTTTTCCCACCCATTGTGGTCTCTGATGAACTTGGCAAATGCTCCGACGGTCTGCTGATATGGTTCGCTGGGCGTCGGGATGTTCATGGACGAGCCGCCCCAGTCGGTCCGGATGCCTCCGGGCTCAAGAGACGTTACCCTGATGCCCAACGGCTTGACCTCTGCGTGAAGAGCCATCGAGAAGCCCGACACCGCCCATTTTGCGCATTGGTACGCTGCCAGACCGGGACTGCCCAGGCGGGCGCCAACCGAGGAGATCTGGACGATGTAGCCGGATCCTTGTTGGCGCATGATGGGCAGGACGGCTTTGGTCACATTGACCACGCCCATGAGGTTGGTGTCGACCTGCTTGCGGAAATCCTCAATTGTGGTATCCTCTACCGAGGCCGTATCGGCATAGCCTGCGTTGTTGACAAGGAGGTCGATGCGCCCAAAGGTCTGATGGGCAGTCTTGGCCACATTCAGGGCTTGGTTGTAGTCCGTGACGTCGAGGCTTTCGACAAGCACTTTTTCCGCGCCAGCTTTGCTGGTGAAAGCTAAGTCGTCCTTGTTCCGCGCGGTGGCAACGACCGAATCGCCCTTGGACAAGGCATACTCGACAAGGGCTTTGCCGAGGCCTCGAGAGGCACCTGTGATGAACCACACTTTTCCCATAGTATGGCTGGATGTTGTGTTGTTGGACCGTGATATTCGAGATTCCCGGGCAAACTGTTCGTGGAATGATGGCGGTCATTTAGCAAAGTCATGGCACTGTGAGGGCTGTAGTTATAGTCCTCGAAGACTCGGCCGAAATGATCAGATACTAAGAGCATCACTGAACTTACGCTGGCGGAGTGGAGCTGTGCAAAGCATCATACAAGGCTTGAGGCGCTATGAGCTAGAAGCTTCAAGCACCTTGCGGAGATAAAGAGGTGAAAGCTCAGTCGACCCTCTCCGCCGCATAATACTTAACCTCAAGACTGCCCTTTGCCGTAGCTGACGGTTCAGTCCACGTTCTCTGTGCGTGAGTGTCGGGAGTGGACCGCATTGGGTCTACCAGATCTTACTATTGGCCCTCCACTCGATCACCCTGTCGACATCTCGACTTCCTTCAAGCGCCATGGCCCAATAAACGGCATCGCAAGGGCTTCGCGGAGATCAAGTTCTGGCTGTGGAGGCCTGTGATCCACGTCAGATCCTCGAAAAATGTGGCTGGACTTTATGCACCGTTTCTCAGGCGATGCAGCAAACCCTGAGACGTGATCAGGCTGTGAAAAGAATGATGCCGGAATGTCAGCAGGATGCAGTAGCGTATCTTTGACTTGAGACTAGCCCCGTTTTAGCTACAGCCAGTTAGTGTCTTGGCAACCCCTGTATCGATATCTGTGTTCTTGTCGATACTTACCCCAAGTGTCACGAAGCATATCAAGATATAATATCAGCGAGAAGGTAAAGCTGGCGAGACACTGGAAAGCCTTAGCAGAGATGGAGCCACCTTTCGGTGTACTAACTAAGCACCGGCATTGGGTGGTGTTATATGGTCATTCTCCTGGAAACTTCAATTCTCAACCCTTCGGGATTGAACCACATTGGTCTTCAAGTTACCACTCATCGTCGCTTAGTCCTTGTACAGGCGATGAGGATGCAGTACATCTCACTACATTCAAGGTAGGTACGATTGTCACGGTGACGGAATCAATTTCCCAACAAGCAGCTTCCCTCCACATACAAATAGCTCTCAGACTACTTGCCAACTGTGAGATGCACGTTAGTGGCCTGAAATGCCCAGAGATTTTGCTGACATACCTCCGGCGGCATACACAGTTGCCGCTCCATCGACAGGCAGACATATGCCGCTCACAAATGCTGCATCGTCGGAGCAAAGGTATACTGCAGCGTTGGCCACGTATCCGGTCGAAGTGTTCAGCTTCAGAGCTTCACCCCGAGGGAACGAGGCCTCGAATTTAGCTCTATTTTCTGGGGTATCATCGACACCCATGAACGATTGTGCTCTGTGTAATGGATGAGTCAGTCTAGGATCGATTAGGGACATTCACAAGGCTTAGCTGACAGGTCGGTATATCCTAGGATTGGGCAGACAGCGTTGACCCGGATGCCAGAATGGCCGTATTCTGAGGCAAGCCCCTCTGTGATCTGGGAAGATATCAGCGACAATACACAGCATATCAAGCGATCGTGAGGCCGTACCTTGTTGACAAATGCTTTGGTTCCACCGTACCATACCTGCGGTTTTTGTCAGGGTTCGAACTCGAGAGGACGCGAGATCAGGTACTCACCAGCCCGTTCTTGACTCGGATTCCTCCGACTGAACTGATGTTCAGGATGGTCCCTGCCTTCTTTTCCAGAAAGTATGGCACCACTACGGCCACACTGAGGAAAATGGACTTCATGTTGACGCTGATGACCTTGTCGTACTCCTCCTCAGTGACCGTATGCGAGGCCTTTTTAGGATACGTCGTCCCCGCATTGTTCACCACGACATCAACCTTACCAAATTCCTTCAAGGAGGCTTCCAGCAACTTTGCCCACGAAGCCTGACTGGTGACATTTGCCTCCTGGAACAGCGCTGTTTTCTCGCCATGCAAGCCGTTGATCTCGACCGCGACTTTGGATCCGGTTTTGGGATTAATGTCGGCGATTACCACTCGGGCACCCTCTTCAGCGAAACGCTTTGCCATGGCCTCTCCAAAGCCATGGCCGGCGCCTGTGACAATGCACACTTTGTCCTTCAACTTCTGCGACATATTTCGAAAGCTTTCGTGTGAGCAGTTCTGTCGTTCGATGAGGGGGGGCCAAAAGCTGGTTCTTGAGAGCACTGTTCCGGGTATGTGTCTCCAAACTCACAAGATTGGAAAATCTCCAAAAATTTGGGGTTGCTCATCCCATTCCCCTAAATGCTCAGATTTTCTTATGCCGAGAAGCTTGATGATGTCGGTTTTGGGTTTTCAAAGCCTTTGCAACACTGAGGGGTACCAGCTCCTCAGGTACGTACCGAGTGCTTCGCGGTGAATGATGCCCGAGGCTGACGTCCATGCGGAGAAATCGGCATGCAGATTCTGATTGGCTATACACAACGACGAGGCTAGCAAGAGTTGGAGGCCCGAGGCCGACATCGCGAATGGATTCCCGTGAGCTCTGGCCACGTGCAGATGCGACGGCGAGGGACGGCGAAAGCCCGTGCTGCGCACGGCGGCGACCTGCTATCAGACAACTATGTGCATACATATGGATCCTCCTCGATTGGGGAATTTGGGGAACTCTGGGGCCCCTGAGCTCCATGCCGGGTCCACAGCCTCGACAACGCAATTCCACCGGATCTGATGGCGAGCCTGCGAGCATATGAATCCAATTCTCGCATCCAACGGTGAGATACCCGTCCGAGCAGCTTTGGATTTGTTGGCTTTTTCTCTGGGATAGACCTTTTCCTTCTCGATTTTCTGCATAGACCATTCCTGTGCCCGCAAGCCTCAAGTCGGGGCAAAATGGCTGGGGGAACGAAATACAATTTCCTCATCGTTTTCTTTGTTGCGTTGGGCAGCTTCACCTATGGCTTCAACAGCGCCATCATGGGCCTTGTGATCGGTCTGCCGGCTTTCTTCCAATACTTCAACATCAGCCTCGACGACACCCAGGGCAACCAAATCACCGGAGCTACCAATGGACTCTATTCAGGAGGTGGCATCCTGGGCTGTATCTTTGTGCCTTGGCTACTCGACCGCCTTGGCCGTCGCCGAACGATCCAGATCGCAGCGGCCGTGGCGATCGTTTCGGCAGCACTGCAGGGAGGTAGCGTCCATATCGCCATGTTCCTGATTGCTCGCTTCCTCAACGGGTTCGCGGTTGGTATGCTGGACACGTCCATCCCGGTTTTCCAATCCGAAATCTCGCCGGCTCGTCAACGCGGCCGCATGGTTGGGGCCCATGGCGTGTTGATCGTCATCGGTTACAGCTGTGCTGGTTTCGCCGGGTTTGGCACGTACTTTGCCACGCCCACCGTCAGCTGGAGACTGTGTCTGAGTTTGCAAATCGTGGCCCCGCTCCTGCTGTTCCTGGGATCGCCCTGGCTTCCCGAGTCCCCGAGGTGGCTGATCGACCATGACAGACTGGAGGATGGCTTCCAGGTCCTCCGCAGTTTGCACACCCGGCCCGAAGATCCAGACGAGATTGTCGCTCGTGAAGAATTCCTTCAAATCCGCAGGCAAATCGAGCTCGAGCGGGCGGACAAGTTAAGCAAGAGCTGGGCCGCCCTTTTCAAGAAGCCTAGCTTGCGCAAGAGATTGATCCTGGGATTCGGCACACAGTTCATTGCCCAAAGCACGGGCGTCTTGGTTGTCAACAAGTAAGTTGTCTACCCTATCCGTCTCGGTTAGAATTTTGCAGCCTCGTATTGGAGAGACACCTTGTATGAAAAAGGCGCTAACACTCCCCTGCAGCTATCAGATCTTGCTGTACAAGTCTCTTGGCATCACAGGCTCCCTACCTCTGCTCTTGAATGCCCTGTATAACGGCCTGGCCGCAACCATGAACTTCGTCAACTCCTTGTTCCTAGATCGACTTGGCCGGATCAGGATCATGCTCATCGGGCTGATCGGTTGCGCATGTTCGTTGATCTGCTTCACCGCCATGGTCGCGACATTCGGGGGTACGACGAATCAAGTTGGGAACGGCTTCGGAGTGTTCTTCTTGTTCCTGTTTGTGTTCTTCTATGGCGGGACCATGGATGCTACCTCGTACGTGTATTGCAGCGAGATCTTCCCGACTCCGCTCCGGGCTCAGGGCACGGGATTTAGCGTTGCAGGTCTGTTCACTGCCACCCTGATATACACTCAGACCGCACCAGTCGCCTTTGCACAAGTCGGGTGGAAGTTCTACATCATGTTCATCATCCTCCCGCTGCTTGGTGCGGCATTAATGTGGAAGTTCTTCCCGGAGACGAAGCTCCTCACGCTCGAGGAGATATCGAAACTCTTTGGCGATGAGGTTGCCTTGGATATAAACCAACTGAGCACGGAGGAGAAGATGGCCTTGGACCGCGAAGTTGCCAAAGGTGTTCAAGGAGTGATTTCTGTCGAGCTTGAGAGCAGTGAGACCAAAACGCCTGATGATCGCATTGAGGTGGTATAGAGTTGGACCGGGAAACCAGAGACTTACACCACACTAGCAAGTGTTGCAAATGTGTGTCGTGACTGCCTCATAGAACGCTATTCAGTAGACATAGACATAGACAGTTCTAGAAGGAGTCACGCAAGCCATAGACCTACCGAATCCATCATGGAACAACAAGGGAAAAGATCATAAGAGGTTGCATTGGGTTCCAACCTACTTGACCAGCGGGTCGCAGATAACTTGGGTAGCTTGGGGGGAACGGCCTGCTGAGCCACAGACGGGCCGGGTTTCTCTTCGACACCTTTGATGCCTCTGCCGTGACCATCCTCGCCTTCGGGTGTTCGCTGTAAGAACTTATCATTCTTGAGGGCTGAATTTCTCTGGTTCTGCATAGAAAGACACTGACGGAGACGGCAGAGCAGCAGCTGAGGACGGAGCAAAACGCCGCAGTTGTGATGTGTCTATTGCCGCTAGCCTTCAGACTTGCCTTCACCGCACATTTTGTTTGATGGACGTAGACTCCACATGTGGCCCCAGAGTGTGCTGGAGATGGTGTCTCCGTACGAGGATGGTCTCGGAATCGGCTGAAGGGTGTTGAATTGTCTAGAGACTCGTGCTGCCGTGGCGCTACTGGGTCTCCCCGTCGAAGTGTACGGTATTCGAGTAGATCTTCAAGTACCCAATGGGCAGAGGGGACAGAGAAGGAGCTGGGGGTGAAACATCCAGGAGAGGATCAAGTGCTGTTAGACCAGAGGTGTGAGAAGACAACGCAACAACGGACCCGGCCCTCCTTTGCCTGCGGCGTGGCACATGGCGGGGCAGCTGGAAGTTGTCAGGCAGCGAGGATTTTCCGGTGATTGTCATTTGAAATTACGAGATCCAACCCCCACCAACCACCATTACAAGTCACTTGTAGATTGCCTCACACAACGTCCTTCTCCTACTCATTGTACCTCAGCTTGTTCGGCCTCATCCTCCACAGGGCGATTTTATCTCATCCTAAGTCCTCGTCCTATACTCGATCTGTTCTGCCACGCGAACATCGGAACGGACCTCTGTTCCGACCTTCTATCACGCAACTTGGTTTATTTCTCCAGCGACATCTTCCGCTGCTCCTGTCTCCTTCTGTTATCACAACACCATCCACAGCAATGTCTTGGCAAGGTGAGCTGAATTGATGGGCCCTGTGGTATCCTAGTACACAAGAGTGCTTGCTGACTCGAACAAATCAATGTCGCAGCCTACGTCGATTCGAGGTATTTCCAACCCGGAAACCCGCAAGCTCCCAACGTTTGGTCAATCCAAGAGTACACAACTGACATGTGTTTATCTGGTTCGCAGTCTCGTCGGCACCGGCCACGTTGACAAAGCCGCAATTTTCAATGCCGATGGCAACTCCGTATGGGCCTCGTCGCCGAACTTCAACGTGAGCCCGCAAGAAATGCAAGAGGTTGTTGGCGCGTACAAGGATACTTCAGTGCCCAAGAAAGTGCAGTCTACGGGATTACACATTGCGGGTCAGAAGTACATTGTCATTAAGGCGGATGAATCAAGTCTGTACGGGAAGAAGGTGGGTTCCGAAATTTCCCTTTCGCTTTGCCCAATGCATCCCCAAAAGGAGGACGGTTGTTGGCAAGGAGTTGGAGGAGGGACAGACGGAAGGGTCGAACATGGGCTAATTGATCTGACTCGGTGATACACAGGGTCGAGAAGGCGTCGTCATCGTCAAGACGAAACAGGCTCTGCTTATCACACATTACCCGGAGACAGTACAGCCTGGCACGGCCGCCAACACAGTCGAGAAACTCGCCGCCTACCTTGTCAGCGTGGGGTACTGAGGCCGAAAATAAAAGGAAACGAGAGAGTGGCGCGGCCGAGGAATGCTACACACAAAACACCACCAACACCCCCTCTACATGCCCAATAGGTAGCTTGGACGCGGCAAAGATGACGGACACGAATACAAGGATGGACCGACCTTGAATCGGCCGATGATGAATGAGTCTTCATGGCGGGGCATGCGCACTTCAAAGAGCATAACATGGAGTATTGAAATGTTATTCCTTGGAATCTTCTTCTGCTTTTCCTACCGTCTTCCGACTATGTTCTGCCAGCAATAACTCGTTCCCTCCGTCACGCGTCGTCCCACGCTCAATGCGGCTGGGGATCTCAAGGTGTTTGGAGAGGTGGGTTCAACGGAACGAAACCTGGTCAACTACCGGGAACGAACGCACAAGGGAGATGGGCAACCAAATTGTCAGCTGTTTCTCGAGAACCAAAAACAAAGTCTCTTTTGCATAACACAGCTCTACATGGTTTGTAACGAGCCAAGGACTGTATAAACGTTCCGTCCCAATTCCCTTGCTGAAACTCCTTTTGCCCTCAATCCCAATAGACCTTTCCAAACGCCGTGGTTGGTTGAACCTGTCCTGTGGTGAGCTGGAACACATAGTATGAGTAGCGCTCGGTAAGGACAACGAAAGCACTGATTGAGGATGAATGTCTCATGGAAGAATTGGCTCGAACGTCCTGACACCCGCGACTCCTCTGATATCTGCACGGAAGAGGACGCACAGTAAGTCGACCAGCTGGGACGTTGCTGAGGCCGGGGACCTGTCCGCGTGGTGAGAAATAGATGGTCATGAGTAAATTGCTTCTGTCGAGTCGGAGGACAGTGCTTGATCGCTTCAGCCGTGTGTTCACAGGTGATGCTCATAACCTCCCCTCCGTACTGACTCGTTTCCCACATCGTCCGGGCCCTTGTTCGAATGAATGTCCCTTTAATCTTTTCTCTCTCCCGCTTTTTCCATTAACAACATTTTCCACCCATACCGCCATTCTGATTCTGCGCGACATTAACGCCACCACCGACACCCTGTCCGCCAGCTCCAGGACCACCCGCGTCTTTCGAACTGTCGATCAGCCGCTTCTTGATGTCTGAGGCTAACGAGTAAAAGGCCTTTTCGATGTTGATGTTCGATTTGGCGCTGACTTCTAGAAAGGGGATACCCAACTCGTCTGCAAGTGCTTGGCCTTGTTCCGTGGAGACAGCACGTTTCTCCTCCCAGTCGCACTTGTTGCCAATCAGAATTTTGTTGACACCTTCGCTGGCGTGCTGTTCGACGTTGGAAAACCAAGTCCTTATGTCTGTTTTGAATGAAAGGTTAGACGTGCCATACTGGTCATCCTGAGCGGGTCTTAATCATACTGTTAAAGCTCTTTTCGTCCGTCACATCGTACACCAAGAGAATGCCCATAGCGCCTCGATAGTATGCAGTGGTGATTGTCCTGAAGCGCTCTTGGCCTGCCGTGTCCCATATTTGGAGTTTCACCCTCTTGCCGTCCAAATCAATAGTCCGGATCTTGAAGTCTATGCCGATGGTAGTAATGAAACTAGGAGTGAAGCTGTCTTCGCTGAAGCGTAATAGGCAGCATGATTTGCCTACGCCAGAATCGCCGATCAAGAGGAGTTTTATCTGGAAGGGGGAATCGGTTAGCATGGTGAGATGGAGAGCGGTGACGGATAGGGACAAACACCCCGTCAACGAGGCTCGTGGGACATACTAGGAAGTCGTAATTCCGTTGACCCGCCATTGCGAATGTGTGAGGAGAGTAGAGTCGTGGAGGAGTGGACTGAGGATGGGTTTCGTATATGGGCAAGAGAGATCAGTCAGTCGCCTTTCGAGGTGGCGGGTTTGTTCGCCAGGTGTCCCGCCGAAATTCAGTGCGCCTAACTCACGCCGGCGGCTTCGAGGCAATTGATCGAGTGGGAAGGGAAAGCCGAATGATGACCGTGGAATAGAAACCAGAAGATCGGGGATTAGGCAGCTCTGGGTCGAAGTCGAAGCCTGTTAAGAGTCAGGAGGAATGGGCGGGATCGAAAAGATGCGACAGATGATGTCGCTCGGATACGGATGTTGGAGGTTGAAAGTCGGCGTGACTCGTGGGAGGGAGCAGCGCAGGCCGCCGAGTTCTCAGAAGGTCCAAGCCTTGGGAAGATGCGCGGGATCCCGAGATGCAACGGGGTGGGCGTTTGGCGCTTGGAAGGTTGCAACGGCTGGAAGCGAGCAGAAGGGACGCCGCCTACGTGGTAGAATTAGTCGGTGTCTAAGGCAAGCTGCTTGGGGCAGGGACTGCTAACTCACGGCGCCCGTTGGGAGAGTCCCGGATGGCCTTAGGTATCAGAAGTGTCCCCCCAAGCCCGCGAGGGGCCCCTACAAAGCTTGCATTCAGTACTCCATCTAGGTGACCGCTGAAGTACCCATTTCTCGCAAAATGACCCGACTATAGATCTCCCCCCGCCCTCTCAGACAATTGAAGCCTCGCTACAGAACCCCTAGGTGTCAATATTGTCTTGGTTGGAGGGCCATGTCCAAGGCTGGGCGGAGAGTGGAAAGCAGCGGCTTGCAAGGCTGCCCACCAGCGTTCAGCCTTGTCCCATGCCACAAAGACGGCAGCATGTTTTTAGCGTGACGTCATTTCAAGCAAGGCTTTGACCTTTGGGTTTCGCGCCATCAGGTTGATTGCTCGGGATGTACACACCCAGCTCCGTGACCTCTGCGCTTTGTGGCGTCTCTGCCTTTTACACTCAAAGGCAATCGCCAATCTTTCCAAGATATACCACATCTGTCTGCCGAGTACTGTCTCCCGTTACATCACACTGCTCCATGGAGAGCTTAATATGATTGCAGAGGGGTCCATTATCTTTTCGAATTGAGTATGCCATTGTGATCCTGGAAGCTTAGGCTGAAATCTGCCTGGAAACATGTCGTTTATTAGCGAGTAAGGTCTCTCCTGACGCCTGGTCGATCGAGACTATTTTGACTAACTCCTCTCAAGTGACCTGCGGCGAGTGGACGCTACCCTAGACAGGTTCCAGCTGAAGGAGGCGGAGGAAAGGGTGTCCGCCGCAACGACCGAAGGAGAAAGAGTCGCTGCTCCGCCTGTTGAGGATACTCGAACTGCCGAACTCAAAGCAGTAGTCAGAGCATTATCGACAACTTCAAGCTCGAGGCCCCTCCTACGTCGCTCTCGGTTGCGCAGTCTGCTACGTCAACTTGGCAGAAAAGAGGGGGAACAGGTGGTTGCTGAGACAATTTCACCAGACATTTCTAATCTGGAGTGGATTGCGACTGGAAAGGCAACGGCTCAGGTCTACGGGCTGATCCTCAGTTCCCTCTTGGATCGAACAATTCCCTTGAGCGAGTCTATCTGGTACTGGGACGATATCTTGGGATCTTACGGAAATATTCTCCTCTACACAATTCAAACATCACCCGTCAGGTTTTGGGAGCAGGCGAAAGAGGTTTATGCTGATGCACGGCAGAAGTTCGTGCACGGCCATGACCTCACAGCGTCCGCGAGACAAGCTACAAGGACCGTGACTGAGGGTTGGCGGGAGTTCTATGGCCTGGTTCAAAACAGCATTCGAGAGCGCTCTCTGGCCCAAGCCCAAACAAAGATCCTGTCGCCGTTTTCCATAGCCCGGATGCAAGCACGGAGAAATCTAGAGCGCATACAACATCTCCGGAAGACCAGTGCGGGAGCAATCGGCAGACTTGTTAGGGAATGCCTTGTTTTCGGTGGATCTGCAGAAGATCGGAGGCATGGTGCCTTGCTGCAAGTGCTGGAAGTCGAGGAAGATGACTGGCAGACCACGATAGCTCGAGCGGCCTATCTGCTGGATAGTGCCACAAGGAGTCAAGATGATGTTGAAGAGTTTAGCTTTGACCCACGAACAGCCTCCTCAACGGAGGTTGCTAACCTCTTGGTCAAGATTCTCGATGAGCGCCTTCCGAAACAGGAAAAGGAGGCCCGTGAATTGCGATTACAATACGGCAAACCGTCGAGATTAGTTCGCTACTGGATTCCTGCCGTTGGCCTCCTCCTCTCAGGGAGTACACTTCTGCGGATACTTGTCAACAGAAAAGCCGAAATTGTCCAATGGTTCCGAGACCTAGGCCAAACGAGCATCGACTTCTGGACAAACTGGGTCATCGAGCCGACGAAGAAACTCGTCGGCACGATCCGCCACGACGAGCAGAGCGAAATAGCGATCCAAAGCCGCGATAGTCTTCGCGCGGACAGGGAAAGTCTGGAGCGTATGGTGGTTGACTTCGCCATTCAGCACCCGGACGAGAAGGGCGCCAATTTTACAGAAGCACAGATTGCGGAACTCAGGGCGAAAGTGAAGGAAGGGGACCTCACGCCGGTCTTGAGGGCGTACGAAAGAGAGATGCAGAGTCCGATCAAGAACGCCATCATGGGCGACCTGGTCCGGACCTTGCTCATCCAAGTCCAGAAGACCAAAGTCGACGTCGAGGTCGCGATCGGCGGAATAGATTCTCTGCTCAAGAGCCAAGAATTGCTGTTTGGCTTCGTTGGCATCGCGCCTGGGGTGCTCATCTCCTATTTCCTCTTCCAATGGTTGAGGAGCGTGCTCGGCGGGCGTAAGGGCCTACGCCAGGGCATGAAGAAGGGCGAGACAATCCGTCTTATCAGGTACATTTCCCAATTTCCGTCCCCGTTGCACCTACCACCCTCTGGTCCCAATCGCGCCCAAAGCTACCCTCTGACCAAAATGCTGATTCTTCTACAGAAACATCGACCGCACACTGACCTCTTCGGACCTCGACATCGACCAAGGCATCATCTCCGAAGAAAACCACGGCTTCCTCCTCTGCGAGACTCACTTGTTGCGTCAACGCGCCGCCCAAGTCCTGCCCAGGAGCGTGTGGAGAGAATTCCTCGAGGACCTCGACGATCTACTTGACGTCAAGCAGGGAGTCAATCGGCAGATCCAGGTCGTGAGACGGATCGAATGGGCCTATGCGAAGTGGTTAAGATGATAATGTGCGGTGTGCGAGTCCTACGATGGGAACCTGCAGTAGAACAAGGTAGAGGCAGACTCTGTGTTGGTGTGTATGTGTGCAAGAAATACTCTCTCTGTACGGTGTGTACCGTGGTCATAGCAAAGAAGTCCCTCCTACACAGCCACCACCGCCGGCCAGCTACTCGCTTCACCACCACCAAGACCAGAGAAAAAAAAAGGACAGCCGTCAAATAGCTGTCTCAGATCCGAGAGATCAATCAAAGCAACTACAAAATATGTTCATCATCTCGTGACATGGAGACAGCCCTCGCTTGCAAGTAGCCGTCCCCGGGTATCCAAACTTTTCCACCCCTTCCCAATGCTCTCTTTTCCCTTTTTCCTGCCGTTGTCCTTGCTCATTTGCTCCTTTCCCTTGCCCTTTCACCTTCCCCCATTCCCTCCTTTTTTGGCCGTGATCTCCTGTGCTAATCGAGCGTGCCTGATGTGTGGCATGCGCCTGGCTTGCCTGTGTCTTTCCTCACCTGCTCCTCCTTTCCGGCCGTCGCGCGGACAACCCGTGCCCTGCCTACGGAAAGCATAGGTGTGGCGTCGTGCAGCACGCAGCATCCCTTCCCTTCCCCTTTGTGCCTAGATCGCATGCCTCCAGACTTCGCTTTCCTTGTTGATACGGGGTATCCGTCTCTTAATCGGGTTTCGATTCATCCTTCCATGGTCTGGACTGCTTTGACTGGCGGAAGATCTCTGCGTGGACCGTATTTTCGGTGCGATCCAACATTTGTGTCAATATAGATAAACAAGAAACTCGGTGTCGCTAATAGGGATGCAGGCAAGCTGAATTTCTTCTGTCTCTTGATGTCTCGTGTTTTCTTTCCACTTTCGCGCTTGCTGAGAACCCGATAACTTGCCTAGCTATGCTCTGGTAGGTATGCAGGAGCAGCAGCACGTGAGAAGCTGCCGGGTTGTTTTCCCTTTCGATCCTTTGGCCCTTGATCCGAGCTTGGTCGTATTCAATTTCTCTCTGGTAATTTGTTTTCGCCGCGTACACGTATAATCCGATGGGAAGGACATCGGGCCTGGTGTCACTTTTCTAGAAGCCAGTGTCGCGGGGACTTGTATATTCACCAACTTCCATCCTTCTTTTACTCAGCTGGGTGATTGGAAGGGAGGCTTTTCATCATTAGCCTTGAAACTGCTCTGCCGAAGACCACTGGCTCGAGCACACCTTGCTTAATCTCGCCCAGAACAGTTCCGCCATATAATTTGCCGCATCGGATTTCCGACCAAGCAGCGTCATTCCTTGGATGCAAGCCTCTGCCTGGTTGTACAAATCCTGGTACTCTGTATGCGTATGGACCCATTCGTGATTCGGATCCGTAGGATTGTCCCAGCTCGACAGCCAGGTGATGAAGACTTTACATGCACTCCCCATAGCCCGGACAAGGATGTCGGTCCAAGGCTCGGTGAGGATGGCGCTGCCGTTGCAGACAAAGTGGAACTCCGAGTTATCAGGCACAGAGGGTTTGTGCTCGGATAGCGACGCCTGTGCAATTTTGGCGATAGCGATGGCGTTGTCATGCCGCAGCTGTTTGATCAGGTGGCAGGATGTTCGCAGTGTGCGTTGAGGCTGCATCGTCTTCTCTTCACGGTCAACCTGGGCAATCGTATCTGCCAGGAGCAAGCATCCGTAGTGCCAGTGACCGTCCAGAATGACGTACCATGATTGTACGTGCGGCTCAAGGAAGTTGTGTTGGCTGACGCAGTCGTTCATGAACGGACCGTATGTTGTATTCCACTGTCTATAGACGTTGAGTGCGTCTTGAATGCACTTCTCGAGCTCCTGTGGTGGCGTCCTGCGGAACGCCAGGGTCTGTAGCTGCGCCACCTTGCGAAACATGAGAACTTTGACTGGGATCGCTTCCTGAAGCACCAAGGCCGCCTCGGCGAATTTGCAAGGCCACCGCGGCTGTGTTTTTCGGGGGCCTGCCCACTTGAAGCTCAATAAATAATCTCCCCACAGAGCGCGCTTGTCGTGGTCATCGGGGCTCTTAGGGAAGGATAGATATCCCTCGAGATCGCCAGGAGGGACGCCGTCGGAGTCAGCCATGTCTTCTCGGATCATGGAGCAATCCTCGTCCGGAATGACTAGCGGACGTTTGCTGATGGCCGATGAAGTTGTATCACACATGACGCCCAACCAGAACAGTAGATTGAACGTCTGGTGGTCCTTGAGAGCGAGAGCACCCATGGTGCCATAGCCGTATTCGCCATTCGCTTTCGATCGCAACCTCCGGTAGCGCTCGATCTTCCGCCGCCATGAAAACAAGTTTCGAACTGCCGTCTCTAAATAGATGGGTGGGGATGCCAATGCCTCGAGATCGCTTGCGTAGAATGGGTTCCAGTCTTCGTTGACTATGGTGTCCATGGCAGGGTCCGCACATTGCGTAAAGGGCTCATAGACGGAGGAGTTGTCAGAGCCTCGACGGCTATTCGTCGAAGAGTCTGCTGGCGAAGTCTGCGTCTCTTGGGTGGATTTACTTTTTCCATCGATCGGTCTCTGCGTCAGGGCGAAGATCATGTAAGCAAGAATCACTTTGAAAGAGTCGATCTCAGAGCTGGACTGGATGGCCGTCTTCGCCTCGTGCCACAGGGTCTTTTGAATAATTCGTTCGCATTCACTAGACAGCATCGGCTCGTTGGATTGCCCTGATTGCGAGAACAAGCCCGTCATGCGAGTCTGGCATGCCTTCATATGCGACATACCTTCCTTGCTTTTCCAGAAAGAATTGTGGGAGCCGTGTGACCATTGGCTGGCAAATGCCATGATCGCGGCATTAAGTGCTTTTGTAGCGGCACGGTTTTCAATAGCTGACAACTCGCGTCCTCTCAAGAGGGAGAATGCTGAGTCCAAGCGGGAGACCCGCGAAAAGATTCGATTGTCGCTTAGACGAAGAGCGGCTTCTTCTGCTACTGAAGCAGGACTCGGGTGCGGGATGAGGTCTCGAAGCTCGGTCTCGTATGGACAGTTCTTCTCCGTCACCCAACATGACAAAGAGTTCTCAAAGCTATCGTGGTAGATGCGTAGCAGGCCACTCGCAATCATCGACTTCATTGCTGCGTCGGCGAAATGAAGTTGGCGAGTCGAAAGCTGAGCAGTGCTTTGCGGTCTACCATTTGTCGAAAGGGCCGAACTGTTTGCCTGCGTCTTTGATCGCGTGCTTTCGGGTGACCCTCGATCAGTTGAGGCCGAGTAGTGATAGCCGTGTGGGAATCTCGCACGTTTGGCGCGTGCTGACGTTGAATCAGTGTGAGGGGCTTCGTCCTCGCAGCTAGTCTCGGAACTAAGTGAAGTCAAACTTGGAGACGACTCGGTCTTAGAGGTCGCATTGCTAGAGTCGTTAGAATTGGAAACGGGTGAAGTAGAAGATGATTCTCGACGGACAAGCCCAACGCCATTCCATCGATCGCGGCCTGCGCATTCTCCAGCGAGCGACCGACTCGGGGCAGCGGCGTCCCCGACGACAGTCTTGCCAGAGACTGCCGCGCCATTTGACCATGAGACAATCGAAGGTGCAGTTTGGTTGCCGTTCACGTCTCCATGGTAAAGAGTTTCAGATTTGGGCGAGGTCTTCGCGAACGCGGCGCTTCTGATATAAGTTGACTGGAAGGACTCAGTGATCCCATTCCGCCCAGTGCCATGGAAAGCCTGGGAGGTGGGAGCGAGCTGCGGATAGCTAATCGGATCCGCAAATGATGAATAGCCATTGGAATATGGAATTTGAAGTTTGGTCTCTGGCGTGGCTGCTGGATTAGTGACGCATTCAGGTAAACCGGTCGATTCCAACTTTCTTTTCACGCCTTTCGGTAAGCCTTGGAGAGGAAGCGTGCGAAGCCAGTCGAATGTACACGTCTTGCTTGTCCTTGCACAGTTTGAGCAGGCTTCACAGGTCGATCCAGACGATTCGGATGGGTCGTTCTCACGGAATGGAAAGTTGACGACCTTCAAGGCGCCCGCGTCGCATGCCCTTCTGCTCTTGCGGCACTGATCACAGGCTTGGTACTGTCGGCGTGAAGTTTTGGAGTATCCAGAAGTGGTTGAGCCGCCAGCGTGGACTTCAAGGTCGGAGGCGACCGTAGCCATTGATGATGACGATAACGGTGATGACGAAGAAGGAACATGCTCTGTGTCGTCGGTGGAAGATGAAGAGAAGATTAAACGGCGAGGTTCAGTTGTCGCATCGCAAGAAGCGGAGTGGTACAGATCGGGACCAAGGCCAGAACCAACTCTTTCTCCACCCACAGGCCACCGCTCGACGAGCACCACAGCTCAGCAGACGCAAGGATGCGAACTGTTGCGTCGCAGGTGGACACGGTGCAACCTGGGGAAGGACGGCAGGGCGAATGGCAAGCCGCAATCCGCTTCAGACCGCCACTAACTCTTGGAATTACGGAAGGTGGAACGCTCCGGGGGTCTCAGAGGGAGGGCGAGTTTTTCTCGATGAGGATTTGTGCTTTCTGGCTGTGTGACCTTGGGCAGGGATTTGATGGGATGGACGCGAGGAGAATGGAAAAGGGATGACTGAGGGCTGAAAGCGGGGACGTGGTAGGAGGTTCAAGGTCGGTCGACGGAGGGGAGGGGTGGGGGGGAGGCTCGAATCGAGATGTGAGGTTTACCAGCTGCCTTGGAGTACGTCCAAGCCATGATTCTGATGGATGAGACGGCTCTGACGGGCTGCGATGGGTTCTGCTGGTTGGTGCCTGGCCAGCTGGTTGTGGTATAGCGAAATGCAATAATCATCAAGGTTATTGCCCATTAGCTGGGCGACTAATGAGCGGAACACGAGCCTGGTGAGCCTGTTCAGCCTGCGACGGCTCCAGGGTTCCAGGGCTGGTGGGCTCCGCATCACCCCCAAATCCCTCTTGGGCCTGAAGTCCTGGACAACTGCCACAGCCCACCAGCCCATGTCTCGGTAGGCTTCTCCATAATTAATCTGCCCTTCAATTCCCGGGGCGGATGTGGTATACGGCAAGTGGTTAGTCAGTCGTTGCCTCAGAACGGAGCATTGACTTGACTGGTCTTTGACAGATTGCTGGCAGGTATTCAGTCAGTTCAAACAGGTCCTCCCTACCTCCAGCCGGCCCCCAGTCCACCTCCCGCTCAGAGGCGTCACCCACCGACCTCAGACAACAAAAACAACACCCCTGCCCTCCCTGCAAATCCCAGTAACTAGCTCAAAGGGAGTTACCGAGTTGTGGGGGAGGGTCTCGGGAGCCCGTTTAGTCGTCCCCTGTACGGAGCACAAATGAGCCTTCTCCTCAGCTAAGCCTACCTCACTCCCCTGTCCTCGTGCGGACCGCCTATTCCAGAACGAGAGAAGAGCCAGCATCGCGACGGCACAGTTGGCATTTGGCCTGGCAATACAATAAGGCGTCAATGGGCCCCAGCAAAGGCCCCCCTAGTCCATGGGGAAATGCTGTCAAGGCGCGCGCCCCGTTATGCACAATGCCACAAGGAGACGGATTGGCCGAGCTGGAAACAGGTACAAAGTACTCCATATCAGAGTATTGTTTGCAATCGTTTCAGGGGGAACAATTGCCCCAGAGAAGGGCAAAAGAGCCACGTCGACAGGTCAGATTGCCACACACCCCTCAGGTCAAAAGATGAAGATTGCGAATGAGACTACCAATACCACCCTAACGTGGCAATCCAGTCCTTGTCCAAAGAGTCCAGGTCTGGCATCTTCCACTCGTTTGAGGGGAGCCTGGCCTGTGCATATGCAATTCCTGCCTCGCGGCAAACCCTTTGGGTTAGGTGCGGCTTCTCCTGTTGGTTACCACCAAAAGCTGCCTACCGACAAGAGGACGAGAGAGGCCCAAAGGTCTTGACTTGTCTTGTGTGCTCCTCCAATAGCAGCAACCGAAGGTCATCAATGACGAGTGATCGTCACTTACCGTGATTGTGATGGGACAGGTCTAACAATTTTTGCTAACTTCGACAATTGGCAAAAGGTGTAGGCATTCGATAGGCTTCATCGATCTCTAGCGCCTGTCGGGCTCCATATCTCGACATCTGCCCGGCCTCGCCATTCTCAGAGGTATGCAGCCCTTTTGGCAAGACAGGTTTTGAGGCCACTGGCTGGACAAGGGCTTGCTTGGCTTTAGAGCTTCCGGATATCACTCCCCGCTGCATGAAAGTCAGCGACATCCCAATTATACTGCAAGCAGCTGGCGAACTACCATGAGCAGAAACCTTTTATCCTTCTCTCGAAAGACAAAGTGCACATGCCAGAAGCCGGGTCGATCCTGCAATCGCCCTCGGCTGGTCGTTCTCGGCTGATCCGAGTAGATGCTCTTGACTGTTGACATTGGTTGCACTTTTACTAGCAAAAAGCGCTTTCGATTCAAACTGATCGGGGCCGCTCGACAATGCACCTTGAATTCACTGACAACGTTTTTGGCGCCCTGGCAGCATTTTGTTGCAATATCTGCTCGTGGACTGGCGGCATCATAGGACTAAGCAGAGGGTAAACGAGTATACGGGCTGGCCGGATACTCGATCCTATTTCACTGTCCCATCAAACAATCACGTCTTCAACTCGTGTAGCGGTATCGATTTCTAGTAGAAGTCACAGAGTTCGCAAGTCCTGATTTTTCGGGGTCTTGGGCCTTTCTTCAAAGACTTGATTTCCAATCAATCCCACTGGAAGTAACATGTCGTTGCCGTACTGGTCCCCTTGCTAAACGAGGTCTTAGTGGCGGCGTCGCTGGTCACATCTCGCGTCGAGACTCGGGAAATGAGGGTTGATCTGGCATTGATTCCCTTGTGCATGGCTATAGCACGCTGAAAGCTCCCCATCTTATTTTGCTGATGTCCCTGTAGCAGAGACATGTATCTGCGCAAAGCAAGTCGGCCTGTGGAGGCCGAGACATAGCACGTCAACTTCGTAGGAAGAATCCGCGTTGCTTGTCATCTGCTCTGTGAAAGAAGAGATCTCGCACGAGATAAGCCGAACATGTTCGATATTGATCGGAAAGCTGCATATTACGTCTCGTTCCTGTAGAGATATTCTAATACTCTTCAGGAGTAGTACATCCTCGTCATAACTGACGCTAGGACTGCTTTGCCTCGCCTGGCCCTCGGACCATTGACGAAAGGATTCCTACTCACATATGTAGAGGTTGAAGTAAGAAAGGCTGACGGTGAGAGTGGGAAAATCCTCATGCACTTCTCTAGCTTTTCAACCGACTGCAGAACAAACTTACCCCGTGTAAAAGCTGCCTATGAAGCTGTGAAGAGTTGAACTCATGGCAGGACTGACATGTCGTTGCGGCTTGTCGCGTCGAGTAGAATGAAGAGCTGCGATGGCGACCTATAAATGTGTATTTGAGACACGTAGAGTAGATCAACTGACCGAGTGAGGAAGGGCGATATTCCACCTGTTGAACTTCTGTCAATTGCACCGGGCATGGCATCTCTGGCGAAGTCCAGGCTGAGATGAAAGTGCGGTTCTGGATCTGTCCGGATTAATAGTATTTCCGAACCCGAACCCGAAGATGTTCGCCGCAGGCTCTGAATTGCTGCGCTCGCAAGTGAACAAATAAACATCCCGTCTCAGGATCACACATTCTCTAGAGTTCTGCCTTGCGCCCTCAAGTGTTCCGATGCAAGTATCCGATACCGACTTCGCCCCAGTCAAGGGTTAGTTGAAATACCTGCAAACACTTCTCTACTGTCCAAGGAAGCCTTGATCTTGAACCCGAAAATGTACAACCCGCCCTACCAAGGTTGGTCTGCGCAATTGCCCCTCGTCCAAACAGAAGTTGACATCTGAGCAGCATCAGGGCAGTATGGCGCGCCGGGAGACTATGCAAACTTCCCCGGCGCACCGCCTGGAATGGGTAAATCGCCCTCGAGTGCGAGGATCAATCACAACTACAATACTGACAAGTTTTTGCCAGGTCCTCCTCCTGGTATGGCACCTCCGGGCATGGGCGCTCCCCCCGGAATGCAGCAGCAAGAGGCTCACCAACCAGGCAGACCTGGCTCCTTTCCTCCAAATTTCCAGCCACCGCCTAACATGCCCAATATCAACTTCTCCGCGCCTGTCATTCGCCTGGGAACCTCTGGACCCTCCAAACCCGATGCCGCCGGTGGTCGTGAGGATCGAGAAAGAGGCGGACGAAGACCTGGTCTAGGGGCTGGCGCGAGCTCGGATTTCCGTGGAGAGAGAGACCGGATTACACAAATTCAACCACCTACGAAGGAGGAAATCATAAAGACAATTTACGTCGGTGGCATTACCGAGGGAGCTGGAGGCGATGAAGGCATCGAAAGGATATTGAACGCAGCAGGAAGTCTACGGAGATGGGTCCGTGCCACGGATGCCGATGGCAAGCCTTGCAAGTTTGGTTTTGCAGAGTACGAAGACCCCGAAAGCCTCAGTACTGCCATAGAAGTACTAAGGGATATTGAGGTTCCTGTCAAGCGGCAGACTCCAGCTGAGGCGAAGGCGAACGAGGATGTCGAGATCGAAATGTCTAAACTAGTGGTGCGTCAGATAAAAGCAAGTTTGGACACCGTCATACTGACATGGGTGCAGGTTGTCGCCGATGACAATTCGCGAAGCTACATTGAGCAGTGGCAAGAATCCCAGGGTGGAAAGGATACGGATCAAGTAGAAATGCGACTTGATCATGCCCGAAGTGCGCTGGATGCCGTCCTCAACGATCTTCGCAAACCCGCAGTTCCAGCACAGAAAGACGAAATGTCAAACATTGATCGAGAAGGCGATGTCAACATGATGGACGGAACACAGACAGATGGTGCGACTGGAGAAGTGGTCACCATTCCCATTGCCATTGATGATGAATTGTCCGATATTCCGGCAGAGATGCGCGAGACTGTAGCGAAAGAAATCGCAGCATTCCGGGATCGGAGTAATCGTCGCGATCTGGAGCGCATGAAACGCGAAGAAGAGATAGAACAACAAGAACGGACCCGCATGATGAATGGCGACCGTTTCAACCGCCTCGCTTCCCCACCTCCTTCAGCACCTGCAGGACCTGCCGGCACGAACGGCATACCGGTTGGCCCAAGAGGGGCGCCTGCCGGACCAAAAGGCTTTGGCGTGCAAATTCCACGAGAATACCAAAAAGGTGTTGTGCTGGTCAACGGGACGGCAATCAATGGAGCTTCTGCATTCGAAGACGAAGACACAGACGCCAGCGACGAGGAGCTCGAACGACGGCGCAAGGAAAAGAGAGATGCCGAACTGGAGAAGCAATTCCTGGATCAGGAGCGCCGATGGCTGAACCGGGAGAGATCACGGACAGAAGCTGTTGAACGTGTAAAGAAGCGCGAGAAGGACGAAGCAGGCCGCGTGGAAGAGGAGAAGGAAGCTATGCGCAAACGATTGCATGATTGGAACGACGACACCGAGGCTTCCCGTAAGACCGAGGAGTACTACGCCGACCGGAGCATATGGATCCGGAACCGGGCGAGCTTTCGCCAGCGCGAAATCGCAAATGACGATGCAGATCGCGCGGCAGAACAGCGAGAGCGAGCCCGGGAACTACACCAGCGTGAACGAGTGGATGCCATGACAGACGATTTCCTCATTCGGCAAGAACGAGATATGCTCAACAAGGAACAAGATCGGGAGGAGGAAGAGCGCGCACAGGCTTCGCGGCGCGAACCCGCCCGCTTCAAGTTGTCCCTGGGAGCTGCGGCACAGAAAGCCGCAGCACAGAGTGCCTCCCAAGTTTCGAAACGTACTGTTGCGGACGTGGAGGGTCTTCTCGAGGACGAAGAGGAAGAATCCAAAGCCGGCACGCGCAGAACGCTCATCCCTATTGAATACGACGCCTCGACGACTGCGGGAATGTCAGAAGAAGAGCGCGCCCAAGCAGCTCGCCAGCTCGCCGCGGACATCCCCAATGATAAAGAAGGGCTATGGGCGTGGGATATCAAGTGGGAGTTTGTGGATGAAAGTATCATTGAGGAGCGATTGAAGCCATTTGTGGAGAAGAAGATCGTGGAGTACCTCGGTGTGCAGGAGCAAATGCTCGTGGATGTGGTCGTCAATGCTCTCACATCCAGGGGCAAACCGCAGGATCTGGTAGGAGAACTGGAAGGGGTAAGTGCTCTGAGGTTTTTCCTTTTTGAATCCGACTTGGAAAGTGCAGCATTACTAACTCATCGACAGGCCCTGGATGAAGAAGCCGAAGTTCTTGTCCGCAAACTCTGGCGGATGCTCATTTTCTTCTCCGAGTCCGAGAAGAGGGGTCTTGCGGCTTAGTTCGACGCAGACGCGGATGAATCAGATGCCCAAGGCCCTCGTCTCGGTCGGCAACATAAAGTTCGACCGCACGTACCAGTCAGAGACCCGTTTCGCAAAGCGCTTTAGCAGTTCAGTACTGCGGGAGGGGTACCAGTCGGCCTCCATATGCCAATGCTCGGACCCGGGAGACCAACAGTGCAGCATACCTGCGTCAGCGCCAATATGAGACACAAGTTGTATCTAAGCGACCCCTGCTCTCAGTATGGAAGCAGGACGGGCGAGGCCGCTGGTCTTGAGGCCGAGGACGATGGAAATATCATTACTCGGTAGACGAGCCATCCCAGTCGCCCGTATGAATCAATGTGGCTGGTGGTCCCGACCGCAAAGAAGATCTGGGAACCATTATTCTTGCCAGGTCAAGCTGTACTACTAGGTATATCAATATGATCATATGTGTTTCAATGCCAGCCAAGTGCTCAAGAAGCGGGAACTCGAGGTCTTCTGGCCTTTTCTAATGGGTGGAATGTCTCATCATCATTACTGGGGTAGGGCACTCTCGCCTGGACTTCTTCGCGTAGGAACTCTGCATGGCTTACGTTATTTGCTCCCCTTTTTCCTCCGGTCTGCCTCCCTGCCCGTTTTATGTTACCCCTGCTCTCAGCCATCATTCATCGTCGCCCCATCCGCCCAACTCTCTCCCCACGTCCCCGACGTTCGGCCAGCCGAGGCCGCCGTTGCTGGCATCCAGCCCACTGCGGGCGACCATGTCGGGCCCGCAGAACTCGACGGCGCGGGCGGCGGCGACCTTGACGCCGCGCACGACGTCCTTGACGCGCCGCATCCGGGGGTTCTCGTCGTCGGCGCCCCGCGCGCCCAGCACCCGCCCCAGGCCGCGGACGTGCCACAGGCTCGGCCCCCGCAGGCCCTGGCACGTGATGCTTGCGAAGGCCACCAGCTCCGTCTCCAGGGCCGTCAGGGTCGAGAAGTCGCCCAGGTACAGGCCGTAGACGATGGCGATCTCGTGGATGCCCACCTGCGCCCGGTGCGGGCCGAAGGTCTGGAAGATGCGCGGCCACAGCGTGCCGTAGATGGAGGTGATGGCCTCGATGCCCCGCGCGTGCAGCGACGGGAGGGTGATGCCGGACCTGTACGAATCAAAAGGGGGCCGGTTTGGCCCCGAGCTTTAGGTCAGCGGGCGCCCTGAAATTCCGCGGCGCAACAGGGAATGGAAATCAAGGAAAGGAAGAAAGGGGAGTTGGTCAAATTGGTTCGGTGGAAAGAGGCTTATCCTGCTGGTGAGGTACGCACCACTGCTCCAGGTCCAACTCTCCTCGCTCTAGCTCCCCTTTCCCCTCAGTCTGCCTGTTCGCCAGGGGGATCAAGGCCGAGAGAACTTGCGGCGCGCCAATCAAGACGATCTGCTTGAGGAGGGCGTCTCGCAATCTGTCAGAGAGGCGGGTCCGCGATTCGGGCGTCGAGAAGGCGGCCTCGTGGGTGGTGATATAGGTCCAGAAGTCGGCGAGGAGTTGCGGGCGTGGCGAGACCGTGATGACAGTGGCCTGGTTGGTTGGAACATGTTAGGGAGAGAGCCACTGGGGGGGGGGGGGGGGGGAAGGCTGTTTGGCAGATGCATGTTTCGACTGGGCGAAAGATCGATAAGATTGTGCATCCTTTACATCCCAAGAGAGACTCTAGGATGGGCCTCTCTAGCACGGCCATGAAAGCAGCGACGAGGTCGCGCTCAACCAACCAGTTCCGTAGGATTGTCACATCCCAGTGACCTGGGAGACATTGGATCTTTCATTCGGAACCCCAAGACATAGCAATATACTCTCTAAAAGGGGCCAGAGAACGGCAGCCACAGGGACGAATTAGACTCACGATGATAATGTACCAGCTCTCGTCGCCCACTTCTTCCAGCAACGACTCCTTCACGTCCCTGCACAATTCTTCCCATTCCTCCTGGGTCGGCGATGACGTCGCGGAGTCACCGTTGGACGTCGACATGGTTCTTGTAGTACGAGGGTTCAAATCTAAACGAGTCTCGCTGCGAAGAACAAAGAGGGACAAGCGACTTCGCAAGGTTCGGTCAATTATCGGAGGAGGCTCCTTTATGTAGGAAGGAAAATTGAAACTCCTGGCGGTCACTGGTCACTGGTCACTTCAAACTTTGCGCAAAGCTTGAATTCCTGTGCCTTGGGCGGCGGGTTTATATAGGTATATCTAGATGAGTCTCACCCACCGGCAAAAAAGGGGTGGAATGGATTCTCTCATCAGCTCCGGCGCTCGCAAGAGATGAGCGTGATCTCTGCTCCTCTCTTAATACTTGGTGATGTTGCGTTATCCAATGGTTGCGCCGGCGGGTTTTGCGGGTTTGGGACGCGCAACGCCCGAATGAGGCCGAGGATGATGCTTGTCTCCACCTGCTTCTCGCCGCTTTGTCCCAACTCCTTGGCTGCTCCAATGGGACAGCGAAGATCTCCAACGCTAGGCTCGTCCCGCTCTTGCTGCTCACTAGCGCACACCCATGCCAGTGAAAGCCACATTCGGAGTCAGCTCAACGACAAGAGAGGAAAGTCTTCTTTGACTTCGGATTCAGCGCTCTGGACACAGGGAATATAGACCTCAGCCCTAAATCGGAAGAGGTACAGCAGTCGCGACTTTGTAATAGACCGCCTAGCTGGCGCGGATGACAGTGCTCTTCCCAAGGCAGCAAGCGGGGAGAACTGCAAGGCTCATTGCACAGCCCTGGATGTGGACGACCCGAATCAACAAGCCAGTCGAGCTGCTGTGTAGAGACCATATTGGATCAGGCTGTGCCAGTGAGGTCCCCGCCTTGTCTATCGCACTTTGTTGCCTCTACTCAACAAGTAGGCTCTAGAGACGGGCAGAATGCCAGGTCTTGCGGACCTCGGCAAGATGCGACTGGATATTATACCGTCAGAGCCAGACGAGATGTCAGCCCTCAGAAGTTGAGGGTGTTGACAGAAACAGGGTCAAGCGGGAACTGGTCACAACCTCTGGACGGGAGAATCCGTGACCAGGAACCTATGGCAGAAACCGTGCGGTTCCATGTCGACCAGAGTTCTCCAATCGAATTGTCGAAGTCCAGTAGCAGGATGCGTCTGCGTATGTCGTCAGAAGGGTGATCCGTTCAGCTAACTGCAAGACGGAGATCTCGTTGTCGGGTAGTGCTCGATGAGCTGGTTTTCAACAGCGAGGCTCTGCTCTGTCAGGACCCGAAAATCCTCGCCAGAAACCCTCCACCTCCAGCTTGACTCGAGCTTGGAAACGGATCACCCTTCTTCATCTCTTGGTCAATCCACTTGGCCATTGCTTTCTCGTCGCTCATCACCCTCGTGTCGACCAATCGATCCGTAACTCTTTCCGCTCTGCGCCCACCAAATCCCATCAATGTAGGCATGCTCCTGACTCCATATTCCACCCCTAAGTCCATCATGTTGCCGTCGCTCATGTCTGGAGAGTCCAATTCGACCTCCGCAAGGGCGAGGGACGAGTATTTATCTTCCGGCGACGGTAGTCGAGTTTCGACAAGGGACGTCAAAAGAGGTGTTATCGTCCGACAGGGTGTGCATGTGGAGGTGGTAAAGAGGGCCAGCATGAGCGTATTATTGGCGGAGATGAGGCGGAGGGCATCGTGGAACTGTGGGGGGGTCCGGAAGGGAGTGAAAAAACGGTTCTTTTGTGAGAGAGAGGGAGTTGAGCTGAACGGGTGAGCTAGGAATGCCGGTCTTCTACAAGAACATTGGGTCTTGAGCAGAGAGGAAGCGGGAACGCCTCGAGGGACTGAGATCCAGAGGCGAGCAGAGGAAGAAGCGACCAGCTTCATGTTGCAGTGTGCGTAAAGTAGAGTGGAAAAGGACAGACGCGGCGACATCGTGACAGTGGAATGCATGTAAATATTCCGCAGCTCGAATAGCGGAGCTGATGACATCAACGGAGGTGCAAATATTCATCCCTTTTCAGACCCAAGAACCCGCCATTTTACCAAAGATATCACTTTGCACTGCCGCTCGCAGCTGCTGCTTTTAATCTTAACCACTCTCTCTGTCTGCTTGCCTTCCACAAGTCATGACCCAAGCGCGTGGCTATCCCTTGTGTTGGCGGTATATCACATTCACTCAATAACTAAGAGCTAAAAGAAATCGAAAAGAAAATAATGCTATCCGCCTATAAATTTTACCTACTAAGCCAATGAAGCTTTACCTGCCTGAGAAAGAGAGAAGCTCTACCTAGTAGTTTACATTGCTACTAGGCAAGTTCTCTTTATACGGCCCATGCTGCTGGTGGGGGGGGGGGGGGGGGCGATGGTGCTTTCCTAGTCGCTTTCCTAAGAGCTAACCATTTGTAAGGCTTCTGGGGCTCGTCTTTGGGGCGACATTACCAGTGGTCTTTCCTCTCGTCTAAACGGAAGTCCATCGTGTCTCGCGCTAGCTCTCCTCCTCCGGATCTCTTCTCTTCGAAAAATTTCTTCTTTGTTGATTTAATGTTTTCTGATTCTATTAGCATGACTATCGTGGCTCTTCATTTGTTGCAATGAATGCCCGTTGGACAAGCTATTCCACCGCTCCCCGACGACAGCCACGAGTTGGTGTTGAACAACACCGCAACAAGTCTTGAGTCTCAGCGAAAGAGTGAAGACTCGTCATTGAATGTCGTACTCGTTAGAGGCGCTATATACCTACTATCCTCCTCTTTATCCACATGAAAGGCCCTGTGTCAAAACTCTACGCAGACCACCTCCGCCTAGCGAGCATTTTCGCAGCCTCCTAAGTGGCTTTGCTCAACATTGAACTGAAAACCTGGCACTCATCCCTTATCATGAACTGTCAATCTCTAAAGCATCTTCATAATCATGCGGTGCAGATCGAATCCAGGAGTCTTTTTTCGCTAGCAAGACCGTAGTATCTTTCATAGTGTCGGTGCTATTAGATAGTAACTCACCACAGATCTGGGACAGGTGAGTGGTCCTTGGACGATACAATGGATGTTTTTCTTTCTCTACGCGCTACGAGTAAGGAACAGACTGACCACCCAGCATTGAACAAACGTCCTAGCTGTGCAGCTTTTTGCTCCTCCCAGTTGTCGCGACATCGATCCAAGACGAACAAATCGACGGAAGACTGTGAGACCAACGTCCAACTCGATTGAAAAGACAGATGAAGCACGCGGCGGTCTTTGGCTTTCGTCTACGCAAGGCACAGTGATTGTCGTTGAAGCCTTGGGAAGAACATGGTTATTAATAACAAAACTTGGATGTCGAGGTATTTTCTTCTTGTCCACCTATTGACGTGCTGCTGGAAATCGAAGTTGAGATGCTAGTCTCAAGCCGGTGGCGTTCAATTGTCGTAGCCAGACATCGTATCACCCATCGCACGCTCCTGTTCCGCAAGTCTTTGCTTCTTCTTCTCCTCCTCCTCCACCCCTCCCTCTCCAAGATGATATTTGGCGAGACTCTTCTTCTCCGCGTCCTTCTCCTTCTCTATCTGTTCCATTTCCTCCACCGTGCACGGCGCTCTTATCTTCCATTCATAGTTCTGAGCTTCAACCTCGCCGTCAATCAGCCATTTCACAGATACGGTATTCTCCTGATACCATTGTAGGCATGTACTGCCATCATCCAGAAACGGCTGTATTTGATCGACGGGGCTTTGCCTCTGGTGATAGTAATCTCCGAAAACCAAGCCGCCCCGGAGATGGAAGTTCGCATCAAGAAGACAGACTGGGGTCGGTGGTGTTAGTGGCGTTCCTCCGAGACTGAGGGCGAAGAATGAACCCCGTCTCCGCTTCTTAAGCCTATTGGCGTGATGCACCTTGTCAACCTCCGTTGTATATGACAATGGTGATAGGATGTTTCGAAATTCATGTACTCTGGGTGGTGGAAGGCCTTTGGTGTGTAGAATCCCCATGAGCCCGGCTGTCGGATTTATGTGGGAAAGGCAGCGGTTCAAGTCTTCCTGGGTCGATGGTATTGATACCAATGTTACTGTTTTGAGGATTTTTGGTTGTGACATATAAATTCGAACTTTAAACGTGTCCTTCTTATCATCGAAATCATATTCGCTCTCAATATTGACACTGAGGGTTGATGATCGCTGTTTCTGAGCGTCGGACTTGCGGAATTCAAAGTGTTTCTGCAAGGCGACAATGGTTTGATACTGATCAGTTCCTTCCGCCACCTTCATCAGAAAGTCCAGCAAAGGTTCAAATTTTGTTTGCTATGGATACGGCAATCAGCGCCTGGATCCTTGTAGGTGTCCAGCACAAGTCCCAACTTACCTGGATAACACGCCAATAGCGAGGTGATCCCACTGAGTCAGTCCAATTCTGGATACTGAGGCCGGGAGTAAGTTCTACCTACCTACCAATTTCAGGGTCGTGTCCCTACCTTGACGGAAATGGAAGGAGAGTGTTTCCTCCTTGAATGGAAACTACCATCCTTTCCCCGCTAACTGAGACGGCGATCTGCCCGTCCCTTTCGCGCTCGATGGTGTGAGATCCTCCAACACCTACACCAGCGAAGATGGCGGCGACCGTTGCCCGTACCTCTGTCTTGGATGCCTTTTTCTGCGCTTCAATTGCCGATTGGTCTGCCAACATGATCTCTTCGGTGGTACATAGACGATCCCCGAGTATAACATTGGTAGCCAACATTGCCCCTGGTGTTCATATAGTTAGAAGTATCCACCCGAGAAGAAAGGCAGTTCGTACCAAACTTTGTAAAGAATTTCTGAAGCACTATGTCTTTGGAACTTACATCTCGGCTGACATTGACGCTTTGGTCATCCATAAATTTTCTGCAATCCTGCGACAGTTCATAGTTTTCCAGCTGGAGTTCTATCGTGACTCGATCAAACTGGTGGCGTCAGATCACTCGCGCAAAGGATAATTGAGAGCGATCTTACCTACATTGTAGAATCCATGAATGGTAGCGACACTGGAGCTGGAAGATTGATTCCTCATTTGTTCTTTCCACCAGTCAAATGAGCCACTAAAGTCGAAGGTGAGTCCTTGTGCGCCTCCGGCTCTAGGCGTCCATCAATTTCTTGAAGCATTGGCCCTCGGAAGAGATATATACAGCATTGCATGAATTTCCGACTCTTGAAACGCCTTGGCGATCATCTCACTTTCGATGCTGCTCGAAGACTCGCATGTCACAAGGTAGCTGTCGTCAGATATCGCAAATCCGGACGCCTCGTCATTTTCGATCCAACGGATTGCTTTAGTCGTCAGCTCGAGACGTCACCTCTTTTGTTGCAAGACGTGTACCTCCGCTTGGCGCGCGACTGACCGAGAGGCTTTCGCCTGATTGCTGTCCTTTCCATGCTCGCAATATATTGGCGGCTTTGCTGCAGCTCCGACTTTAGTAACTAGTGAGCTAGTGGAGATCGAGGTAACCTTACAGAATCCGAGTCCAGTCTTTGGCGGTGAAATCAGTCGCATCAGCTGGAGGAGGCTGTGAAGCACTCATGTCGGTCTAGCTTAGCAGAAGAGATCGAAGTTTGCAGAAGGGTTGCAAGACCTCCTTTCCGTGGTAGAAAGAGTTGAGCAGAATAATTGGAATGGAGAGGATGCTAACGGCGGTTTGGTTGTTATGTCTTGCAGTGTTCTGACCCTCAGCTGATACTCTTTACAAGATTGTGTGGCGTTGACCCCGACAAACCACATAAAGCTGTCACAATCACTGGGCGGTAGGAGTTCGGGATTTCTGGCCTGTAGGGAATGACCGGCATAGCCTTCCACAGCTGCATTTCCCAGTGGGGAATACGACGCAGTTATCTGTCTTCTATCGTTAGCATGATGGGCTCCGGGCTGAGGCCTCAGCAGGGCACATTTCCTGGGAGCCATCCAAACTCGAAAGAGGTCGACCTTATAAGGCATGTCTAGGGAATGATGACTGGGCTTGGTATCCCCTAAGTGAGGGATCTAACTTGTACGAGGTATCAGCGGATTTGACCGATGGGTGTCGGTCATAACCCTGTGTTTTTGGCATAACCAATACTGAACCATGCAACCCACCGCCTGAAACCGGGATGATCAAGTTGTAACCGAGAAAGTTGTTATTCTCCTTCTCTTCGGACACAGGGTCTGTGACATCCACAGTGTCCCTGTCCAGCTACTCGGAGAAGCAATCACAAATGAAACCTTGATCGTCCTCGACTGATCGAAGCGCAATTTATCCTGTGCCGCAGCACCCTCTTGAGTTGCAACGACTTGTACCAATACAACATGGGGAATGCTCTATTCGTTCCTTTCAGGGCGCTTCTCAGACAACTTTCCATCATTCCCACTAACTCCTGGTCCATAAGGCGGCGACGCGGCTAGCAGCAAGGTGTGTTGTAAGGACACAATCGACCTTAAGCCACTAGATTCGCTGGCATGAAAACACCCCGCGCTCCGTGCCTGAGGGAAGTTGTATCAAGTACGGCCCGAGACTTCGGAATTAGCGCCCATTCAGGCCGTAACCAAAGCATATAAATCATACACAACTTCTCGTCAAGCCCAGCCTTCAGTATTAGTGTTGCCGTTTCATCCCTTTCGACTCAAATCTTCCGCCATGTCGCTCTCAAAGACTTTTGACCAGAGCGACAGCTATTCCAAAACCATCATTACTCCGAAGCCATTGAAACGGTCACACCCAAGCCCCTCTGCTTTCGCTCATGTGGTCCTGAAAACAACCGAGGACAACTATCGGCGCATGGTGGATTTTTATCTGGAAATGCTACAGGCCGAGATCATACTCGAAGCAGATTACTTTGCTATGTTGCGATATGACTATGAGCATCACAGAATAGCGATTGTACGCAAGCCGGAAATCACGCCACAAGAGGCGAGCCCATTCACAGCTGGACTTGACCATACATCGTATACGTACGCAACCTTGACCGATCTGGCAAGGACATATCGGGCGCTGAAGGAGCAAGAGAACCCCGTCGTCCCAATTTGGTGCGTCAATCACGGAATGACCACGAGCATGTACTATAAGGATCCCGACGGAAACAAGGTCGAGCTCCAAGTCGACAATTTCGATCTCCCTGAGGAGGCCGACCAATTCATGAGAAGTTCGTTGTTTGTGCAAAACCCGATTGGCACCGACTTCGACCCCGAGGAATGGTCCGCCGAGATTCTGAGCAAGATGCTGCCTGATGGAAGTGAAGGACTGTCGAAAGAGGAGGTCAGGCGGATCAAGACCAGGAAGGAAATTGGTCCTCGGAATAGAACCCCCGACTTCATGTGAGGATGTGCGAGACGGTCGCAAGCAGCGCAAAGTTGGTGGCCCTTCGCGTTGTAAGGGCCCTGCGATTTGTATCCCGGGCAGGGATGAGGTATGCGGTTCATTCCTGTTGTTTAGAAGGCCAAATGCAGAAATATATTGCTATATTGACTACAAGCGTTTCATCCTTGGTCGGTACCGAACTCCTGATATGTCTGCACTCACTCGTGGAAGTCTGAGTCGACATGGAAGCCGGGAGCTTCTGTCAAGATCGGAATAGGATTGCGCTGGTATCTCGGCGAATGTGAACCCTTGCTGCTTCTGGTCCTCAAAGGCCCGTAGGCCGTGACATTACTGGCCATTGATTGCTACTTCGGCCCGTTAAAGTGATACCGACCACCGAGCGTGTACCAACCCTGGTAGAGAAATAGCTAGCCTAACTCCTTGCTGCTGTGGCAAGACATACGGCGCGGATATATCAATGGCGCTTCCAACTAGCCACCTTAGGTCAAAGACTCAGCGCCATAAGTCTTGCTGGGCAGACAACCAGTTGCAAAGTTATCCCGTGTGAGAACAACCGGGACACAGCAGCTCTATTGATCTACAGAATAACGTGTCGACGATGAGCCAGAGGATCAAACAGGTTGCCATCGTGGGTGCAGGGCCCGTTGGCCTTCTCGGCGCCCTTGAGCTTGCGAGACTCGGCATATCTGTCGATGTCTTTGATTTGCTTGAAGGCGTCGACCGACGTCCACGCGCGGCCGGCTACGGACCATCCGCAGTCAGGTAAGCTTCGCCTCTATCCTTTGGTCTCAGTGACAGCGATTTCAATTGTTCTCAACTAATAGAAGGATCGAAGGCTCATGGGCCGTGCAGGAGTTCTCGACCGGATTCGCCAAGAGGGGTTGGAGCTTTACGACTACTGTTGGAGAAAGCCTTCCGGTGAATACATTGCTGGAATCAAAGGTGTCTTCAATCCGAACCGCGAGGACCGCTATGTCACCATGCCGGTAGATCAGATGATCCAAATCATCTACGAAGCGCTCCAAAAATACCCAATTGCTAAAGTCCATTGGAGGCATAAGTTCACGGGCTTTGAACAAGATAAAGAACAGGTTGTGATATTTACCGAGTACGAGGGCCAGACTAGAACATTCAAGGCAGATTTCCTCCTTGGTTGCGACGGTGCACGGAGCGGAGTACGAAAAGCATTGTTTGGCCGCCACTTTCCCGGCCATACGTGGGATGTGCAAATCGTGGCCACAAATGTGAGTGTCGCTTCCTTAGGAAGATATGGCGGAAATGTTTACTGTCTGCAGCTTCATTTCCCCGACGGCAGGATGGAGAAGCACGGGTGGAGTGACATCTCTTGGGTTATTGACCCCGACAACTGGGCTGTGATCTGCAAAATCGAGACTAATCCTGATATCTGGCGGGTGTCGTATGGCGAGCCAGGTCATCTGGCAGAAGAAGAGCTACGAGAGCGTTGTCCCAAGAAGCTTGAAACTCTGCTTCCTGGAGCGCCCGGGCCACAGGATTACGATCTAGGAAGATTCAGCCCGTACAAACTACACCAAAGGTGTGTGCCGAAGATGCGAATTGGCCGAGTGCTACTTGCGGGCGACGCTGCCCATCTCTGCAATCCGATGTAAGCCCGGGCCAGAACTTTTGTAACTGTGGGACATTCACTCACCATTGCTCGCCATCAGGGGTGGACTCGGCCTGACAGGTGGCATGGCCGATATTGGCTGCCTTGTTGACTGCCTGGGTGCCATGCAAGAAGGACTAGCCAGTATGTCCATTCTCGACGAGTACGACCGACAACGACGGCAGAAGTACCATACAGTCACGGATGTCGTCTCGACAGCCAATTTGAAGCGATTGTTCTTACCGGGAGAAGACGCTTTGTTGCTTGATCCTGGCTTACAGAGGATTGAGCAGGCTTCACGCGATCCGGCCACGGCGCAGGAACTCTTTGAGGTAAGAATAAGATCGAGCACTTTTGACATAGATTTTAAACAGACGTATGAAATAGGCATCGGACAACCTGACAGTGGACATGGCTCCATTCTATGACCTCAAGCTGAAGGAGGTTAACGGCATTGCTGTAACTGTGTCACCCACAGTGAATTTGCCGGTGAAGTAGAGGAGATGATATGTGACCTGGGAGCAGTGGTGTACATTTTTCAGAAGAAAGGATACTTAGATGCTAGGCTGCAATAAATAAGTGTCTTGATTGCTCGACTCGTCTGTCTCTAACTCTCACTCCATGCGTTCAACAACAGTTCCCCAGGCCTCCTGGTCATGGTACCAGTCTGGGGAGTCTGGACATGCTATTCATGTAGCGTAAATGCAGCCAGACATCTATGAAAAGTACATTCCTAAATCTCTTTCAGTCCTCGATCAAAAAAGTTCAATGATATAATGTACCCACCGCCATCGATAATGATGCTTTGCCCAGTGATCATGTTCGACTGCGGTCCGGCCAGAAAACTGACAGCGGCGGCAATAGCTTCAGGGCTCTGCAATCGCTGTCAAATCTGTTCCTCTGGATCGACGCTCAGAAAACATACAGAGCCTCTTTTGAGCGCAGTCTTTGTTCGAACAGCTTGGTTGAAACTCTCCCATTTAGCAGCCCCCCGAGACACGCCACGTGTCTGGTCAATCTTCTCGTACATCTAAGATCGAATTAACTTTGAAGGAATTTTGGCCTTGCGCAGACTCACGTCTGTTTGAACTGGTCCGGGGCAATATGCTATTGCAATCCTCCGTCAATGTTACCGTTGTAAGAAGAGATACAAATTCGATGGCCAAACGCACCATTAACCTGTGTCCAATGTAAGTGCGTCTCGCTCACCGTCGATCCTTTAACTCGACAAAGGTATAGAGTCATACATTGATATTATACTGCGCCAAATCCTGCGCACAGCACTGTGTGAGGCCCCGGATGCCCCACTTGCTCACACTGTAAGCCAAAGCATCTGGCGCCTGTTTGGTTTCAGTACCGCTCCAACACATGGACACAGGTGAAAAACAAGGACGATTACCGGCCTGTAAGCGGAGTTTGAGCATGCAGCCACAAGCTTCCCTCCTTTTCCCTGTAAAATCATTTGATGTGCTTGACCAGCATCAGACCAAAAAGCTCCAGGCCAGTGTCATCTCGGACGGACGGACCTGCTTTCTGATAGCATAAAAAGACGCCTTTGCAGTTGACCTTGATTGCCTCGTTAGCAGTAGTTCGAGTGTGGCGAGCACGTCAGACTCCACCTCTAAAACCCGTTCCCAGTTCTGGACTGTTTCCGTCAGGATTCCATTCATTGATATGATA